TGCTTCCTTTCGTTTCACTTCACAAAAAAGACTGAATCTCCCGCTGCCCGGGGACAGCAGCTCAGGCCACAGTGAGGCAGCTGTGCTTTCTGCAGGCTTCAAAATCTGATCTCCTTGCTCCGTGTGGGAACGGCTCCTTGCAAAATAAATAGATAAATCCATCTATAAATAATGTGAAACTCTCACATTTTCTTAGCACCTAGATAAGGCTGCAGGTATCTTGGACTTCTTGGCGTTTCCACACTCAGAATAAAAAATAGAGCTTGTCCTTAGAATAATCCATCAAATCTGTCCTAGCGGCACAGGACTCGGAGGACTTCGACACGGTGGGAGTTAATTTTGTTCAGAGCTGCAACTGGCCACGGTGTTGGGCTTGGCAGAGTATCCTTTTTGGCGCTGACAGTTCTCCTTGTCCCATAATTGTGGAGATTCCAGATCGCCGTCTCAAACTTCGCTTCCTCAGGTCCTCTTATATTAAGAAAATCCACGCTCTCCCCCTACAAACTGGAATAGCATTTTTAACATTTCAGGGTATGGTTTGTGTCTGCTGGATAATGATCAAACTATTGCTAAAGATTACTTCTCTTTAGCAATAAAGTTGGTTTTTCACACACTTGCACCTGAGTTTTCTCCTCAGCCTTTTCTTTATAAAAAGGTGAAGAAAATATGGGGTGCAGGTTTTTCAGCCCAAGGACCAAATTCCACTCTTGTGGGCCACAATCTAGAAGTGGGAGGGGCCAAAGGCAAAAGGGGCGGGGTCAAAATCGCCCTGCCAATGTAGTCTAGCTTAGTACCTCATGCCAGTAACCAGGCCTTTGGTGGGGGGAAAATTGCACAAAAGCCAGAAAATCACCAAATGATGTCTAGAGGAAAATGGGTGGGGTGGGAAGAGGGAAGGGTAACCCTGCAGGACTGCAGAGAGATTCTGCAGGTCTCTATTTATTCATTAATTTGCAGTATTTGTATCCACCTCCACATGGAAGCCGATTCCAAAGTGGTGAACGGTACAGAGGTTTCACAGCTGAAAGATTTCTTTTAAATGCACTGAAAACAAGATAACATTGAAAGCTTGACTCTTCTGCAAGAAAGACTTCTCAGGGCAAGGTTGTTTTTAGCAGCCACCGGATGCCACATGGTGTTGGTGCTCTCCTGTCTCGCAAGGCAGGGAATTCCATCTTTGGAGAGCTTACTGTCTGCCTCTGGCATGAACTTTTCGATCGAAGGGGGCAGACAGGAATAATCGGATGCTGCAAAGCTGCAGGGCAGTTTCTCGGCTAGAATTTTCTGCATGCACGGATTTCCTGCTCTCTGCTTTGCAGGCCTGCCAGAGAAACCGCTCTCTGGATCTGCTTTCCTTTAAACTCCTTGGCTGTGCGGGGGTTTTGCTGGCTACCCGGTGGCACAGGCAGGGCGCCTCTTATGCCGAGTCATGCTTGGGCAGTGAATGACAGTCGGAATGACAGACAGAAAAGAATGACGTGGGTGGAGGCTGGGAGAGATCCTGTTTCAGGGCCTGAGTTGCTTGTGTACCTGCCAGCTGGGACAGAAAAGACACACCGAAGCCGCACTGATTCAGCCTCATAGGTTGCTTGGTGGCTCTTGTTCTGGGACAGAACGATGCCACTAAGCATCGGAAAAACGCTAGTTATTTTCTTTCTGCCAAGAAAGATGGCTGCATTCTCTTGATTCAACACTGTATCTCCAGCCTGTTTAATTTTCAGCCCCTTGGAAGAAGGGGAAGATATGCATGTAATCAGTCTTCAATCCCTCCTTTTTTATATGTGTGATGTAGTGGTCAAGAGCACAGGGCTGGGACTCAGGAGAGCTGGCTTCTAGTCCCCGCTCAGCCATGGAGCCAACTGGGTGACTTTGGGCCAGTCACAGACTCTCAGCCCAACCTACCTCACAGGATTGTTGTTGTGGGGATAAGATATAGAGAGCAGGAGGAGAATTATGTAAGCAGCTTTGAGTTCATTAAAAAAAATTAAAAGTAAAAGGCAGGGCATAAATCTAATAAATCAACTATAGGGGGAGGCATAAGAGCATCCAGTGACTGGCACTCAGGAACATGTCTAAACTTCAAGAGATGATGGTATATTAAACGGTATAATTAATGGCTTGCATGAATTGAAGCTTAATTGCTGACCACCTTCATTCCGAGAGGGAGGAAAATTTGGCTTGCCTGGTCAGAGCAGTTTAAATTTGCATTTGCCCCATGGCGGCAATGAAGATGCCATTTCCTTGTGGCTTGCAATTAGGCTCTGTAGCCAACTGTGCTGCTGTAGAAACACGATAGCAAGGAACCCTTTCCCAGGTCGGGCCTAATTCTGCCCATCTCCGTTTCTCAGGGTTTCATTTTTCTAGTAGCCGTTGTGGAGACAGGGTGCGTCTGTGTAGCTGTTGCTGTTTTTAACAGTAGTATGAAAATTCTTAAGTGTTTGTGTGTGCATTCCTTCTAAATGTGTTTATTTGGCATGCGGTTTCACCTGAAATCTGCATTTTGGCATGCTGTTGGGCTGAGGGTCTGTGACTGGCTCAAAGCCTGCCAGAGGACTCTGGGGCCAAACGGGGACTAGAACCCAGTCCGCTTAAGTCCCAGACCTGCGGTCTTAACCACACTGGCTCTCATTTATCTCTGTATTTATGCCATTGGTGCGTCCTTGAGCCAGCATGCAGAGACTTGCTTGTACCTTCCTTTAAAGCCAGCACAGCTTCTGGACTGGACGTTTTCCCATCAGGGAATGCATCCAAAATGGTTCTTTTGCCTCGGCGCAAGTGGGTTGTGGTGTGTGTCTCTCTTTCTTTGTTACAGCATTGCCCCAGTGCAAACAAATGTTTCAGATGCTTTTATGCTTCCCCCGTAAAGTGTTTCTGAAAGCCTTTTCCTCTTCCCAGGCTCAGATTTAGCATTTTGGGAAAAAACAGTCCATTGTTATTGCACTATTTTCCCCTTTGTCATTGTGTATCGCTTTTACATGCTAGGTTCTTTGCACGCCTGAAGGTTCTTTCTGCCAAAACCGACAAATGTCTTTCTTTTTCTATTTCTGCAAGATACACACTCTAAAGTAAGAGATGGATGGGCCTACAAGGAGCTTGCAATTGAGTGGAGGTGCCAGCAGCCAAAACTTTTACTCTTTCTGTCTTTGTCTTTTATTCTCTTTTCTTTTCTTTGGAAATGCCCGTTTCAAACAATTGGTGTAGCATTTGTTGTCTAGGCTGGTGTCTTTTGGTCCCTGCTTTTGAACTGTTCTGTCTGCTTATTCTGCCCCATTTATGGTGTCCTGCTTGACGCTCACATTTCTGGAGCACTGTGCTGGACCCCTTTCAGCCGGGCAGGGGCTGCACTCCATTTGGGAATTCTCTTGTGGGGGTGGGGGGATTCCAGTGGTGGGCGGGGCCAAAGACCAAAGGGGTGTGGCCAAAATTTATTTTTTATTTATTTATTTATTTATTTATTTATGGATTTATATCCTGCCTTTTTCCTACAAAGGGCTCAAGGCAGCTTACATCATCTCTCCTCCTCCATCTTATCCCCACAACAACAACCCTGTGAGGTAGGTTGGGCTAAGAGTCTGTGACTGGCCCAAAGTCACCCAGTTGACTCCATGGCTGAGCGGGGACTCGAACCCAGATCATCTGAGTCCCAGTCCCACGCTCTTAACCACTACACCACACTGGCTCTTAAGGCCTCAGGAGAAACATTTCAACTTTTGAGAAAGGAGGCGGGGGAACTTCAAACGTCTCTTCTTTGGACCTATGATGTGGACAATCTGTCTTCCCTAAATGTTGAGCAGAAAGTGTTTAGCCAAGCAGTCTTCTGTTTCCCAATGTGCAGGTGGCCATCTTTTTGGTATGGAGGAGTGTTCCGTTGTGCTGAGCCCTCACCCACTGTCCAAAGTGGTACAGCCCTGACATAGGTTTGGCACCCGCAGAGAGAATGAAGCTGATGCTGTCTTGAATGATCGTGAGAGCGTTGAGACTTCCCAAAATTTTCTTTGGACTGGCATTGATCACCACCAGTTCCTGATTAGTGCCAGTCTTTGGACCCAGGATCTCCAGGGTGGTCTATGAATATGGGCCTTTTGCTTTGTTTCCTGTTAAAGAAATATGCTTTTTGACAGAAAGTTGCATTGTGTATTTTGGACATTGTGCAGTGTGGAAAGAGCACTGTAGGGACTTGTCTTTCTGCAGAATCAGTCCATGAAATTTTGAGTCCAGAAAAGAAAACTTGCTTGCTAGCTAGAACGCTAAATTTTTTTAGCATTAATTATGCTTGCCTTTATTCTCTTGTATGTATATGTGTGCGTGTGCGTGTGTGTAATCCTAAATGATTGGGGTCATTTCTTGCCAAAATGTTACAACAGAAAAGCTACTATTCAACTGATTTAAAACATTTCTATACTGCCTTTTTAGAATCAGTCAATGCAGTTTATACCAATTAGAAAACAGACAAAAAAATCACACGGGTGCAGTGAAGTTTGAAAACAACCACAAAAACCAAAACAAGAATTTGAAAACACCAGTTAAAAGGATATAACTTGACTCCCTTTCTTGGAACTCATGGAGACAGGGGACTGGTCCTGGCTATGAAGAGCGTGTGTTCTAGAGTTTAGGAGCAAGACAGGAGAAAACCATTCCCTACAGACCTGACAGAGGGGTTTCTCTTTAATCTATTCACGTTTGGGTGCAGGATGAGTCCCTTCTTACAGGATATCCTTCAGGAGCATCCTTCTGGGGGGAATATTCCAGTTTTGCATTTCTTGCACTGGGCCAGACTGCATGACCAGGGAGAGTTTGCTTCCAACACGCTTGACTTTGTCGTCCCCCCCCCCCGCCCCCCAAGTATATGCTGCATGCAGTTTGCCCCACAAATTGCAGGCCCCAAAGTGCTTTGCAGCGGGGTCGATAGACGCTTGCTGAAGCAGGACAAGGAAGGTGGCTTCTTGTGCACAATTATCGACTTGGTTGAAACAAGGCGCTCTACTCCTTGTCGTTCCCAGGTGGCATTGCTGGCGGCATCGAGATCTGCATTACATTCCCTACAGAGTATGTGAAAACCCAGCTCCAGCTGGATGAGAAGGCCCATCCCCCGCGCTACAAAGGCATCGGTAAGTCTTCATCCGGTCGGGCCAGAAGCCGCCAGGTTCTTCCACTGAGCGGCTATTTATTTAAAATATTTACATGCCGTCCTATCGCGAAAGCCTCAGGACATAAATGAAATAAAATACAACATGGATAAATTACCAACCCACACTGGCTGCAGTTAAGAACATATAGGAGGCAATATTAAAACTTATTAAAATATTGCTGAAATAAAAAGGTCTTAACCTGGCGCCGAAAAACAAATAACGACGGTGCCAGGCAGACCTCTCTGGGGAGTGCTCTCCATCCCCACACCCCAAGTAATTTCCACAAGGGGGCCAAAAGCCTATTTATTTATTCAAAGCTTGTTGTATGCTGTCCGGAGGTGCCGCAGCACCTCTGGGCGGCTCACAACCACAAGATAAAGGCACAATAAAAACATAATAAAACACAGTAAAAACAATAACATACAGCAAAAATACAAAGCCAAGGTCTTATGGGAATTAGTTATTAATTTTTTTAAAGGAAGGTCTTTGCCTGGTGCCAAAAAGAAAGTACGGAGGATGCCAGGTGCATCCCCAAGCTGGTCTGGTGGAGGGGGGGGGGTTGTATAGAAGAGAACAGTGCCATACTTTACCATTGACTGAGCCAGGACCACGAGTTGGCATTGTTTGCACGTACCTGGGCCTGAACTTTGGCAAGGGGCCCACTGCTGATCCCTGCATTCTCCTGGCCTCACTGGTGTCCGTCATTGATGTTGTCTGTTCCCCCAACTCCTCTAAGCAGCTGTTCCCCCCTTCAGGAGGATGCCCACTGAGGGTATCTTGCTGCTACCGTACCCCAAACGGTTGGACCATAGGTCTGCCTGGCGCTGCAGTGTCAACGCTGGACAGGTGTGGTTTTTCTGGAAGAACAGCCTTCCCCAAGCTGGCATGCTCCAGATGTATTGGGTGACTGCCCCACAGTCCCCCATCTGGAGGGCAGATCGAGGTCGCTGAACTATAGTGGATGTATTTACTGGGAAAATAACAAGGATCCCAGTAAGGTTCCACAGGTGGTGTGGTGAACTTTCCCAGCATCCAGAAGCCAGGATTGCTTCTGAAAAGCTTTCAGCTTGTTAGAAAGAGTGTCAGAGCTGCCTATCCCAACGATTCTGCAGAGAAGAGCTGCTTTTGCTGTGGAAGCAAAACTGTTGGCCTTGCTGAAGCAGCGCCACAGCTACCCCCGGTCCCCTGGGGTGGGAAGGTCAGAGCTTGTGTACATATTGACAGCCTCTGGGGAGAGAGGAATTTGACTAAATCCAAGGCAAAAGGCATTGGCTCTTGGGGGAAGGGTGCCTTGCTTGCCCATGTTTTTGGAGATCCATGGAGTGTCTCCTAGCCTATCCCAGGAATCTGTACAGCCGCAGATGCAGGGAGCGTAAGCTTTCTTTTGCTTGTTTATGCTTATAGTTCCTCACTGAATCAATGTTAACATACGTGGTTTTCTTTCGCCTGCGTATCCCTGAATCTGGAAGCAAGGTGGCTTGGCTGGCCCAGGCTCCTGGGATTAATACGCCAGCACACCTGGAGGGTCCCGCACTGGAGGAGGCTGTTCTAGGGTGCCCAGCCCTGCTCCCAGACCAAAGATGGGGCCTCTGGAATGTGGGGCATGTGTGCTGTTTCTCTCCCGTGCGCTCTCCTTGTTCAGACACTTAACTCCTCCCCCAAACCTTGGCCAAAGAAAATGGAGATGGGCAGGTTCCCTGTTGGAGGTCATTATCTACCACTCTGCTGCTTTCCAGGTTGCCATATTCTTGTGTGTATGGTTGGTCCTTTAAGCCTGATAAACGTGATTTTCCAGTCACCTTAATTGCTGACCCATCGTGCACCAGGGCAGCTGCATCAACCATGTGGTGACCGGAAGGGGGAGGGTGTGGGGGGAACTGAGTGCAGCGGCCGATTCGTCTCCTAGACAGAGGCCCAGCCGAATCAGTAACAAAGATGGCTGCATTCCAAACTTGCTGGAGCGAGGCTGCACGATAACCGCCCGGCTGACTTTTCGTTCCGTCTTTGCACACGCCCTACTGCAGCATGGCGTGGCTTTGGGCTCCGGAACTCACCTGGCCGGGCTGCCCCCTTGCCGGCAGCACGGTGGAGCCATCCTGGCACCCCCCTCCTGCTGGTAGGCTCGCCTGTCTTTCTGCCCAGCCCGGCCCTGGGCTCTCCGAGGTGTTGAGCAATTCCCCGTGCCAAAGGATGGGAGGTGGAGGGTGGCCGAGGATATGTGAGGTGTGCGATTCAGAAGGAAGCAGGACAGCATTGTAGTTAAAGGCTGAGAGGTCTGCACGTCGGAGGTCCTTCCGGATGCAGGTGTCCTTCCACGTCATGCAGGAATCTTGCAAAAGTGCCAAGCAGCGAAGGGCACAGCAGTAACGAGCGCTCTCTCTTGCCTCTGCTGCCGTTCTTTCCCCCCTCAGCGGACTGCGTGAAGGTGACCGTCCGGGACCATGGAATCAAAGGCCTTTACCGCGGTCTCAGTTCGTTGGTTTATGGCTCCATTCCAAAGGCTGCCGTGAGGTACGCTCTTTTGGGGTTTCGCTTTGGGGGTGCTGAAGTTGGAGCCGAGGGGGCCTTATACTACCCCCCCCCACACACACACACACACACTTTCCCCTTGGTATACTTTTCTGGGGAGGGCAGAAGATCAGAGGTGGCGCTTCTTAGTTGGGAATAATGAATGTGGCTGGGCTTCCGCCTACCCTTGGGCAGGAGCCCCCTGCGCCTTTTCCTCTCTGGTCACAGACTGCCTTCCTTCCCCCGCCAGGTTCGGCATGTTTGAATTCCTCAGCAACCACATGAGAGATGCGGAGGGGAAGCTGGACAGCAAGCGAGGCCTCCTGGCCGGCCTCGGGGCTGGCGTGGCTGAAGCTGTGGTTGTGGTGTGCCCTATGGAAACAATAAAGGTAGGCCCCCCAGAAGCCCTTGCGGTGGGCTCCGTTGCTGCAGGGAAGAAGCCCTGGCCTTGTTTTTCTCTACTCTGCTTTGAACAAGAAGTGGGGGGTTTTGCCTGTGCTTGACCACTAAGGCCTGGCTGCTTGTGTTTAATATATTTACATCCTGCAGTTTTCCCTATCCAAAGAACCCAACCTGCTTATGCTGTTGTCATCCTCCATTTGCTCTTCACAACAGCCCTGTGAGGTAGGCTAGGCTGAGAACCAGTGACTAGGTCAAAGACACCCCCTGAACTTCATGGCTGAGTGTGGACTAGAACCCAGGTCTCTCAGGTCCCAATCCAACAATCTCACCATTACACCACTGTCTGTCTGTCTGTCTGTACCTCAGCCCCATTACAGGTATAATCTGATTATTATTTTTTGGACAGTCCAGTTTAACAGAAGAGAGGGAGGCTGGAGACAAAACACTGAGAGTGATAGTACAGTGCGGAAAGGACCGTAACCTCTCTTGCTTCTCTGGTTTTCTTCCTGCACAGGTTAAGTTCATCCATGACCAGTGTTCCCCACAGCCAAAGTATCGGGGATTTTTCCACGGAGTACGGGAGATCATCCGGGAACAAGGTGAGGCGCTGAGATCACCAGTGGCGAGACATCACGTCCCTCTTCCATTGCGTGGATATCTTTCAGCACTGGGATCCTTGGAAATGGCTACGGCTAACGATCCATGGACCAGAATGGAGCCAGTGGATCCTCTCTTGCTCCGGGAAGCGGGGCAGGACTGCATGAGTGGAAGTGGCGGTGAAGCCGACTTTGGCCAGTCATTAGAATGACCCTCCCAGCAGTCAGAGCTGTTGGGCAGGGGAACAAGCAGCGGGGGGCGGGGGGGGTGATTAGCTCTCTGCTGCTCAGGGTATTTCAGGAGAGGCCATCTGTCAGGATGCTACAACTGCAGGATCCTACCATGTGAGTTAGGCGGATCGCGTGACCACCAAGCTCTTGCATAGCTCTAGCATTTTACAAGAGAGCAAATCAATCAATCCTGAAGGAAATCAACCCCGACTGCTCTTTAGAAGGTCAGGTACTAAAGCTGAAGCTCAAATACTTTGGCCAACTAATGAGAAGGAAGGACTCATTGGAAAAGACCCCAATGCTGGGAACAATTGAAGGCAAAAGGAGAAGGGGGTGGCAGAGGGTTGAGGTGGCTGGATGGGGCCACTGGAGAGGTGGGTGTGGGGTTGGGTGGACTCCGGGGGCTGGTGGAGGACAGGAGAGCCTGGAGGAATGTTGTCCATGGGGTTGCAAAGAGTCAGGCACGACTTTGCAACTGAACGACAACATTTTACGATTCTAGCAGAAGTTGCCTCTTGTTAACCCGCAAACAAGGTGAAGTTTCAAGGATCATCGCAGCTCCTTAACATCCACAGGTTTTGAAGGTTCATGCCTCAGTCTTTCCCCAAACTGCTCCCCTGCAGATGGAATTCAAAATAAACCCCTCTGCATGTTTATAGCACAAAAAGGATCTTGCTTTAGATTCTTCTGGTGCCACCAATGCTCAGACATAACATCCAAACGGATGTTGATGGGGAAGCCATCTTTCTCATGAGTAGATCTGCGTTTTCTCCCCTGCCCCGTGCTTTTATACAAACAAAAATGCCAACAAAATATTCATGCTAGGTGGTTTGGGGCCATTTAGGGACATTTTGAAAGACTGCAGAGAGTGGACAGGCATGTGGGAGGGAGAGAGGAGAAATAACAATGTCCGTTGCGAACCACATAAGAGCTGTGTGTGGACATGTGTGTGCTGGAAGTTTCTCTTTCCCCCCTGCTCCGTTCATCTTAATTTTGTTGTTGTTGTTGTTGTTGTAGGCCTCAGGGGAACTTACCAAGGTTTAACGGCAACTGTCCTGAAACAGGGTTCGAATCAAGCCATTCGCTTTTTCGTCATGACGGCTCTCAGGAACTGGTACAAAGGTATTTGGAGCCCAAATTTGATGCGTGGTCTTACCAGTTAGAGCACCCTTTTGTATTATGCCTTTGCTCCTACTGAGTAAGTGCTGAGCAATGTCAGAGTCCAAAATCCACTAACTGGGAGATTTTATTATGGCAAGACAACAAATATGCAAGTTACCACCACAGGAACCTGTTTGGATTTTCCTTTCCGCACTGGTGCCAGTTTCCCTGGTGCAGCTAAGAGGCTGAGTGGGAAGATTTCAACCCTCCCCGCAGCTCTGGGTTAGCAAAGGGTTAACCACACCTCCTGTGTCTCATGTCCTAGTCTTCCTTCCACTTGATATAGACAGGTACCTCCTGTTATCCAAAACAGAGTCCTGAAAAATGCAATTACACATTTTAAACGCCACATAGCTGATCTGGTTTACAGATCGAAATAACCCAGAGTAGGGGTTGAGTATGCATTGTTGAATCCTGGGTTATTGTTACATGCGAACCATGGGGAACTTTGGTTTGTTATCTGTGAACAACCCTGGAAGAGAACCCATGGTTTGTTGTTGGGTTGGAAACCCTGGCTGGTTTATTCATGGGTTATGTGTGAACCCAAAGCCTTGGATTGTTCATGGGTTGTTTTGCCAGGCCACAAGACAGCAGGCAAGAGTGGTGCGCAGCAATCCAGCTGCTTCACATCCCAGTGCTGTGTAGGCATTGGGAAATAAGGTAGGAGCAGGTGAAGAAGAAGAGTCAGACAACCCACAAATCAAGAAAGCAACCCAGGTTTTGCACAATTCATGGCTAAACTCTGGGCAGGGCTACAGCTCAGACTCGGCTTGTTGTTACGTGTGCACAAGCTGTAAATTATGCTTTGTAGCCAAGCCACAAGGGGGTGCTGCTCACCCAACTCTGTCCTTTGTCCACAGTGAACAGTTTGTGTGCTTGGATCCTCTCTCCCAATAACCCAGGCTGTCTTATTCCTCCATTTTTAATTTTTAACTTCTCTTGAGGCAGCTGTGCTGTCCTGATATCTAGCAAAATAAGATCTAAGCTCAAATAACAGAACAAAGTCCCACTGTTAACTGGAGCAGATCAGATATGGGAAGAACTCGACTCTTTCTTCCTGGCTCTTGAGTTCAGTGGCAGCTCTCTGTTCCTTCTGATAATACTTTTGCCTGTTTTTTTTTCCATGTTTTTGTATCGTTCCCACTGCATCAGCAACTGAGCTGCAAGTAATTGAGACAGAATCAAAGTTGTGTGAGATACACTTTGTACTAATAGTTAAGTCTTGAGAATGGCAGTGTGGTGTAGTGGTTAGGGATGGCCTTGGACTGACTCTGGTTCATATCCATGCCGAGCCAGATATTACCCAGTTATCGTTTGCAACGCCACCTACTCTTCCGAGGTTGTTGAGAGGGTTAAACACCTGAGCTGTTCAAAGGAACACCAGGATCAAAATGTAATAAAAATGAAGTACAGAAAGCTGATGCTGGAAGGGCAGTTGAAAGTGGAGTCCAACTCACAATCTGCCAGATTTAAGTTGAAAGCCAAGACCTGGAAGACCTGTTGGAGAGGAACCAAGGTGTGGGCTAGAAAGATGGGTAAAATCTTTCTGAGTAGGGTCCAAAGGCACGTGCGGTTTCCACCATGTTGAAGCTCAGCAGGTCCGAGGCTGTCCTGAGCTTGGAGGGGAGACCCCCAAGGAGCTGCCTGTCACCATCTTGAGCGGGTGGGATTCAAATATAATAATTAAATAAAATGATGTAAGCCGGGAGATGTTCTGCAGTTGTGTTACATCTTTCTACATCAATAAACTGCATTGTGCCCTTAATTTCATTTGGTAACAGAATCCTTAAGCACAAGCCAAACCGGGTGGCTGGAATAGACACAGTGGCACTCTTTATCCATTCATGCTGTTATTCTGAGAATTACAGGAGTCATCCAGGATGCTTCATGGTGAGGATCCCTGTTGTGGGTGACGTTCAGCACCATGGGTAGCTCCTATCAAGCGATGTATACATTTATATCAAGCTCTGTAAACAAACATTGCAATGGGTAAAGAGCCCCAACGACACACAAGTCACCAGCCTCCCTTGAACACAGAACTAGGCAAATCGAATAGCAAAGATGTCAATTGCTTTTGTTACTTGTTGATTAATCTTATATTGGGGTGGGGAACCTCCAGCACATAGACCTGATCTGGCCCTCAGAGGTTCTTCTGCCAGCGGCCCCAGGGCTCCTGACTCTGTCTCTCTGTTTTCCCCCATCTGATCCACCCGCCTGCCTCTGATCCATCAAGGGGACAATCAGAACAAGGTCATCAACCCCTTCATCACCGGGCTATTCGGGGCTGTTGCCGGAGCAGCCAGCGTCTTTGGGAACACCCCACTGGATGTGGTGAAGACCAGGATGCAGGTATGTGCTTTACAGGGGCGGGCGCCACTTTTGTTCAGACCGCGTTCTGCCGCACGGGGTTGGCTGCGGTTGAGGGCACTCTGCAGCAAGGTGCGAGTGTGCACTCGGTCGAGTTCAAGGGAGAGTCTAGAAGGCCAGGGTCAGGATGACGCCGGCCGCCTCTTTAAGAGGCACGTGCTGGTTCTCCACTCTGGAGGGACCCAGCCGAAATGGCTCGTAAGCCAGCAAGATTTAGACTCAGGCAATCTGGGTCCTAGTCCCCGCTCAGCCATGGAGCCAACTGGGTGACTTTGGGCCAGTCACAAGCTCTCAGCCCAACCTACCTCACAGGGGTGTTGTTGTGGGGATAAGATGGAGGAGGAGATGTAAGCTGCCTTGAGCCCTTTGTAGGGAAAAGGCAGGATATAAATCGATAAATAAATAAATAAATAAAATAAGATTTGCTGCTGCAGCAGCGGCTTTTTAAGGATGCACTAGGCCAGCTTCCCCTTAACTGGGTGTCTTTCCCCGGGGCTGGCAAACTGGCTTGGACAATTTGGGAAGGGGCAAGGTTCTGCCCTGCAGCCCCTGCTTTGCAGCCAGATCCACAGACTGTTTGAAACAAGCAGATCAGAGCTGGGAAGCCCCATCTCGGGTCTCTGTCATCCTTCTCACTTGGTCCTGAGGCTGAACTCAGTGGTGCGATGAGCCGGGCTTGTGGAAGCGAAGTGTGGAGCTGCGAAGAAACTGGTCCAGCGCTTGGTCTTTCGCCTCTTTCCAGGGATTTTATTCACTCCGCGTGGCTGATGCGCCCCTTTTCTCTCTTTCTTCGCAGGGTCTGGAGGCACACAAGTACAAGAGCACCTGGAACTGTGCCTATCAGATCATGAAATACGAAGGACCCCTTGCGTAAGTCGGGCACACGCTTCTGTTTCTTGGAGAGGGGCTTTGAGGATCGGGGCAGGCTAAGGCAGGGCTCAGGAACCTTTTCAGTCCTGAGACCAGATTGCTGCACCCCTCCTCTTCCCTGGGGTCTGGATGACGTCAGGACTCAGGCCCCGTCCTGTGATGTCCCCCTGCCTCCTTGCCACGATGTCACAAGTCCCTTGTCAGATTGCTGGCTAGAGGGGCTGGTGCCAGAATCCCCCACCTGGGCATTCCCTGTTGGCTTCCTGACCAGGTCGCCAGTCGGAGGAGCTTTCCTCCAGCCACCGCCTCTGCCAAGGAGCCAGTTTTGCTCCGCCCGTGGGCTCCTGGGGGGAATGGGGCCATTACTTCCAAGACCCTGTTGGGCCAGATGGCAAGCCCGCAGGTGCAAACCGAGCCACGTAAAAACGTGCCGTTCGCTTTTGGAGTGAGCGGTGATGTTCGCAAACAGCAGGAAAACATGGTGAGCATTCCATGGTGTGCGGCTCGTCCTGTAATCTGTGCGTGGTGGTTGATGCCCGCAGCAGAGCCGGGGCTGTGTCTTCTCCTCCTCTTCGCCATGGCACCCACTAGCTCACCTTGCTCTGGCCAGGCGGCGGAGGGGACGTGCCGGGCCAACTTGCTGTTGGTTGTCCGGCGGTCAAGTCAGCAAGAGGCGGCCGAGCTAAGGAGGAGGATGAACAGCCGAGGCCACTGGTGGCGAGAAGGTCCGCTTTCTGGGGGAGGAAACCTCTCGAGGGCTTGTTGCTGGTCTCAGCTCTGTCCTCCCCCATTGTCTTGCGTAGGTTTTACAAGGGCACCATCCCCCGCCTGGGTCGGGTCTGCCTGGACGTGGCCATCGTGTTCATCATCTACGACGAGGTGGTCAAGGTACTCAACAAGGTGTGGAAAACGGACTGAGCACCGGTGGTGGGCGGTGTCGGCGTCTCACCTGCCAGGCAACAGCTGGGAAAAGGCGTGACCACAGAAGGCATTCTAGGGGGCGGTTCCCCCTCCTCTCTTTACAGCGCCACGGGTGAACAGGACACGGATCAAGCCCCCCCCCCCCCCCCCCCGGCCTGCTGTTTCCATATCAAGCTTCGTAACACTTATTTATCGGAACGAACTGTGGAGAATTTCTTTTTAAATTATTGATTGTACGATAATAGGAGCAGGGGGGATTTGGGCAGGGAGGGGACAGAAAGGTGAGGGAAAGTTTTCATGTGCCATTTCTGAGTACGCCGTTTTCTGCCAACTTTGGGGGCTGGGTTGTGGGGAGAAAGAAAACACGCATGGACACACACACGGCTAGGCCAATGCAAGCTCCTTTTCCCCGTTTAGAAAAGAAATGAATTTAGGATGGCGATGTTTTAGTGTTGCTTTTAATGTTTCGGTAGCACGATTTCTGCCTCTTCCGCCAAAGGGAAGCCACATTTCGGTCGTTAGGTCGGAAAGCTCCCCAGTGACTACCGAAAGTGTGCATCTGGCCAGGCGTTGTGGTCAGCGAACCGGCCAGGGAGGTCCAGGGAGCTGTTGACTTGCTCCAAGAGTCAGCCTCCCATTCCGAAACACCTGACGGAGCGTGGCAGTGTCAGAATGATGGCTCTTCGGTGGCTGGCCATCCCCTTCTGATAACAGCGCAGTTGCGGAGTGGCTGCTGCAGGCAGAAAGATGGGTTGAAAGACAGTGACCAAAAACGTAACGCAGAATACATTCCGTGAGTCATTCCCCAGCAGGTTCCTCTGATTAGCATGAATCAGAAGCAGGTGCGCCTTTTTTTTTATTTTTTTAGGGGATCAGACTCTTGTGAGGGGAGCAGAAGCGTTTCCCACAGTGGGAGTGTGACCGGGTGAGGCTTTCCCGGCCTCGACCATGAATGCTGGGGGAGCCCTTGCCTGTGGGGCAGGATCTCACCGCTTGTGGTGGCTTGGCTGGCTGAGAGGGCAGCTTAGGCAACCCCCGTGCAGAGTCAGGCCACCTGAAGGACCCCTGTGTCCTCTGGTTGGCCCTGGCCACTCTGCAGAGCCCTCCCCCCTCCCACTCCCACGGCCAATGCTCACTTTTGCTACGCTTCTCCCTGTGGCATTTTGGTTCATGCGCACTGAGCATTTTGAGAATTGCTCCCCCTGCCGGGTCCTCACTGAAGGCCTTTCTGTGTCTGTCCACACAGCTGCTTTCCCCACAGCACAAATGCATTCCATGCAATTCTCGTGTTTACATTTTTTTAATGGAGGGAAGCAAAATTAGGCCTTAAAAATGGAGAAAGCGGCCGAGCACCCCCTCCCCATTTCCGCTTCTTGATATCCGCCAGACAAACGAAGGATCCCCGTAAAGAGTCCCTCCTTCTCTAATCGTGTTTCGTCTCCCTCTCCTTGGACACTTCCTGCTCTTTTCTTTTGGTTTGAGGGCCATAACGAACCCATCCATAAGACTGAGACTTCGACACTGACTCTTCGTGCTTGTGCCCTGTCGCAAAGGTACAACAACCTTGACTTTTGGGCCCAGGTGCCAAGAGAACTCGCATGGCGATTCCATGACAGATTTGTGCCAAATTTTGTACCTTCTTGTCTCTCTTGCTTCATGTGTGGGTCTCTCTCCCACATGTTACTTGTGTAGGAACAAGTACAGCCCTCTTGTTGATTGAGGGAATGGCCCATGGGGGGAATCAAGGCAGATCTGCTTTGCCCGCTCCCATATTTTAAAGTATCTTTGAGTCACAAATGAAATAAAATGATAAGCTTAATGTTAGGAAGTTGGACTGTGCCAAGTCTTCAGCTTGGTATATCCACCCAAACTTAGACAACAGAGGTGGGCAACTTTGGGTGGTCTTCGGGCTAATTTCCGCCCCCTTGCTGCTGCTTCTGGCCCGTGTGGGTGGGCCGAGCTCTTGCAGGCACCATCGGCGCCACAGCAACCGTATAAGCGGGCAAACCACTGCAGGGCCCCCAGAAGGCCCAAAGGAGCTCAGTTGTGACTTTTCTAGGACTTTGTGCTGGTAAGCCACTCATTCCCTGCCTGCCCCAACCCCTGGCCTATGAGCATCTTGGCCACAAGCACCAGATCTTGCTTTTTAAATTACTGCACCAAAATTGAGATCCCAGGCCGTGTCCCTCCGGCATTTCTTCCCTTCCTCTTCCGTGCCCCAGCCATGTGTGGTGGTCTGTACCTTCTGTTGCAAGAAGGGTGGGCTCCAGTGGGCAACTGAACAAAGCCCAGCATCCTTTCTTGTGCTGATGGTGCAGCAAGCCGAGGCAGATGCCAGGGGGTTTGGGGCTCGCGCTTGGCCGTTCAAGGATTTCTTATCTCGCCCTTGCTCGAGTCAAATGTTTTTGTTTTTTACTGTCATACTGTATGCACTGGCAGCCCTACGCTAGAATGATTCTGGGATTTGCAAACTCTCCAGCCAGAACGCCAAGAATAAAAACCAAAGTTGCCTGTTTAATAAAGTCACGTGGCCATTTTGTTTCATTCCGGAACCTTTGAAGGACCCCCTGCAGCCCCATGGACGTTATTCCCAGTCCCCATGTGCGTGGAAACCCAGGAGGGGAGATCTGACTTTAAAGATCTTTAAAAGTGATACAAAGGTCTTATTAATAGAATGTTTCTTAGCCATGATTTAATCGCTGCCTTTAGGTCGAACCTTTAAGTTCAGGAGCAACGTGGCTGTGAATAACTGTTGCTGGCGAAGAGGAAAGGCAGGCTGGAATGCCTGCGTGCAGATTTTGTTGAAGAAATTGGGGGAGCAGATGCTGTTGTGCTCTGACCTGGCACTGAGGTCCTTAGCATGGACTGCTGCATTGAGTGACCACTTACGCACAGTCGAAAGAGTGGAAATGTGTCTCTCCAGATTGGGAGAGCTGATCTGCACAATCCTACGCAATCATCTCGGCGCAGAGGTGCATGTTTAGAAGGACTGTTGCTTAAACAGAAGGACAGATCAGCTTGCTATCCTTGAGAGACCAAGCGCTGGACCGGGTTGGCTCTTGAGTCAGCTCCCTGGCATTGTTGGACTGCCATGCCCATCATTCCCAGTCAGCATGAGACTTCTGGGCATTGCCATCCAATACATCTGGAGGGAGTCGGGTTGTAGAAGACTTCGGTGGAGGGTGCAGTGGTGCAGCTAGGTGGTTTTAGATGAGACTGTTTCTATATCCCTGATACGTTAGAACCACCACAAAACTGCAAATTCTCACTTCGGGAGAAGCTCTGAGGTGGTGCTGTTTTGCATTTTAAACTCATTTGGAAGCATATCCTAACGGGAGAAAATGGAATTTGTTTCCACAGTGGCCATTTTCCAGGTATTCATGCGCCCTCTAACTCCTGCCCCAATTCTCAGAATGTGTGTGGTGTTGCATTTAAACTCATTTAAATCATAGTCCTATCATGAATGCAGGGATAAATGGTGTGTGCTGGTGCATTTTGCTGTTCGTGTGCCCAAGACTTTGGCCACGTGGTTTAGTCCTCGCTGCACCACTGGAATAGAAACCTTCCCTTCAAGCCGGCCACTGCAAAGCAAGCCCTGTGGCCGCTCTGCCCGTACCAAACCCCACACGGTGCCACTACATTGCCAGCTGCCATGCAGTGCAAACAAGGACTATACTCGGACTCCAGCGCTGCACATACAATGGGATTCTCCTCATCAGCCACCGTGACAAAGATGAGAACCTGCTGATGAAGCAGTGAGTCGGCCTGCCAGATGAGGCTCGGTGGCGGGAGAGCTGGAGGCCATTTTCCGTTCGCAGGATGTAAAAACAAGGGGAGAGGTGCAGATGCCGGAGGCGATCCTGTTGCAACTTGCTACTGGTACCACGTTGCATGTTTTGCGTACACTGCCTTGGCTACCAGCACATCTCTGTCTGGTGTGACCTCAAGGGAGTTGGCACAGCATGATGGCGAGCAGCCAAACTGCAAATAAATTGCACCCTTTTCATCTGGCATTTGGGTCTCTCTCTCTCTCTCTCTCTCTCTCTCTCTCTCTCTCTCTCTCTCTCTCTCTCTCTCTCTCTGCCTCTCTGCCTCTCTCTGCCTCTCTCTCTCTGCCTCTCTCTCTCTGCCTCTCTCTGCCAGCTGGATGCATGGATGGGTGGAGAAGAGAATTACCATCGCTTGCTCCACTGCCTTGGTCCAGAGAAAAATCCCTCTGAAACCAGTTTGCTTTAGGGGAGCAGGGTGGGGGGAGATTTGCTATGTGAAATATTTTAATATTTCCCTTTGTGGTGAGGGGGGATAAGGTAAGGCACAAGGAGTGGGCAATATCCTTCCAATGTATACAGGACCTTAAGAGGAGGGGTTTTTCTCAGTACTGCAGGAGAAAAGGGTTAAAATCGCCCCGTTCCTGCTTTGATCCCATTAATGATTGGTACCAGTTCCCTGGAGCAAATGTCTTTTGCATTAGGAAGACTTGGCAGAAAATATCAGCTGTGTTTTAGCCCTGAGAGAGCACACATACATGTGTCTGTGGAGAGCAGCGGAAGGAAGGGAGATGCTCAAGGAAAAGAGTATTTCCCCCAGAAGGTTTCTTGCAGAAAAGGCTGTTTTGATGCATCGGTTGGTTGGTGGGTTTGTTTCTTTGCTCTCATGTTTTCAGCATGGACTTAGGAAAACAGACAGTGACAGCCACAGCCTCAAGGGCAGGGATTTGGGGGAGAGATTTGTTCCAGTGAAATAGTGGTAGGAATCTGCTACCGCTTAATTGTACGAGTTGTCGTAGTAGGATAAACTCGCCAATCGTGGTCCCAACATGTGTGGACTTTTGGAGCGCTCTCCATCGGATGCCAGGCAGGCCCTCTTTCTCTCTCCCTCGGCATGTTTAAACTTTCCCCAGCATTGGAGATAAATGAAACCAGAGGCCTTTAAGACCCAGGAGGAGCCTTGATACCAGATCTGAAAGGAGGGTGGCCGGCAGGGGTGGGGTGGGGTGGGGTGGGGGACAACTCTTTAAAACATCCAGCCAATCCCCTTGGGCCGGTTGGGCATTTTATGCTGGTGGATGTTTTCCCTTGCATAAAAAGTCCAGTTGGGCGCGCAGGGAACGATGCCTGTTTCCACCACTGTCAGACTCTGAGGGGGAAGGCAGGGCTTGTGGCCAGGCAGCAGCACGTTCTGCCACCCTGGGTCAGTCACCAGGGCTCCTCGCCAACTCTGGCCTCTCCAAGAGGCGCCTTTCTCCCCTCTTCTGCGCTGTCAGCTGCACCGATGGGGCGGCCCAGGCGTTCCTCTCCACCCCGAGATGACAGGCTTCTCTAGAACTTCTCCGGAGGACCAGCTTCCTCCCCGGAGGGCTGAGCATCCCTGCTGAAGCGGGAAAGCATGAAGCATTCCTTCCTGGACTCCTGGCTTTGAGGGTCCAGCTCCTTCGCGCCCGGCCGTCCCCCAAGAGCTGCTTTGCAAGGATGCGAGCCAGAGGAAAGGCCATCGGGGACCTGCGCATCGCGGTGGGATCCTGGCTGGCCTGCTGCGCGTGGCTGTTGGCCACCGGCCCCTTGCATCAGGCCGAGGGAGGGTGCGGCGACCGCAAGAGCCCCCGGTGCTGCCCCGGCCGGAATAACGAGTGCGCCGACTTCTCTCGGAGGAGGACTCCGTGCTACTGCGACACCTACTGTGAGAAAACGGGCGACTGCTGTGAGGACTACCATGGTGTCTGCCAGGTCTCAGGTGAGCGGCGCTGCCAGGTGCTGAAGGGGTGGCCGCAGGGACAGGTGGAGACGTCTGGAGGCAGTGCAGGCATGTGGCCTTAGACTCCAGGCTTAACCCCTGGGGCTTTTCTTTCTCTCATACGGAGCTCATGGGGGCTTTCAAGGTTCTCCTCCTCTCTTTTGTTCTCACAACAGCCCTGTGAGGTGTGTTGGACTGAGAGTCTGTGCCTGGCCTGAGTCCCCCAGTGAGTTCCATGGCTGAGCAAGGACTATGGATGGATGGATGGATTCAATTTATATGCCCCCCCCCCACTAGCCATAGGCTCTCTTGGGTGGCTTACAAAAGGTTAAAATCCAGCAATGTAAAATGATACAAGCACAATATGACATTCACTGCAAAGATCAATAACAATAAAATCTGGGAATAAATTAAAGTTCGAGAAAACCAAACAGGAAAAATAAAATACATGCATACATACATCTTCTCATATCCCAAGAATAAAGCATAAACCATTAAAATTAATCAATATTTCTCCTTTAAAATCATTGGCAACAGCATAAAAAGAGCATTACATAAAAATTCACCTGTTAAAATTAATGTTAAGTTTTTAGTTAGCACCTAGAGTTGGTCCCTCCAGCAGGACTGAATTCCAAGGTTGGGATGCTATGCAGGAAAGACTAGACTAGAATCCAGAACCCCTGAGTCCCGGTGCAGCGGTCTTGCCACACGCCGCAATGGCTCTTAAGGGGAACCCCTTCCCAGAATGCCATGGTCTTCGGGCAATAGGCATTTGACCCTGTACTCCCATGATGTGTGTGCTTTTCCGCCTGGTAGCACTGGGGTGCCATTCTGCCTGGACTTACAGGCGCAAATTTGCACTCAGCAAACAGGAAAGCTGCCCTTGCTAGTGGGAAGCCATGCATGCAGGTGAGATGTCACTGACGGAAGAGCCCACCTGTGCTGGTGCCTACTCCAAGCTTGGGCCTAAGGTGATGGATATCACAGCAGTGTGGCACCCCATACAGAAGCGTCACGCTTTGGCCCTGGAGCAATCCAGAAAGCAACCCCAGAACCTAACCCATATTTAGAGGTCTGAGGACCCAAAATATTGTGGGGAGAGGTATATTAAAAAAAAAAAAAAAAACCCTTCACCATTGCAACTTCTGGTACAACTGCTTCTGCTTACCTGTCTTCTGGTCCCTTGCCTGTTTGAGTGAGGAAGAGATGCCACAGTGAGGAAAATTTAGTAGCGGCGGTGGTGCCTCGGGACGCTCACAGGCAAAGGGGCCTGTTGAGGAGGTCTCACTTGGGGCCCTCAAAAGCCCAGGGCCTGCCTAGCCCAGTGTTCTGAGCAGTGGCACTGAGCGAAGCCATGGCAGACCCGGAACCGAGGGCCCTTCTCCAGGAAGTGCATCTGCTCGTCAACAGAAGCAACCCACCTCCGGAAGCGGGTGCTGGAGACCAGCCTCACAAGGCCATCCGGCAGCACGGCGGCCCGTGGAATCGCGGCCAGGGGTCTTTTCCAGGGCTGGTGTCCGGGGCAAGCACCTGCTGAGAAGCCATGCCTATGCTCACCAAGCTCCCTGCCCATCAGGCAGGCAGGAGGAGGCCATGACCTGAGAGAGGCAGGTGGGTGCAGGGATACTCACAGGGACGGGGGGCTGGGAAGGGCGACTCCCCGGGGGTGCCCAGAAACCGGAGGCCCCCTCGGCTCGGCAGAGGGCAGGTTCCTGGGAGAATCCCTCTGCACTCCGTCCTTTCTGTCCCATGAATGGCTGTCATAAAGAGCCATGTCCGCTCATGTCAGTCACCCAGCACTGGTGGGGCGGGATGGGTGGGGGCAGGTGGGGGAACAGTGCCCATAAGCCCTCCCTAATCTCCACGGAGATTAGGCCAGTCAGCTCGATTACTGAGCAGCAGCATCCGCCCGTGAACAGAAGAGCCAGGAAGTGGAAACCCCCCGGCCACACCTTGTCGGCGTAGAACAGGCTCGCCGTCACAAGCACGGGCGACTTCAACCAGGAGCCCCCGAACGGAGGGTCGCCTGCGTTCGTTCCCTGAAGGCCTGCTCTCTGTTTGGGTGTGTGTGAGAGAGAGAGAATGAGAGAGAGATGGAAGAGGGCTCTGTTATGTTGATCCCATCCACCCGTCCCTGTGAGTCTATTCAGTGATTACGGAAAGCAGCAAGTGCCGCCATTTGAAGAATTCATTAAATTTATATCCCACTTTGTCCTTGCAATGCACTCAAAGCGGCTTCCATCATTCTCCTCCCGCTGCTCTCCATCTTATCCCCACAACAACAACCCTGTGAGGTAGGTTGGGCTGAGAGTCTGTGACTGGCCCAGAGTCACCCAGTGGTGACAGGGACTAGAACCCAGATCGCCCGAGTCCCATACCTGTGCTCTTAACTGGGTCTCAAATTCCCCACCAAAGCAACTTCAGGAGTGTTGTGGGTCATTAGAATGGGAGTGAACTCACAAACCCAGTCCTCTTGTGCAGGAAAGCCAAGGTCAGCAGTGAGGTCCTACTGTGGCTGCTAGGGTGGCCTCTTGGGGGACAGTCCTCTGTTTTGATGTACACTCTTTGAACAACTGTTCTGTCCAGTTCATTGAATGATAAAGAGGCCAAATTTTTGCCTCTCCATAGTTAGCTGCCCTGGACAGCAAAAAGGTAACCTTGACCCAGTTTTCTAGACTGCAGGCTGATGGACTATATTTCCATTTAACCTGTAATAATTATTTCTAAATTGGCATCTGTGGGTATCAGTTAGTGCATGCAAATTGTATACAAGTCTCCCCCTTCTTTGGAGATGCATTTGTATTTTTTCTGGTGATGTATCATGTAGTTCTAGGCACGGGGGCGGTCGGGGGGGGACCCTTCATCAGCATGGCATGGTGTAGCGGCTGGGGCTGCATCGGAAGAGGGATGCTGCGAACCTGCCCTGATTCCATTCTGCGAGATGCCAACTCTGGATCATGGAACTGTGCCCTCCTTTCCCTCTCCAAGGGAAATATTTGGGCAAGTTTCCAAGCTTGAGTTTCTTTGCCAGTGCAGTGCGGTGGGCATTGTTTCCTCCCCTGGAAGCAACAAAGCCAGGTAACCAGTTTGCAGATTTGCAGTTTGGCGATGCCTTGTTCTTAAGGGGGATAAGCCCCGTGTAAGGAAAGGAGACCGTTTGGCATTTGCAGCTCCACTCCATGCAATTTTTGCAGCGGGGCCTTATTTGTGGAGTTCAATCTTGTTATTTTCTGTGATCTTTTTGTATGCGTGTTGCCTCAGGAGGGCATAGAAATGTTTTAAGCAAGCGAGAAGAAAGAGCTGGGCGGCCCTGGGTTGTGATCTGTGCTGACAGAGACAGGTCTGCAGCGTGTCTTGACAGGAGGTGGGGAAGTGTGCCTCCGAGGGAGGAGAGATGAGGGTTTGGTCGGCAGCTGTGTCCTCCCACCGCCGGCACCGCCACCCCTGTGGGCCGTGAGATTTTGGAACGGGCAGGCGAGACAGGCAGGAGGGAGCCCCTGAGAAGAAAGCTGAATGCAGTGAGTCAGAAGGATGGGCGAGTTAACATGTTTTGCCAATGGAGACAGACGGCTGATTCGTCGACGGGGCTTCCATGAGTCTGTCTGGCCCCTCCTCAGTGCTCAGGATTGCAAACACGCTTCTTCCCTTGGTTGTGGAGAAGACCTCAAAAAGTGTTCATGCTGCCTTCTGCTTCTTAACTGATCTTCTTTCCCTCTTCCTCTCCCTCTTTCTCATTCCATTTATTCTTCACATGCCTTCTCTTGTTCTCTGTCTGCTGATGTTGGTCCGTCCATCCATCTTTCTAATCTTCTGCTGGATTTCATCTTCTTTGGTTTTCCTGTGGGCTCTTGCCCCTCCCTGATCTGCTTTCACATCATATCCTCCCTCCCTCCTCATTCCTGCCTCCTTTCTAGCAGCTGTCAATTGTGTGGTCGGCCCCTGGGGACCCTGGAGCGACTGCGGTTCTCTGTGCGGCACAGGCAGCAAAGACCGGACGCGGCAGGTCACGGTGCCCCCTCGAAACGGTGGGACCCCCTGCCCAGACCTCAAGCAGAGGAGGGGGTGCCTGGGGAATCACCCAGTCTGCAAGACGGCAAAAGGTAATGTGAAGAAGGCGTGTGGCCAAGACTCAGGGCTGAATCTGAATAGCAGGCCCACGGGTTGAACTCAGAGAAGCGCTTGACGCACTCAGGGCACACACAAATTTGCCTATGATTTACACAAAATAATGTGTGGGTGTAAATGGTTATACTGCAACTAGAAATAGAGTGCAATTTACTGAAGAGCAGAAGAACGTGACCTGGTGAGCCGTCTTGGAGTTCTGTGTGGACAAGTTCTTCTAATGGTTCTTCATGGCAGAAGAGGACTGGGCAGCTCTACCAATGGATGGACACCTCCGAAGCAGCGGACTCTCCTCTGGCCGCCCTTCAGTGGAGGACTGCCCTCTCTAAAAGAGGACACAAGGCCACCCTACCTCCAAATGGGTTGAACTCTCATCTGCATCATCCCATGCTCTGTTGGGGTGATGAAGCTTGCCACGCAAGGTATCTGGACAGAGCATCTTGGGTTTCTGGGGTCAACAGCATTGTTAAGCTGAGTGAAGACCAAAACAAACATTACTTTAGAGGTGTGTTGAACAGCCATGCCTTCTTTTCAGTTCCATTCTAATGTAAGGACAGGCTTTCTTGATGCAGACCTTAAAAGCCCCCCCCCCCCCCCACTGATCTTCCCATGTTAAGATCTCAGTCCAGATGGGCAGAAATTAAAAGAAGCTTCAGGTTGGTCCAGTCCTCCTTCCACTTCCGCCTCGGCAGGAAGAGATACAGCCTCCACTTTCACTTTTAAGCAAGGGTGGTCCATTTGTGGTCTGCCAGATGTTGTGGCCTTTAAATCCCATCAGCCCTCACTGGCATAGCCAATGGTGAAGGACGATTTGTCCAGAGTTGTCCATCCCTCTTTGAGAACAAACCACACAGTCTGTTGAGCAAATTTAGAGCAAACTTTGGTTTGTTCTCACCAATGTTTCTTAAAAACAAGCCAAACTAGAGGAGCATATCCTGGTTTGTTAACTAACTTTATTAGCTGGAAGGGCACTCATCATACCTCATACTTGGGTCCAGTGTACCCAGCCCGTGTTCCCATCACAAATCTATGTGCTGTCACTAATAATAATTTGGTGGGATTTACTAATCCTTACATTTCGCGACATAAAGCCAACATTATTGTGTTATGAACGAATAATGATACAAGGTTAGAAGAGGAATACTAATTATTGGGTAGGTAGCATTTGACTTCTCCATGTGGGAATACATCAATTTGAAATATAAATGCAGATTAATAGCATTCAGAACTTGATTTCATAAAAGGTGGTAAATTTCATTTACCTTTGCAGATGGGAAGAGGTAGTTTTCCTAAAAATAAATAACCACACAGCTGCAATGAATGAATGTTAATCAATTTTCAGTTTGTTCTTCTGTGTCTCAGCCTGTTTTTGGTCTGTTAATGTGTCTCCCTCCACCTGGCTCTTTCGACAGAGGTGGCTAAGATTCTGCCCGATTCCTTTAAAAGGGACTTTAAGGACCCCTGGAGAAGACCTCATATGCTCATGAGGGAGAAGCTGCCAAGGTAGGCATGGCTCAAAGAGGAATAAGCCACAGAACCCTCCTGGGGACACACAGTGCTTGACACGAATGAGCTTCCCTTATGGTGGACACATGGGGGAACGATCATTCATAACCATCCAGCTCTGGGCACCTTCGCCAAAGGGCTGCCCTCCAGACCAGTCTGCTGAGTTGGTGCCTTCCACACCTGCTGGGCTGGGATTCCCATCATCTGGGAAAGGCTGACAGGCGCCCCCTGGAGTTGCGCCTGCTTTCCCTTCTTGCAGCCTGCTTGCTTGCTTGCTTGCTTGCTTGCTTGCTTGCTTGCTGTTCTGGTCTGGACAGTGGTGTGGTGAGCTGGGGGAGGAGAGGCGCTGGCCTGCTTGCCCCCAGCCTGCCCAGCAAGCAAGCGGTAGCCACTGTGAGGACGAGGACGAAGAGCAGGAGCAGTTGGGGACCACGGCTGGGAGAAGGGGACTCCCTGAGAGAGGGACCCATGGCGGGTTCCTTGCCCAATGCCTCCCAGTACCGGACCTGGCACTGGTCTCCCTTCTGCCCAGCCGTTGCCCTGGATTCTCAGCAGGTGCTTTGGGTTTCTCAGCAAGGAGAGGAGGAGACTCAAGGGCGAGCGGGGAGGAGGTGCCTGAAAGCCCCCTTCTTCTCACCATGAGAGGCTGAACGGTCTCCCCATGGCCCAGCTTCTCCCCTGACTCGGCCCTTGACCAGGGGCTCTAGGAAATGGGGGAATGAGATTTAAAGCGGAGTTCTTAGTGGAAGATCCTTTTGGAAGGGCATCTCCGAGTCAATCTGAAAAGGAGGGTGGGAAGGAGAAGCGGAGTGAGAAACCAGATATCCCTGAAGCCAGTCTGCTGTGCAGTCCAGCCACACCATTTGCGCTGGATAGGATGCCCCCTCGCTCCAGTTCTCTCAAAAGCACACGTATACTTTCCCTCCCCCGGATGTTGTTCTCAGCATTCCTGTTTCGAGGGGGACCAGAGCCAGGAACGCGGAAAGCGGGTGGTGAAGGCAGGACAATGAGCAGTGATGTGTCTTTCCAACAGTTGTCCCTGGCTGCTGTGTTCTCCCAGCAGGCCGTGCCAGCAAGAGATGTTGGACTAATTAGGCAAATGCAATCAAAGCCCCGGCTTTGAGCCGCTGAGGCTTTGGTGTTGCCGAGATGGAGCAGCAAAGCCCTGCTGCATTCCACCGTCGGGTCGGCTCGGCTCGGCTCGTGCTGCCTGGGAGCTCTGCCTGAGCTTCTCCTCCCATCCCGAGATGTCCGAGAGAGAAGTTTTTTGCATTTGTGCATTGATACAGTCGGGACGCCTGGGGCAAGCGCTGGGGAACCTAATCTCCCAGTGCTTTGTGGAAGGGAAGGAGACAGAGCTGGGTTTCCTGGAGGTCTCCAGCTCAAATCCGGGTGGTGTCAGTCCGAGGTGCAGGAATAGGAAAGGCCTCAGCCTCGGATCGTGGAGCGCTGCAGGCACTCTTGAATCCACGTCGCGGCACTGCTTCCTTCCTCCTCTGCTGGTGCTGCCCGCTAGTTCAGTGGCGTGTGTGTGTAAGTGCAGGTCGTCCTCATGAATGTTGGTGTTGCAACAGTGGCTGCGCACAACTACGACTCACACCGCCGCTTCTCACCTGGCTGGGGACCTCCAGAATTCGTTAGCTCTGCGCCATCCGTATTTTGCAGATCGTCAGTGCCTTTGGCTTCATCGTCTGCTTACTGATGGAGCTGGAGGGGTCTCGTTTTGCCAGGGATTCGTTCTATTCGTGTTTGCAAGCATTTGCATCCATGCAAATTAATGCAATTGCCTGCCTAAGAGTGAGAAACCCTTCACAAGTCTGCACCATTCGCTCGGCTTGGGAAAAGACAACCTGCTGCAGCCCAGATTTGTAGAAACCCTAGCCTTCCCAGTCTGTTGAGTATTTTTCTCACACCCTGGGGGTCTTTAATCTGGCATGGACCACCATGGAGGAATCGTACATGTCATTTCCCATCCATAGATGTGGTTTGGGAGCAGGAATAAACAGGAAACCGCTGCAGTGGCACGGGGGCACGCTAAATTGCAGGCTGTGTTCCTGGGAAAAAGCCCCACTTAATATTTCTGGGTCATCCCTGGAAGGCATCCCTGCTTGATGTGGTGCCCCTGTTATAAAGAGCAGACATCAAGCACTTTATAAACCTATTTTGCGGGCACAGTTCAGGATAAAAGCTGCAATGGATAAGGAACCCCACTGACACAGGCCTCCTTGCTTCTCTTCCTTCCCCCCTGCCCCCAAACGCCCCTCCGCCCGCCTCTGCAAGCCCACAGAATACCCTGTGTGGTGCCCGGTCCCACACTGATGTATCTTGGTCCCATCTTCCACCGATATTGATGCGACTTAATTCTTTTGGGGGTCAGAGGAATGCTCCTCCAAGACACTCCCCATTTAGTGGCCGGGGAATGTTGGCCATCCTTTTAGGGAAGTTTCATCCTCTCCTCCCTAAAAGTTAGGGCCTGAGGACTTCCACCCTGCTTTGAAAAGACGCGCATTTGCTTCATGTGCAGATCCATGCACGCTCCCCCTTGGCTCCCCGGTGCTTCTGTTTCATGACGAGGATGCAGAGAATAACAGGGGAGGCATGTGCCCCCTTTTCATGTGAAGCAGGGTGAGGCCATTTGCATTAAGTGTGGGGCTCTCCTGCTCCCCCTCCCTCTCTGTGCTTTTCAGTTACTGCGTCTACTTCCACCTGAAGCAGGTGACTGCCACCTGCTGGCTGCATCTCTGGAGCCGACAGCTGGCGAGAGAAAGGCACGTCTGTGTCGAGTGCCAAGGGGACGCCGCGGGGAGCAGAAACCGGTGCCAAGGGGACGGTCTGCAGGGAACCAGGTCAGTCGCTCAGGGCGGCGTCGCTCGGCACCCTCCAGTGGCCTGGGTTGCAAATGTTGTCTGTTTATCAGATTTATATCACACCCCTTTTCTTACCAAGAACTCAAAGCGGCTGGCATCCTCCTCCTCCTCCTGCTGCTCCCTGTCTTACCCTCACAACAACGACCTTGTGAGCTTGGGTGGAGAGTCTGTGACTGGCCCAAACCGCCCCAGTGGGCTCCGTGGCTGAGTGGGGACTTGACCCCAGGTCGCATGGGTGCCAGTCCTGCGCTCGTAACCACTGTGCCACACAAGCTGGTAGTGTGACATTGTGTCAGCCATGCCAGATGGAGGAGCCTCTCAGATACAACCACTCCTTAGGAATTTGGAAGCTGCCTTTGGCTGAGTCCAGCCATGAATTCGTCCGATTTTCTCTCTCATGATCAGGGTGGGGAGGGGTGGGGCCATGGGAAGGGGGCGTGGCCTCCTGGGCACCTCGGAGGGCCAGATGTGGCCCCGAGCCTGAGTTTCTGCACCTCTGCTAAGCAGCAATAACTCTTCAGCTTCATTTATGTATTCATTTCACGCCACCTCACATATATTTCTTCCTCATCAAGACGTGGTACATTCCTTGCATGTACCACTCCGTATTTCTGCATGGAAATTCCAAAGTGGTGCAAAATAAAAGATCCAATGGATTAAAATAGAAACACACACAGACTGCGTTAAGAGCAACCATCAACAAAACCACGGCTGGTTTGTCCGGGAGAGCTTCCTGAAATAACAGTGACTTGCAGAGGCAGGGCGTTCCACTGAAACGGGGCCAACACACGGAAGGCCCTTCTCCGGATGGACTCCAGGTGGGCCATAGGCCCCTGTGGAAGCCCTGGGGGCATGCCCTAAGAGGATCCCCACAACTGGGCAGGCTTGTAAAGGGAAGGGTCCTCTCTTTGGGATCCTGGCTCCAAGTGGCTCGCACGTTGCTTCCGAATCCTCAAATCCCGGTAGTGAACCAGGGCAGAGCTGCGTGCTGCAAAGCGGCAGCGGCTTTGAGTGGCCCAACTAAACGGTGATGGAGACAAGAACTGTGGTGGGATAACCAGCCCGGCCCCTTTACTGTCTTCCCCCTTTCAGAACATTCTGGACTGCCGCCTCCGTCGCTGGCTGTCAGGGATCCTGGATGCAGGAGGCCATGAAAGAGAACTGCCAGTGTCCCCAGCAATCCTTTATCTTTGTATGACCTGTCAAACCAGGTGACAAGTCAAGAGACACAGAGAAAAGGATGCAAGCGACAGCCACAGCAGTCGGTCACTAAACCACCGGCTGAAGAAAGGAAGGAAGTACCAAATACGAATCTCACACCACTTTTTACCTCAGTGTTACGATTCCTCCACGTTCCAGTTCCCTTCTCCCTACATCCTGACCTTTTTAGCAGCTGCCTGTCCATGCATTGGTTGAAAGCACAAGAATTATCTCATGCGTTTTTTTTTAACAATATACCTCGGGGTTGGGGATGTGGGGGGAAGGTGACCCACTTCCATTGTTGCAGCTCAGATGGGAGATGGTTTCTTTTCATGCTTTCTGATACCGCACCTGTTTTTACTGAAGACAATAAGCAAAAGTCAGTAGGTGCCCCATTCTTCATTTCCTTTGACGGAAAACACAAGGTGAGAATTTTGGTGTGTACATTTTAGTGTATTCCTGAACCAACAGGACTTAAGCATGTCTAACTTCCTCTGGCTTGTGTTTTCTGTGTCTTTTAAAAGCAAAACAAGGAAATTGATTTGCTGCGAGGCTTACTGGTAAACCAGCACCTGGAGAACTCTTTCTTGGGGTTAAACTGGAAAAAGAATCGAGTACAGGAAGTTATGCCAAAGTAGAAAAATATTGTTTCTTGGTCTTTGGGCTAGGGTCAAGGGTAGCATGAATGCGTTAAAATTCAAGAAACCAGAACCTGTTGTGCAAGTTTAGGACAGGATTTGATCTTTGAAGTCAGCTTTGGGGCGCATGTTATGTCTAGTGATGTTCTCAGGGAGCTGAACAATTCATTGCTCCTTGTCATAATGTGAAGTATTTGGAGGACAGTTTGGTCCTGGATGGGCAAAAAGACCAATTAGCTTTGCAAAAGCTATGAGTGGTTGGTTGATACAGATCAATCCACTTCCCTGCCTTTTTGGACTCTTCCTGGAGCGATGGTTTATGAGGATTGTCCTGATGTACTGCTTGCTCCATTGGTTCCTTGATTTCTTTTGCAAAGCCCGTTTAAGTCCGTTCAGAAAGGGTACTAGCAATACCTGCTTTTTCTCACCTGTGGCAGCCATGGCCTGCCTTTAATTTGATGCACCTTCATCTTTGCATGAGAACTGCATTGGTTGTTTTGGCCATCTGAACTGACCAATCAAATAAATACTTTGTGCTGAAGCCGTACCTAGGTTTTCCAAGTTCAGGCACATGTGTACCCACAAGCAGGTGGCAGTATGAATGACTCTATGGAATTTTTAACTATGCATGACTGTTTTGATCTTTTAATACTTGGCATATCCCAGGCAGTCATCTTCCACTGTGAGGGGCTGCGGTTCTACATGGTATCAGGTGCATCTATCTCAAATAAAGATTTGCAGGCAACCTGTAATGCAGATCAGTTTCATTACACAGGGACAACCGGGTTTGTTTCTTTGGTTTCTTCTTCCAGAGCTGTGATATAGCAAGACACATGAGCAAAGGGGTCAGAAAAAACCACATTGGATGGATTCTCACATGATGACAACCTGAAGAATTGGTTGTTGTCAATCATGGGTTGTCATTATATGCAAACCTGACACTATGGTTTAATTATGGTTTGCTAACTATTAATACCCAGGAGGAAAACCATGGTTTCTTGTTGTGTTTTGCACTTAAGATTATTCGTGGTTACCAAGCTACAGAGTGAGCTTCATATGTAATGACAACACATATGCGTTCTCAACTCTACTCTGGGATGTTTTGCATGTGAACAGTTCAGTTCATACACGGGATTCACATATAAAGCTAACCCATGTATGAGTTGTGGAATTCTGGATTGTTGTGATGTGTGAACCCAGCTGTGCTCAGAAACCATGGTTTATTAGCCTGAACAACCAAGATGGTTTGTTGTGGTGGTGTGAACTCTCAGTTTCTCAGCCATGGGTAGTTGTTGCATGTGAATCCAGATTTCTGGGTTGTTTGACCAGGCTGCACAGGTAGTGGGGCAGGAGTCATAAAAATAACTGCATGCACCCCCTTCCCCCAGGCATAAAATAAGGAGAGAACAAATAGTTTGCTAAAGGAAAAAAAATCCAAAACATTATTGGAATAATTTCCCTTCCTTTGGAGTCCAAGGCATTGCTTTGCTGTGAACCCAAAACGCTGTGATGATACTACAGATTTGAAATCTTGCTTCTTAAGCCTCCCTCCTCTTGCTCAGCCTCCCAGGGCTCCAAGGTCGGTTTGGTTTCCTTTGAAGGGCTGCTGCAGCTGTACCAGCAACAGAAAACAATGCATCTGTGCTTGTGTGTGCGTGTGTGTGTGTGTGTGTGTGTCCCTCCCTCCACACCCTGTGTCATGGAAAAGCATGCTTTGCTGAATAAGGCACTGGTGTAAAAGGGGCCCCCAAATTCAATGTCATTTGGATGAAGGTCTAAAAGTTTAAATACCTTGAAAGGTGGGCAGTGCTGCCCTCAGCCGATATTGGACCTCCCCTCCCATGGTCTCCGAGCCACTGGACACGCTGGCTGAGCCCCGGGGGATCCGAATTTGAGTGTGATCCGGAGCAGGAGTGGGGCAGAAAGCTGGACTTCAACTCCCAGCAGCCCCTGCCAGCCTGGCCCAGAATGCTTGGAACTGAAGTCAGCAATGCCGGAAGCTCCACTTCCTGTGCACCCTTGATCTGCAGGGTGACTGGTTCCTTACTCACAGGAAAGAGCTATCCAGGGTGGTGCAAACCAGAAGCAACCTGGAAGGAAACTACCTTGGGTGACCACCTGGTCTGGACAGGATGTATCGACAGCACGGAGAACACTTCTCCTTGGGGACAGAGTGTCTTTGCGTGTTTCACACGCAGCATAATTTTCTTTTATATTTTCTGAATCCCCCCCTCTTTGCACATTCCTTTTGTACCCCTCCTCCCAATTTATTCACGCAAGAACTTAGGCTGAGTCAGTGACTGGCTTGGGGTCACCCAGGAACCGAAGGTGCTTTAGGCTGAAGTGCTGGGATGGACTCCGGCTCTGCAGCGGAAAGGGGTTCTGCATTCGCCAGTTAGAGAGTCTGGAAGAAACCACGAGCCAAGCAAAACAACATGAAAAGTGCCGCTCTTTAGCCTCTCTCATTTAATATGGCCGTCCATCAACCATTTGTAGGCATTGTCCCAAACTTTTAAAATGAGGACACAGAGGACTGCTCCTTCATTCCTCTCTCGCATTTGGTAAAAGCCCAGGGAATGTGTGGGACCGTACTCTGCACCCCACACAGCCTTCATCTGGTTAATGTGAACCTGGTGAGTGGTCACCATCCGGTCTCCACCGGAGGCCCTCCCCGCCCCTCAACGGTCATCAGAAAGTCATCTGAGAAGCATCCTTCCCTGAAGAAGAGGCAGACGAAACACAGATGAGCTTGAACTCCAAAGAAGCAACGCCACAGAAGAGAAGAAAGGAACAGGCCAGCCCAGGAGATCAAAAGATGTGGTGCGCACCTGAGTCAAGTTTGGCGCAGCACCGGTGTATTCCCACCTGCCTGGGCAAAAGACGGAGCGTCACCTTTGTGTTCTGTGATCCTTCTGCCTCCCCAACCCCTTTCCTTGTGTCTCACGGACTTTTTACACTGTCAGCCTACAGGCTGAGAAGGTCTAATGACAGATTCCTAGTAGCCACTTTGGGAGCCTTTCCAGCTAAAGAGAGGGGCAGAAACACATTCTGAAGAAATGAATGCTAGTATGAAGGGTCCAGAGCGATACTCAGCATCATGGGGCATCCCGTTTCTCCATCCTTGTGGGCATACCTGGAGTGAGGGAGGGCTCCATTTCCCTCCTCCAAAAAAGTCGGTGGATGGATGAAAAGGGAGGAACTAAGAGCCCTGCAGGGGTTCCTCCGGGGACGCCATTTTGCCTTGTCGCAGCGACACCTCTGGAATTCACAGGCTGAGCTGAGCAGGGAACTGCCACATTCTGCAGGCGGTGGGAAAGGTGTTGGCTTGGGTGGGCTGCAAGCCCTCTGCAGGAGCAGGCTGAGAAGATGAATGTGAAGAGGGTACTGCAGCGGGCCTGAAGGAAAGGGGCTCCAGAGGCTGAAGGTGCAGGGCAGGGGAAGACAGGGCAATTGGGACATGCTGAAAAAGGAAAGAAATGGGGAGGAGTGGACAAGGTTCTGGAGAGATTGCAAAATCCCATGCCGGGAGATGTGTATTGGCTCCTGAACGGGGAGGAAGGAGAGGTTGGTCCAGATGGCGAAAGGAAGCAGAGCAAAACTGAAACCTGATGATATTGTGCCTGAGAGCCAGAATGGGTATGTTGTGGAGAAAACAGGTCTGGGAGAAAAACACTCCTAAGTCAAGATGGGGCAGGACCTCAGAGATGGGGTGCTAGGCTGAAGGACGGGGTGTTGGAGTTCTTTCAGCTGGAAGGCCAAATTTGGTTTCCGGGAAGGTCTCAGTGGTGGCACTGCAGTACTGGGAGGGGCTGAAGATGGAAGGAGGCGGGGCAAAGGCAAAGGGGCGGAGCCAATCACAATGCATCTTAAAATTTGCTGGCCTCTAAGCCTCAGGAGAGGCATTTCAGCCTTTTAAACAGAGGGAAAAGCTCACCAAAGTCATGACATCACAAAACAATCAGCCACCGGGCTGGGAAAGCAGTCACTAATTGGCGATGTTGGGGAACACTGCATTGGAATGATCCTGGCAAATCTTTGGCTGGCAGGTCACTCCAGATACGGTGGATTACAACTCCCACCATCCACATCCAGCACCTTAGCAGTGCTCGTGGATGATGGGTGCTGTAGTCCAAAGCTCTTGGAAGGACCTGGGCTGTGGGAAGTCACAGTAAAAGATCACATCAACATCTACTCACGTAACAATTTGCCACTTCAAAGGCGCACGTGGGAGCTATACAAAGCCCAGGTAATGGAGGGGTGCGCTGGAAAAGAGCCCCCCTCCCCACTCAGGTGCCTTTCCTGCGGGGCTTCGGAACAGAGGAGCTGGTGCACTCCTGGCAAGGATTGTCTTTGGTGTTTTTAAGTAGGGCGTTTTAAAGCTGCAGTCACTGTTTTTCCCTGCCAGGGGAGAAGTCAGAAGCGTGTTCCATGGGGCCGCGCACGGGCGCACAGCAGCGGGAAAAGCACCTGGGCACGGGCAGGAGGGTGCAGAGGTTCGGATCCCAGTATCTCCAGTTGGAAGGCTGTCCAGAACATGGGCCTTTGCTGCACACCAACTCAAGGCAGATGCAGGTCTCACCTGATAGCATCTCCACTGGGGATGTTGGACCATTTTGGGCTCACGGGCCAGGTTCTGTTTGGGAAAAGCTCTCGGACGGCGAGTTTCAGTGGTGAGTGGGGCGAAGACAAAACCGGCGAGGCTGAAAATGCCAGCAAGTTTTATCTTAAAGATCCTTCAGCCCGTAAGTGAGAACAGGGGGAAAATACTGCACAGAGCAATGGTTCTTTCTCCCGATAGCAGAGCTCAGAGGGAGCTCAGCTCTGGAAAGCTGCTGCCGGTCAGAGTGGGCCTCGCTAGGACGGAAGGGGTAGTAAGGCTACCTCAGTCTGGTCACTCTTCTGTACGGGAACTGGAGGTGCCAGGATTGAAGCCTCATTTGCAAGCCTTAATCTTGATCCCAGAAGCCAAGAGGTGATTTGCGGTAACGTGTGATGAGAAAGGCACTCTGCACATGTTCAAGGCAATGATGATAACGAGGATTTAGCAAGTCACTGGAGGGAAAGGAGACTGGAGGCAAACGTTTGTGTCCACCTGTTCAGGTGTCCAGCTCACGCCGAAGCTTGAGGATTTCCAGCAGCAGCTTCTCTTTCTCCAGAAGGATCTTCTCCTTCTGCAGCTGCAGCGTCTCCTTCTGCAGCTCCAGCACCTCTGTTTGCAGCTGCTTCTGCTTATCCAAAAACTCTCCCAGCGACTCTCGGGGGGGTACTGAGGCATCCCTCTGTCCAGACGGCAAGTCTTCATCTGCAGGCATGCTCACTAGAGAAAGCAAAGGAAGAGTAAAGCTAAGGAGCAGTTTGACCAAAATGCCAACAAGGCTGAACCCCAGGGAGATGACTTGCTCGAGTCAAGGCCACCCCGACGTGGGCTCTGCTCCAAGCCTCTAACCAGCCTCCTGGGGCATTTAAAATGGGAAATAAAATTGTAAAAGCAGAGGCGGGAGCTCAGTTCTGCGCTCCACCAAGTGCAAAGCTATACAAGTTGGAGTAATTCTCAGTGAGGTTAGGGCGAATTATCAAGGAAATTATCATTTTATTCAGGAAATCTCTTTTCCAAAGAGCAAGTAAAGTAAAGAGCTTTCCTGCGCCCTGCTTTTGTGTGTCAAGCTGTAATGGTCATCATTCCTCCCATGTTGATGGGGGATTATGGGAATTGCAGTACATCAGGCAGGGGACAGGCTGGTATGAAGTACTGATTTATATTTGCTTTTCCAGGTTGTTTTCCTTTGGTGAAAAGAGTTTTCTCAAAGAGTTTTAGGGAACAGGTCAACCTCTTGCTTTCTTTCTTTGAGGACTTTGGCCTCCTCAACCAATTTGATTTCAAGGCAAAGCCAACAGCTCTGTTATAAAGCAGGGTGTACAATTTTAAGACCTTGCGGACTAGCCTTCTTGTTCCGGTTATCCCTGCTGTGTGGAGATCCAGGTAAGATGGCAGTAACCCGACATGCACGAGAAGATTGGAAGCTACAGCAGATTCAAAATACATCTGGCAGAATAGTCAGGCAGAGTTTAAGGTTCCTATTCTCCATTCTTTTATTTAAGTTACTTTTGCCAGGGGCTAAACCTTGAGTTTCTAAAGGAGAATCAATTCCACCCTTGCAAGATTTCAACTGAGCTAGCGATGTGAAGGAAACACCAAAGCCAAAGCCAAGCAAGAAAGGCAGGAAAAATCATGGAAACCCGTGTTTTTTAAACCCTTTGCCCTTTCTGGGCCTTTGCTTGTTTCAATCAAATGAATGGGACTCAAGTGCCTCAAAGTCCATTGCGTTTACAATGGCGCATGTAACCCAAGCCAGCCCATTGGTGCTGCTAAGCTGCTTGCTTTAGTTATAGGCTTTGGAAAGCATTCATGCAGTGTCCTGTTACACACAACTACACAGCACCAGGTTGTCAGTCTCGGGGCTGCTCCTGCATACAGAACCTCAAGACTGTAGAGCCCACGGTTCCATGTCTACTGAAGTCTATGCAAACCACGGACTGCTGGGCAGCTCCATCCAGGTCAGCTGCAGACGGGACCTGCTGTCAAGTGTCTCCGGTCCTGAATCTACCAGGCACTTCGATCGACCCTGAGCCTTTCCTCTGTCTGCCTGGAGGGTGCCAACAAGGGAAACAGGCCCCTGATCTGGGAAAGATCTCCCTACGGAAGCCCACCTGGCACCAACATGTTCATCTTTTCAGTGCCAGGTGATCTTTGCCCTTTGCTTCCTTGTGAACGCTCTTCCCCCCCCCCACACCAAAATTATTTCAACTGCTTCAGCTTTAAATTTTGTGCATCAACATTTGTTGCTGTACTGTAACTATTTTCTGCAGCATTTTTCTTGCATCTGCCTTTTATTATTGTTCTGTGAATTGCTGTGAATGGCCCAGAGAGCAATGGATGTGGTATACAACTTAAATTAATAATAGGAAAATGGTAGTTATGATAATAGGGGAGGAAGAGGAGGAGGAGGAGGAAGAGCTTGCATTTCTAGAATACCGTCTGGCATGGCGAAACTTGCATTGGATGGGATTTGGTCGCAACCCTCACCATTATCATCCATCGTGGAGTGGAGGCCATCAGAACTGGGACTGCCAGCACTGCTGCTTTGGGTCATGGGGCTGCCAGCTGCTCCTAAGTAAGGCCACTGCAGAGGGCTGAGGGGGCATTCGATCTTACAGGTCAGGGTGAGGTCTGAGGAGCAGTTCCTAGGCTGGGAAACCTTACAGTCTCCAGTCCCCACAGGTTCCTGGATTTGGGGCGAAGCTCTCCCGGGGCTCTGCGTGCAGCGCTCTTCACCGGCCCGCGGGCTGTCCAACGTCCCACTTTTGCAAGGCTGGATGGGTGGCTTTTCCTCTCTGTCGTGGGTGCCTCCCTCAGCACGCCCGGCATCCCTGTCAGATCGTGGCATCGCCGCCGGCTGGTCAGCGAGGGCCTGCCCCGGCAAGACGAGCTCCGCGGCTGCTGCAGCGCTCGCTTTGGAGTCTTGAGGCGTCTTGGTTTTGGGGGGCTGGGGGTTGCGGCTGTCGCTGCAGAGGTAGAAAATGCAGGGTGTCTCTGGGAGGGGCTTGCCCGTCGGTGGAGGACTTCCACTGGAAGGCGCTGCCCTCCGCGGGGGGCCATAAAGCAGCGGTTGGGAAAATGCGCCATCCGACGTGTTGAGGAGAGCAAAGATGTTGCGGAAGAGCCGGTCGCGAGGCTGCCCCCGCAGCAACGGGTGCTTCTCGATGGTCTGCTCCTTGCGGGCATCCACCACCATGTTCTTCCACTTCCTGCGGATCTCCTCCGGCGTGCGCTGCACCAGTGGGTTCAGGGAATTCACGGCCGTGGCGATCTCTTCCCAGGCCTGCTGGCGGTCTGCGGTGTTCTTGTAGCGGCCGTTCTTGGGCATCAGGATGTCCTTGCGGAGAGAAAATTCCTCAAGGATGAGAAACTTCTCTTCATCGGAAAACTTGATCCTCTTTGCCTTGGGGGTTGACATCTCTGCGCTGCAATTGAAAACAGAAAGGGAAATGGGGGAGCTTGGAACTGGTCTGGCTGGAGACGAGGACAGTGGGGGCGGGGGGGCTGGCAGCGGTGGTGGGAAGGCTACCAATCTGATCACAGCAGTGGTTCTGGTTCCCCAATGGTTCCCCAACAATTTCTCTACAACCAGGAGCCATTGTTCTCAAAGTCACGAGGACTAGAGTCTTAGGCCGGACAGGGAGGTGGGGGGAAGCAAATGAGAATGAGGAGGCACACACCTTGCCCCCGTGTCTTTTGAGCATCACTGTTATTTTCCAGAAGACAATCTTACCCAGATAAGTTCACTGGATACTCCCTCTTCTCAAAGGGAGTATGAACTTTTGCTCATGACATCAGATCTGATAGCTCAATCAGAGCAAAGCAGAACAAACTCTACCGTGTTCCTGCTGCTCTCCATCTTATCCCCTCCGTAACAACCCTATGAGGTAGGATGTGCTGAGAGGCCGTGACTGGCCCAAAATCACCCAGTGGGCTCCATGGCTCAGCAGGGACTAGAACCTTGATCACCTGAACCCCAGTCCCATGCTCTTAATGCCACAATGGCTTTCTGTTATTGAAATATTATCTGAGAGACCAAAGAGTTGCAGGGTCTGAGCCCCAAATTGTTCTGGCTCAGTGCTGCAACTATGAAGGCCAAGCCCCTGCCCCTTCACAGCCAGTGGAGCAAGAACTGGGCCTCGAAGGTGGGGGAGGGGGGAGAAAATGGGGCCACAAAATTGTGCCAGTTCCACCCAGGTGCTAAATCTGGATGGCTGAAAATGGCTCTCTGCACGCGGGCCATGGAGCACAGCACCAAGTGCGACCGTCCGTGTGCCTCGCATTGGATGCTTGTAGCTCTCCATGTTCAGAGGGTTACATCTGCAACAATTTGCACTCTAAACCTCTTAGCATCCCCCTGCCTTTTTGTTAAACACCTGTGATGCTTCCCCTCTGCCGGATCAAGTCTTTTGCTCCAGGCATGCAGAACCTCAGGCCTGGGGCAAAATCTGCCCCTCCTGGTCCCCATCTGGGGCTCCCTGGGGAGCCACCCCTCTTCCCGGACCTCACCCCCTTCCCCCCAGCTCGGTGGTTTCCATATTTTGCACAGGTTCCCTCCTTTCTAATGAGCTGTAATGTCTCTTCCAGTCATTGCTTCTGGTAAGAAGCACTTTAGGGCCCAATCCTATGCAGGTTGAGACACACAAAAATCCCGCACAGGTAGGACTTTTGTAATGTTGCAAAGGACCCTCCTCTTAGGCTAAAATGTACTCTGTATGTTCCCCCTGCCATCATTGCTGGAGCATTTACTGCTCCTGCCAGCCATACCCACCCGTACAGCACTCCAATCCATCCCTTTGCACCCCAATTTTCTACTCTGCTTCCCCAAAATCAGTCAATATTCCATGTCTATTGAGTTTGATTGGACTTTCTTCTCGAAGGTTTGTTTGCATTTCCACAAGCCTGTGTGTGGTTATTAATTTGTTTATCAACAGCTTAGTCTTATGTAGCAACACTGAGCTGTGGAATTGATTACCTATGGCTTATTTTTGGATCCTCTATCCATTGGCCAAAATCTGAATTCATGCCAGTGGGCTGGATTAAGTTACCACATGGAGTTACTAAGTAGCAATTCCGCTAATGTTCAGAAGCAGAACCTAGCTTGGAATACAGGTGTCTGAAGGTATTTCTCAACCGATTAAACCTAATTTTGTGCATGCTCGGTGGAAATACCTCTTAATTTAGAATGAGGGCATCACTTAAAATAGAAGGAAACGAGTTGGGTTTCTTATGTTCTTAAGTTCGCAGCTGGAGATTCAGCATCGTTCCTATTAAGTGAACGTGCCCAAGATCACAGCTTAGCTTTGATCCAGCCAGAAAAACCTTACACGCCGTTTTTCTGGCTATATAGCAAGAAACTACGCCCCATTTGACAAAACGGTCGGAGCTATAGCGTACATTAAATGCGTGAGCGCATCTTCCTTTCTTTTTTGCAGCCTTGCCTAAGATTGCAAATTTTACGAGTATTACACTGAATTTTTAGCACCGCCGCCTATGCTGTAGTTGTCTTTAGAGCTGTTTTTCAAAATGTTGGTGTTACACGCCGCGCCCGGATAGCTTGGCTTGGATCTGCGTGTGCTGATAGTTGCATTGCTGCTGGAAATAGCCGCGGTTTGCTACGCAGATCTATCTGTGCGCGGAGATGTCGTTGGCTAAAGATGGCCTTAAAAAAAGAAGGAAAAAGCGAGCGAAGGCCGCGCGCTTACCCGCTTCTCTTCTGCCGCCGTCCTCAGAATTTTTGCAGGATCCCTTCGGTCTTCCTCCTCTCCTCTCCTCTCCTCTTCGCACCCCACAAAGCGAGGGAAAAGACGGCGAAGTCACCCCGCACCCCCTGTGCCCGCTTTCCGCCGCCGCAGCGTCTGCAGCGGCACAGCTCAAGAGAGCGCCCTCTGGGCATGTGCAAAGTTGAGAGGCGAGCGAAGGCAAGGGGCAAGAGCGTTTCCGTCTCGCGCGCGCCCATATGGATAGAAAGAGCATTGGGAAGGCGGGGAGCAGGAGGAGGAGGAGGAGGAGGAGGAGGAAGAGGAAATGGCAGGGGCGCAGCCACGCGGTATTCCGCATCTAGCCTTTCTGGCTCTATGGTTTTTCCTCTCGGCTTCGGGGTCCAGGAGGAAGAGGAGGGGTGGCGGCGCTGGCCGGCGGAGCCCGCGGCGGGGCGGGGGGGGGGGGCGCTGCCGGATCCGGCCTCGCAGGGGTCCCCGTCCCGGGGGCGGCCCTCCGGCTCGCAGGCGGGACGAGGCTCGGCCCGGCCCGGCCCGGCGAGCGGGGCGCAACCGCGAGTGGGGCCGCCGCTCCGCTTTCCTCCCTCGCTTGCCACCGGCCCTCGCCCTCGCCCTCCCGCCCCGGCTTTCCTCTCCGCCTGCCCTCCGTCCTCCCTCCCTCTCCTTGCCCATTCATTTTCCCTTTCTCCTTCCCTTTCCCTCCTTCCTCCACAGCTTTTCCGTTTTCCCTTGAATTCAGGAGTATTTTACGCCTATCTTTCCAATATTCTGCTTCCCTCCCTCCCCTTCCCCTTCCCCCCCTTTTAAGCATGTTTAGATGGCTGGGGAGGCTCCTTCTGACTCATTCTTTTCCAGTTTCTAATCTGTACGTTCCTAATATTTCCCTTCAGCTCCTCTTCTCTCCTCTCCTTCCCTTATTTTTCTCTGCTCCCCCTCCCTTTCTTCCTCCACTGCTTTTAATTTAAAACGTTTAACCCCTATCTTCCCAATATCAAAGAGCCAGTGTGGTGTAGCGGCACAGAGTGCGGGTCCGGGACTCAGGTGACCGGGCTTCTAGTCCCCGCTCAGCCATGCAGCCAGCTGGGTGACTTTGGGTCTGTCACAGATTTTCAGCCCAACCTACCTCACAGGGTTGTTGTGGAGAGAAGATTGAGAGCTGGAGAATGATGGAAGCTGCTTTGAGTTTGTTATAAGAAAAAAGCAGGCTATAAATCTAATAAACAAACAAACAGAACTACCACAGAGACAAACATCTGGAACATCTTTTTTTCTCTCCCAAGTTAGGAATTATCTCTTTGGCTCTTTTCTGCCCATCCAGAACCCTTGGTTCTGGACATGCGTGCCTGTGTGCTTAGCCCCAGGGTTCATGATTTTGACGTGAAGGAGGGCACCTGGGCAGCTCATTTTGAGCTACCTCCTGCCCAGGTAGTTCCTTCCAGCCTGCTGAACACCTGAGCATCAGGTTTCTGGCAGTGGGGGCTGATGGCCTGGGTCCACACAGCAGCAGGAATGCAGGTTGCCCACGTGTGCTTTCTGCAGTAGAGAATTACCATATTTTTCGCTCTATAAGACACACTTTTCCCCCCCTCAAAAGGGGAAATGTCTGTGCGTCTTATAGAGCGAATGTGTGTGTGCCCGATGCCAGGGACGCTGCTAGCCCACCTGCACCACGTGGCACCACCTGGCCGGCATGCGCTCGGCGTGCGCTGCTCCGCCCTCACCTCCGGTGCAGGTGACAGCTGTGCCGCTCAGGGGGAGCGGTGCGGAGGAGCCGCGGGCTTTAACCCGCCGGCCGCACGGAGAAACGGACTGCTCACCCCCACCGCCCGGGAAGACCTGCCACCGCGCCGCCCGGAAGACCACCTCCAGCACGTTGCTGGCCCGGCTGCACCACACCTGTCCGGCACGCGCTTGGTGCGCCCTCCTTCGCCCCCCTCCTCTGGTGCAGGTGAGAGCTGTTAATCATAGGTTGGTGTGTATTTTCAAATGGCAACCCGTCTTTTAATGAAGCCCATGGGGAAGTGATGGGGAATGTGCCTGTGATTATCAGGAAGCTTTCCATGGATCCCTCCTCTAAAAACTAGGTGCGTCTTATGGTCAGGTGCGTCTTATAGAGCGAAAAATACGGTACCCTCTGCCGAGTTTATTTATTTATTTATTAAAACATTTTTATGCTGCCCCATTCGCCGAAGCCTCGGGGCGGCTTACAACAATAAGTTGTAACTGTAATTACTTCTCCCACCCGGGCTAGTGGCTGACTAAGAGGAAGGCTGTCAAAGACATCCTGTCCCTCCCTTGGCCTTCTCCGGCTTCATTCTTTGCTCCCATCGAGTGGGCACCCATCGCTCAGCTCTGATGCACAAAGACGTCGTCGTAGCTTAGCAAGACGGCCCTCCCGTTTGTTTATGGCCATTTGGGACTGCCACACATTGGTCAAGCCGCATCATGGAGTGATGCAGAGGCTGGCCGCTTGCGGCCCACGAGATAGTTTGGCCCGGCGTTCCTCCCCCTTGCTTTGCTGGCAAGGACTGATGGGGAAAATCAGCCACAGTATCTGGGGCCTGCACTTGCCGACACTCAGGGCAGCAGCTCACTAGAACCCTAGGCTGGAAAAGGTATGGTGGATTCCCACGGCAGCCAAATGAAGCACCATCTCCACGCTTTCTCTGCTGAAGTCAAAAAGTCCTCAAGATGCACTGCGACGTGTTCTTGGGGGACGGCTCTTAGTGTCCATGCAGCGACTGCTCCATCTCTGTGCTGACCATGGGAGCCATTCCACGCTGAGCGAGCAGCTTCTGGACAGAGCATGCAGTTCGTCTCAGCTCCTGGGAAGAGAAGGCGATTCCTTCCGAGCTGGGCTTCTTCCCTCCTTCTAGGGTCTCCAGGATGCGGATGGCGAGGACGGCCTTGACCAGCAGGGTGGTGACGGCGGCATGTACCTTTGCGCAGCCCAGAGCCTTTAGGTGCAGAGCTGTGCTGTGGTCTGGAAGACAGGAGATGTGGTTGAGCATCCAGAGCATTCGGTTAGCCAGAGGCAAGCATGCAGAGCATAATCTGTAAGAAGATGCGTGTCTGTCTGTCTGTCTGTCTGTCTGTCTGTCTGTCCCCATTTAAGGCCATGATCCCTAGACACTTGAAAGTTGGCATGTTTAGCACAGAAGTCCTAAGGGTAGGCACTTTGGGGTTATTTTTAAAAATGTGTTTGAAGGTTACAGCTACATCTTCAGGCACTAAGGTGGCAGACCGGAGTCACCAGCGGTTGTCCAGCACAGTCTGAAGCCAGGAATGACAGAATTATATTTTCTCAACTCTGGGGCAACCTCCTTAAGGGGAATCTTTCCCTCAAAGGCACTATTGGGGTACACCATGGCCAGGACTGTACCTAAGGGTGCCATCAGGCATTGCTTTGTGCATACAGGGAAGGCATAACTGATGGCTTGCGGTCCTTCCTGTATCCATGTATGGGCTATTCCTGCATCTGTGAAATCAGGGCTGCTTGCTAGTTAGACTATAAGAACGGTATATTGGATGGGTTCTATCCAAGAACTGCGAGGTTATTAAAGATCAACAGGTAGTGGAGTGATCTTACACAGTACCCAGAAGCTAATCTTAGAGATATGCCAGGGCCTTATACATGGTCTCAGTGTATACAAGTTACAAACAGCATCTGAGACAATTGCCTCTACCAATTATACTCCTTAGACAAGAGCTGCTTTTGCTGTGAGAAACAAACTAATGGCTTCAGTCCTGAACAACTGAAAACAAGTCGGCCTGGTCTTTCATGTGACTTCCAGTCATACATTCAAAGTCTGTTGAATTTTCTCCTCTCCCCGCTAAGCGATTCCTCACAGGACTTGTTTTCCAGATCTGACAATGCCCTGGGCGTCCTCCTTTGGACACGCTCCAGTTTGTCTGTGCCTTTGTTCAACATGGCAGCTGGCTTTACACTCACCTCGGCTCCACCACTGCCGGCAGTGCTGCAGGCCTGCGGAGATCCCTGGCCCAGTGGCTGTCAGCCAGCATTGCATTGACTCCCAAAGCGTTGGCGAGGTGGTCGCTTTGTGGAGCAGCTGGAGGAGGAAAGGCAGCAACATTTGGGAGAGGAATGCTGGCTCTGCATAAACGTTTGGTTCATCCTCTTTATACAGGCTGACAGTCCTGGAGAGAGAGAGAAGCCACCAGAGTTTATTAGGATTTAAAGCATGGAGGAGGAAACTCCTGCTGTTATACTAGGCTGCAGGGGATTCCTACAGACTCCTCCCCAGGTTCTTTGCCCTGGAGGCTTGCAGCAAAAGGAATCCCTCCCGTTATCTTCTCACCATCCCTGTAAGATAAAAACAACACTGGTGGTGCATAGGCACCATCTCATAGTCTCTGGAGGAAATGAATTCATGATGTGATTACACTAGAAGGAAGCAGAGCTATTTTTTGTTTGGCCTGATGCCTCGTTTTGCGGCTGGTTCTGCTGCCATCAGGCTCGGCTCTGGCTGTGGTTATCCCCCTTTCCCTTGCTCTGGTGGGTTGATTTGATGAGCTGCCCCTGGGAAAACCGATCTTGTAGCCCAGGGACGGCAACTTGTGGCCCAACAGCTGCGTGGGTTTACAACTCCCATCAGTGGTGAGGATCATGGGAGTTGCAGGCCAAATTGCCCGCTGCTGCTCTGTGCCAAGGAGTTTCCTTGTGAGAGGTTTCCCAGCTCAACGCCAAGGCTCAGTGGTAGGACACCCGCTTCCGGGGCAGAAGGCTGCTGGTTCAGAGCCCTCCGCCTCCAGCTAGGGCTGGCAGAAACTCCTGCCTGCCCCCTTTGGGCACACACATTCCTTTCCCAGCCCCTCGCCTTTTCCGGCTTACCCCTTCATCTCCAGCTCTGCCAGAGCATCAGCGAGGTTTGTCGCAGGGAGGTGCTGCAGCAAGGATGCCAAGGCTTCCGGGTCATTCCCAGATGTGTCCACCTGGAGCTGCAGCAGCCTCAGCAGGGCCTTGCTGCTCTGAAGCGGGGCGCACGTGTCCCGAGGGGGGACCTCCGAGCTGAGGGGCGGCTGCTGCACCAGACGACTGGCAAAGGCGGCAGCTTCCTTCCTCACCGCCTGGTCTTCGTCTTGGAGCAAACGGACTGCTGCGTGGATCAGGCTGAAGAAACGCCCAATGCAAAGGAGAGCGAAATTATTGGGGGGGCTTCCGGAAAATGAGTTTTTAAACAGCTGGGGGGAAATGCTGCTCAGTTCACCTTTGAAGCTGCAATTGGTCACTGATTATTAAGATGTCTCAAATGACATTTGTCTAGGAGTTTCAAATATAAAACAGGGAGATCACCAGTTGCAATGCAATCAAAAGTATAAAACAAGAACACATGTCAGTACAGCATGAATTACTATTTCAGGTATTGGAGGTCAAACCACACTGGAAGTGCTAAAAGCATAAAACACTAAAATATTTGGAAGTATTTAAGGGTGCATCCTATGTTCGTTTAGGTGGATTTCAACAACTTCTAGCACGCTCCGGCCAGATGGTAGTGGTGGTGGTGGTAATAATAACAGAAACGAAGCAAAACCAAAGTTCACCTTGAGTAGTTTTCTGAGCAGAATGCTAAACCTGAGAGCTCAAATCCCAACTGGATCAAAAGCTCTTAAGTAAATCAAGCATCAGTGTTCCATTCTGTAAAATGGGAATAAAGGTGTACTACCTCACCAAATTGCACTGGGGAACAAGGTACGGAGCATGGACTGACAGGCGTCCCACCTGGGAGCCCTTTTGTAGGGAATGAGTAGCGTAGGTGGTCCAAAAGGAAGGGCGCAGGGAGTGCCCTCTCAGCAGGCTAGGGTAGTCATACCCACCTGCTTTTGGCACTCGCCTCCACCGGATGAGTGGGTCTGGCCAGAGTTATGCTAGGTCAGGAGCACTGTGGCCAGTGAACAGGGTCCCTTGGCCCCTCTGCCTGGCGCTGCTTGAAATGTAGACCAGGAAATTAAATAGGTGGATAAACCGAAGCATCTGCTGGGCCCTGGCAGCTGCCCACGCATGCCAGGTAACGGCGCTCCCCCTGCTGCTACGTACCCTCGTGACCCCACATGGAGAGCCGGGCTGGAGGACTCCTGGGCTCTCCCAATCAGCTCTGCCCCTGCCAGTTTCAGCGATTTGGCGGCAGCCATTCTGAGCACCTCGGAGGAAAGGGGGCTGCTGCACCGTCCGATCGCCGCGCTCCATCGTTCCCACAAAGGAAAATCCTCTGAGCTGTCCCAAGAGGGGGAAACATGGATCAGAAGAGACCAGCGCCACGGCCAATCCACTCCCGTGCTCTGTGCAAGTGTGCGACATGGCGTGCGATGCGCGAAGAAACCTAAACAGCCCGCCAAGGCTCGGGAGCGATGCAGGAGCCAGAACTGCCACACAGGTGCAGGCCGCACTATTTGGAGGCCTAGCCTTAGTGCCAACCCTCCGTTCTCATCCCTTGCTGTGCTGCAGCAGAGTTTGGGCCTCACGGTGTGATGGAGCCATTTTTCATCCGTGATGCTCTGAGCTGCAGCTGGCAGCCCTTCTCACGGGGGTCCCCAGGCCTCGGGCTGACTCGGCCCACCCAGGCTAGCCAGCAGTTCCCCTGGGCAAATAACAGGATCTGAGCTACTCTGGGCCAGCACCCGATGGCCAGAACCACCTCAGTACTGGCAGGATCAGTCCCAGGCTCTGCTGGAGCGCTCAGCATCTTGATGGGAGCCAGCTGGGGACCCTGGGGAAGGGCTACATAAGAGCCGGCTCTTCTTCCAAAACCAACAGTGCAGGCTCCCTGGAACGCTCGCCTCTTGCCTGACCCAGATCCTCTCTTGCTGCGCCCCCCGCGATGCAGCTTTTCTGCCAGCCATGGTGAGCTTCAAGTCTGCACCTTGGCCTGACTGCTTTCCCTGCCCAGGGATCCTACCTTAAGGGACCCACAATTCTGCTTGTCTTGCTGGTTCTCAAGACTTGGCTTGTCCAGAGCTGCGTCTGGTCCTATGCTATGCTCCCAGTATGTCCTTTGGGTTCCCGACCCTGCTTTGTCCTGTGACTGCAACTTGGACTTGCTACCGAACCTTGCGATGGGGCTTTGGACTCTGTCTTGCTGCAAGTTCTGGTGCTCTGGGCCCAGTGCCTCTACCTTAACACCTGCCGACAAGAAGTCGAAGAGGCTTTGGAGCAAGCAGGTACTTCTGAAGGGTGGCGGGCTCTTTCTCTCACTGCTCCTGGTGCAGGGAGGACGTATCTCCTGTTTTACGGAGGGAGATCCTCTAGTTCGTTCATTCGGAGAGCTGCCCTGCGTTGCCTGGGCGGTGCTTCCTCAGCTGGAAAAGCTGTCTTGCGTGTCCCATTCCAGCTGGAAGATCAAGAACTGCTTCCCATCCACCGTTGCCCCTGAACATTGGCTTGGAAGGGCAGGTGGGCAAACCAGCCACCTTTTTCTACACGATGGTGAAATGTACTGTATGGAAATCATAACGATTCCATGATGCACATTATTAGAATTTATTATCGGTCGTTGCAATTGAACTATCTGAGCTATCTTTTTTTCTGGATTGGCATCTATGGGTATGCGTTAGCGGATGAAAATTCTATGCAACGCCAGTGTCCCCTCTTTCGGCTACTCCTAAGCGGGCGTCTTGTGCTGGCTTTGTGATTCTGGTTTAACCATTACCTGTGTCTTGTGCTTTGGTCCTGACTTCCGGCTACTCCCAGGCTGGCCCTTGACTTCCCCGCAAGTGTTGTCCAGGGCTCTGTCCTGCCCCAGGGACATTTTTATTTATTAACTGAAATATTTATTTATTATTATTTTATTTATTTCAGGTTTGTGCACACCTTGCTGCGTGTGGGTTACTTCCCTCCCTAGAACACGTACATAGGGGTACTTACTTTGGAGTGAGGAGCAAAGCTACAACGCACAACGCCTGGCCCAAGAGGTCTGGGCTGGAATGGCCGCTTTCCACGAGCGATAAGAGGGTCGCCTTGCATTCGGCGCATGCAGAATCCAGTCGGTTTGTGGGGAAAAGCAGCTCTGGTGAGTTGGGGGTGGCACAGAGGTGCACAAGAGCTTCCAGGTGTAACTTCAGAAGTGTCTGGTCCGTCCTGCATGTCAGCAATTCATTTATTTTCTCCTAATTAATACAAAGGAAGCATAAGAGAAAACATATCCAGACCACGTTAAAGGTACAGTATAGATATAAGGGTAGATGTATCAATGGATTGTATCCTGGATCGGCTTCAGCGAGCGGAACAGCTTTGCTAAGGGAGGGTCCTGTTGCGTGGTTCTGGGGGATCCCCCTTCCCTGGCTCTCGGAAGGGGCCCCTGACTAGCACTTTCAGGGGGCCTGAGGGGCTGTCATGGGAAAAGGGGGCTGGGAAAGCCCACAGTCGGTGCAGCTTGAATCTAAATTCAAGCCGTCTATATTTGATCGTAGGGAAAAGAAATTCCAGCAGCAAAGAAGCTTCTGCTGTGAAAAAGCACCACTGAGGGTGGAGTTTAGTTTACTGCAGGATTGTGTTTAATTTAAATGTCACTCCCCCCCCCCCCAAACTTGCTGGGCAGCTTTGGTCCTGCACCGCTGTCCTGGTGGCCAAATTCGGGCACGAAGTTTGGAGAACTTTGCAAGACAGCTTTTGCAAACAGCCCCTTTGCGGCTGCCTCTCTCCAGGCAAAGGACCACGGCCGGGTTCTGCTGCCTGGGGCTGTTACTCACTCTCCCATGGGGGAGGGCCAGTTCTTGTCATAAAAGCATTAGAGCAGCCATGGCGCATTAGATGGATTTGCTCTGATCCAACATCCTGCTCACAGAGGGAACAACTAGTGCCCCTTTTCTCTCTCCTTGTGACTTAAAATCGTGCGAGGGCTGCCAGGGCAGCAGGTTATAGACTAGATAACCGTCTGGGTCCCATCAACTCTATGATTTCATGCATATCGGACTGTCTCCTCTTCAATGAAGCCAAACCTCACCAGCAGGATTAACTGCAGCTCCTTGCTTGAAGTCAGGCTTTTTGTGTCCTCCTGTTCCACCATCCAGGCCAGGGTGGCTCTTTGCGTGTCCGTGTTCCCCCTTAGCAGGAGCAAGCAAAGTTCACCGGCTCCCCCCGGGTGTCCTGGCCCTGTGGCCTCATGACAGAGGAAGCCAACAGCTTGTTGGCAGAAGGTGGCAGAACCAACCTGCAGCAGGACAAGGAGAAACGGACAACAGCGAGGTTGAGGGATATTGAGAGATAAGCAGAGGTTTGCTGCAAAGGAGGCATTCCAATTTTTTCATGGGTTTGCTTCCTTCGCAGCTGTTTCCCTCTGAGGAAGGGCATTCCCAGCCATTTGACGTCAGTGGGCACGTCCGGAATTTTGAGACTGTCATGGTGCTTCCACAAAATGGCTGCCTTGGTCATAAAATGGCTGCCGAGCAGGCGTGGCCAGTCACAGAACACTGATTTCCCAGAAGGGAAATGAATGAGATGAAAATCAGGAGGGCCAGAGAGCCTGGTGAGGACCAAGAGAGGGGTCTGTGGCCACAGGGTTGCTTTCATGGGCGCCATGTTGGAAGCCCCACCTCTGGGGCCACATAGCAGGAATACTTCAACATTCCACTTCTTTCCTATTCCTTCCACCCCCAGCTCAGCCTTCCCAAGTCATTGCCCTTCAGATGTGTGGAACTACAGCTCCCATCACCTCCCCCATTGCCCAAGCTAGTAGAGGCTCATGGGTGTTATAGCCCAAGGCATCTAGAAGGCTCCATGTTGAAGGCTGACCTAGCTCCATGTTTTACTGAGCACGTCCAGCTGGACCAATGGCTTTTTCTGCCTGTTTGTTGCCTGTTCTTCTGGTCTTCAGTGACCACAACCTTGCTAGCTATGGATACCTGGGTGGGGGAGAAGCCAGGTGTCTCAACGGGCTGAGCGTCGGTCAGTTCGCTGATCACAATCTCCCAAACCCTCTGCACGAAACTTTGTGAACACTGTTCCACCAGAAGGGAGACAATTTGGAGGTAGACCGTGCGGACCAAGGGGCATTGCTGTACGGGGGAGATCAGCCAGAGACGGTCTTCTATGTGGCGGGTGATGGAGAGCAGCGCATCGGGAGGCAGGCTGAAAGGAAAACGAGAACAGGGATGGCTTCGCTCGCTCGACACCTTGTGTATATCGGCCAGTGAACTCTGGGCGGCATTGCACGCCTCCGATGAGGTGGGCTGCAGCCTGGAAAGCGTAGGTCAAAGGCCATCCGTCTTGAAGGTGCCAACAGACCAGCGGGGCACAGGCAGACCATGCCTCACCCGTCTGGGGTCCCACTTGGCTTGCTGCACCCCCACCCAGGGGTCGATCCTTTGGTGGCTTCCCAGCATTCCCCCCTCTCCTTCCAAGAGCTGAAATGCCTTCCTTAAGGCTTAGTTACTGGCAGCAAGAGCTTCAGGCTTTGATCTGCTGGCGTTCTGGCCCCGCCCTCCTTGCCTTTGGCCCCGCCCATCCCTGGGATGAAGCTACATGAGGGGTGGAGCCAAAGGCATGGTCACCGGTGGGATTTTTGTCCCAATGTCTCCAGGATGCTGTGTGGCACTTGGAGGAAAGGGTCCCCCGTGCCTGCTTCTCACCTTGACCTGGGTGTGAACCCCACTGCCCTGGAAAGCCCCTTACCAGTTGGCCTCCAGTGCCCGGGCCAGCACAGACTGGGTTTGCAACAGGCAGCCGTGCAGAGCATTGTGGGACGGCGCATCCCCCGGCTGTGGTAAGCTCCCGGCCAGCTGCAAGAGGACCTTCCCGTACTCGGTCACCGGAACAAGGGGCACCAGGGCCCTGGCCGCCATCACCCGCACAGCATAAATGGGGTTTCCTGAGAGCTGGATCAGGGGCTCCAGGAAGCAGACGGAGTCGCTGCAGGAGAAGCAAAGGCGAGAGCGAGGCCGGCCAGGTTTGTGTGGTAGCATCACACTTGCATGTGCCAATGTTGTTGTTCTCCTCCTGCAGCAAACCTGAGGAATTCGCCTTCTGCGAGCTCCGACTTTTGGCTGTCCCCAAGAGAGGTGTCCATAGTCACCGGGCAGCCATGCTGGAGACCCCAGCTTTGGGGTAGCGAAACAAATTCACTGCATTTCACGATTCCACTGCGTTTCTACCCTTTGCCCCCCTTAACCCAGTCTTTGCAATCTGGTGCCCTCCTGATTCTTTCTTTAAAGTGGAAGTTCCAGGGACTGAACCAAAAAACTTCTGTGTGCAAAACAGGTCCTGTATAAAGCACACAGGTAACCATATCCTTTGCTAGGGGATGTGTCCCGGCACTAAACTACTACTGCTATTTTTTCCTACTCTTTTAACCTGCCTTTTGGGGTGTACTTTCCTCACATGAGGGCTATGCACACGTGCACATCCAGCAGCACCCAATGTGTTCTCTTTTAATTTTCCAAGCCAGCGGGCTGTACACTTCCCCTTGAAGCCTTCTGAAGGCATGGGGGCCACCCCTGAGGAGGCCCTGTCCCTAGCAGCTCTTGCGGCTGGCCTGAGATGAGGGTCTCTGACCCTGTTTTCAATGTTCAGGGCAGACTCGTATGTAGGTGGCCCTTCTCCCCAAAGAGTGGCTTTTCTACTGCAGAATGCTCCTATGTCTGAACTAGAGGTGGCGGGCAGAGAACCAAAGCACGGTGGAAAGCTGCACCCCTAAAGGACCACACCGCCTGGCTGCATCCATCTCCCAGCATGCCAAGAGCTGGGGGTGGCTGCAGCCTCTACCATCCAAGAAGGCATCCTGGGCTCATACATACACCAGCCGGGGAAGGAACAGCTGCAAAGCTCGTTCTGCCTTTCCCAGCCAGAAATAAGTTTGAAGTTAAGACTTGGGGCCTGGGAACGGCTTTTGTTCCATTTTCCTTTTTTGTGGTGCCTTTTGGATGCTCAACCTGCAGGCAGGAGCTGGCTTCTTAGTGATTTTTGGAAGCTGCTCTGCGAGCCGCCTTTAGCTGAAGACAAAGGGTAACAATCGGAAGGAAAGTGTGTGCCTGCATGTGTAACAGATACCAATTGAAGTAAAAGCCACGTTGCATTTTGTGCTTTGGTAGAAAGTCGGAATACAAATAGAAATCTTAATGCTGGAGAGAAAAAGAAGACAGCACCATGTGGAGAATCAGGGTGGTTTGGTTTGTGGTGCTTCTTTCTGCCATCGAAAGCCGCTGCCGTTTTTTTCGGCCGCGCTTCCCTACCTGTTCAGAGTGTCTGCGCCCGGCAACAGCTTTGCCAAAAAGGTTAGGATGGCATAGAGGGAGGGGCAGAGGCGGAGCTGTCCTCTCGTGGCCCCTCCAGACACGGACGCCTCCACCGCCGAGGTCAGCTCTGCGAGCAGAATGCTTTTCAGCTGAGGGTAGCGACCAAAAAGGGCCTCGGAGCTCACCCCGTCCTGACTCTGCCCGCCGTCCCAGTTCTGCTTCTGACCGAGCAGACGAACTGTCAAGGCGCCTGGGAGAGAATGTAAAATAAAAGGAACAAAACCAAAAAAATACTGGGAGAAAATACTGAAAAAAGTCTGTTTACATGGCAGTGGGTGCCTGGGGGGAATGCTGAGCTGCACTCAGAGGAGCGGGGAAGCCGTGTCCCAGGTACCAGATTTTGGAAGGAGAAACGGTGTATTAATGCACCAGCTTCTTTACTGCTGAGTCCTGTCATTGCCAAGAATGATCTTCCAAGGGTATGTGTTTACAAATGCAGCCTCGTTTGAATTTCTATTTTTTAATTCAGTTATAGCTTGTTATGTGTCAAGTTTTGTTCTTTTCAGTAACCGCAGGGATCCAGCAATTGTTGGCAGGTGAGAGCCCTCCCCCGCGCCCCCCCCAAGGTATGGAGGTCATGATGTCTGAGAAGATCCACCACAGGGACAAACCTGAAGCTCACACTGAACACCAGTCCTCCACAAACCAGGATAGCTTAATCTCTCTTTCTTAACACACATGTTTCTAGTCCTTAAGACCGAGATAAGTCTATCCTGGCTGAGCGGATTCCAGATTGAGAACCACAGCATTAACTGGGTTACAAGTCTGTCTATTAGAGAGGTGCTTGTTTTCTCTCTTCCCTTCAACAAAAGCCACACATTATAATTTGGCGAAAAAAAATCTGAATGGTAGTCCTCTCCATCAAGGAGTACATCTGTCCCTACCAGCCTGAGAATTACAGCATTATCCAAGCCACGGGCTTGTCTATTGTCTACATGCTTGTTCTGCCTGCTTTTCACGGATGCCTTGTGCAAATACAGAGGAAGTGCAGCTGAGCAGGGTACGGCCTTCTCTTTATTTAAAACTTTTCCAGACCGCCCCTTACTGTGGTCTCGGGACGGTTTAACAATAAGACAATATAAAACAAACCTAGCATCCTAATAAAATTTCCAACCAGCAGCAAAACCCCAATTAAAACAATCTGATCTTAAAACATTTGGCGAATTAAAAGGGTTATAAAACAGTTTTAGCCTCTGCCCTCCTTTCTGTGAAGTTGCCACGGGAAGGAAAGGGCCAGGATGAGTACTTACTGAAGAGTTGGATGCCTGCATTTCTCATGGCCCAGCTAGGGGAGCTCAGCGTCCCCAGAAACAGCATAACCATGGGGGTGATGTATTGGTGCAGGGCTGTCCCAAGGCCAGAGCCTCGGACAAGGGTCTGCAGCACGTGGACGGCCGACACCTACAAATGGTAAACAAAGTGAGAACATCTTGGCCCTCAGAGAAGACCTTGGAAGACCTTGTCTTTCAGATGTCAGAACAGCCTGGGTTAGCAGATCGAATCGGGCCAAATAGTGGGGAGGAGTGGGTATAAGGGTTAAGCCTAGTACCTAAAGAAGAGGTAGGGTTTGATTCTGACTCAGAAACCGAGCGAGTCAGAAGGGACCTCCTGGGTCATCTAGTCTGACCCCTGGCTCCAACCAGCTCTGCTCATGGCATGCCTACCATGTGCATGTCAAGAGGGGAAAGATCCTCAAGGTCACAGAAGCAGGTGATATGTGGGAATAGTTGTGAGAATCCAAGCAGCCCTTTGGAAACAAAGGGAACATCAAGCCAGAGTGAGCAGGAGGCTGTAGGTGTTGAAGATCCTGGAGCCAGACAGGGTGGGAGCGACTCCCTGGCAGGGCAAAGGCCTTGCAGATGCCAAACAATGCCCCCCCTGCCCCCCCCCCCGGCACCAGCTCTGCCACGAAGTGCTGCCACTTCTGTGTTTTCCAGCTTCTCCAAAGGAAATGCTCCCTCAGCAGGAACAATTGAGGTAAGGACAATGAGCTTCTGTTCTGAGTTTTATGGCTGTTTTAACATGCCTGATGAACACCCAGACTGGCATCTGCTTTGTGGGTCGGATTGGGGATGGGAGAAGAGAGAGGGAATTCCTTCCCCTTGGGGATGCAAAGACCCTTATGTGGCATCTGGGCAAGCTGCCCTGCTTCCTTCCTTCCTTACCTGGGGCAAGTCCACCGTCTGGTCCCAGTCTTGGGGCAAAGGCTGGCCAGCCAAGGCCAGCAGTTCCTGAACGCAGCTTGCCAGAAGAGGCCGTGGCTTGCCGGGGTCTTCCCCGGCCACAATGCACAGGAAGAGCATCGGGAAGCCGGCTGCCCTGCGCGTGATGGAGCTGCTCCTGGGGCCCCTTAACAAAGCCAATCCCTGAGCAAAGGAGAAAGAACCCAAAGTTGCCAAACAGACGTGAGTCACGGGGTCCCTTGTGAAATGCAGTGGTTACGTTCGGCATCAGCAAGGTGAAAGTTGGGGTACCCTTACTCCCAGGTTCTTCACAGTGAAGAGAACAAAGACAGAGAGGAGGTGGAGGATTATGTGAGCTGTCTTGGGTTCTTTGCAGGAAAAAAGGTAGGATATGAAGACAAGAAAGAAAGAACAGGCAAGCTGGTACCTGATCTAACATTGTTCTTGGTATGTTTTGCAGCTCTGGGTCAGGATGGCTCAGCAAAGCAGTGCAGAACCTGGTGAACCCGACACTGCAGCCTTCCACAGCTCCCTAGAAGAGGAAGAAAATCAAAGCCGGCTTCCTTTTGTTCAGGAGAAACTTTCCAGGTGCTAGTTCTCCCATATCAGGTACGTTGAGGGTCTGGACAAGTGGGAATTAACTGGATAACCCAAGGACAAAGGAAGTGGCCAACAACAGACGGACCAGCTTCTGTACCTCTTGAAGTAATACAATCAATTTTATCTATTGTAATTTGCAATTGTTGCTGGAAAACAATACAAACGGGACCTGTAATGCAATACAAGATCCTCTCTAGACAAGCCCTTTTCCTTTTGGCTACTCCAAGCTGCTTTTTCTTCCCCCTTTTTGCTGTTCTAGAGATTCAAGCCCATTGTTATTGAGCTGTTTCAGCAGAAGGTCAGTCTTACCCAGTGCCGGCATTTCAGCAAGATATCTTGGAACACTTTGGCCACCGTGTTGACCAGCTGGAGGGGCAGGAGAGGCCTGCAGGATGCTGGTGGTGACAGAGGCAGAAACTTCTCCACCAGACCACCCAAGAGCAGCCCAATTTCCTTGGCAGGTAGGAATAAAAGAATGGGAGAGATCAAAGCAACAACAAAGCCCTTGTTAATGGACAGCTTTCTGATTAATCTAATTCCCCACCGGTGCCATCACACCCCCCACAATGTATTAATCTTTAGGGCACTTTCCTTGTTAACCTATTATAATTCTCCTCGCTAGCGGCCTTTCCTGCTGCTGTTCCCCATCTTTGGAACTCCTAGGGAAATTTGCCTGGCTCCGTCTTTATATTTCTTTTGGTGCCAGGCAAAGGACATACCTTTTAAGGATTTTTTAAACACTTAACCTGAATAGAAACATAGAAACAGAGCAAGTCAGAAGGGGTCTCCCGGTCCATCTAGTCTGACCCCTGGCTCCAGCCGGCTCCGCTCACGACATGCCCACCATGTGGACGTCCAGCCTGTCCTTGAACACCTGCACTGATGGGGCCTCAACGACCTCCTGGGGAAGCCCGTTCCACACCCTCGGGGTCCTGACTGTCCGGAAGTGCTTCCTGGCATCCAAATGGAACCTGGGCTCCCTGAGCTTTGCTCCGTTGGAGCGCGTCCTGCTGTGGCCCTTTTTATACTGCTTTCATAGATGTTTTAATTCATTGTGTTTTAATCTGTTTTACATTGCTAATATGTTTTATGTATTATAAGCCACCTAGGAAGGCCTTGGCAGTTATAGGCAGCCTGTAAATACATAATAAATAGATAGATAGATAGATAGATAAATCCCTGGACCAGAATAGTAGTTGCCAGAAAACACAGTAATAAATGGGGGAGTCCAGGGCAGAGACAGTGGTGAGGCTTCTGTCACGGAGGAGCACCCCAAACCCTCATCCTCAGGTAACCTCAAATACCTGTGTTGGCCCAGTCTGCATGGCAGAGACCCCTCCCCACCCCACTCACTCCTACAGGAGCTGCGTATTTGGAAGGGTGCATGGCATATACCACCATTCACTGTGGAGGGTTAGACAGCCCACACCGGGTCTCAGTCCGGCTCCAGCCCTCCTTGGAATAATCCACAGCTTGGCCTGCGGCCTCAGCCCCACGCGGAGCTTTCCGTGGTGCTGAACTCTTCCTGAAGGCATCTGACTTAGCCCAGTCCCTGCTCGAGCACTGATCCATGCCTGCAACCCAGGCTATGTTGCAGGGCATTGGCAGGACCCATGAGCCACAGTGGAGCAGCCCACAGGGGTCCTGAGACCCTGGCAGACACCCAGCTAAGAGATGTATGGAGATGCGGAGAATACAGCCCTTCTCGGAGGGGAAGAAATGCTCGATCCGATCTCCTTTTCTGTTAGAAAGCAAGTGCCGTTGCAACCCACTCACTTTCACCGAAACCCAGCAGCAGGTTAGGATGAGGCCGTGCTCCTCGGACAGCAGGACTGAATCGTCGTCTTCTGGGGGCGCCAGGTCCTTTCCAAGCTGGATGAGGCAGCCTATCGCTTTCCCCATGTCGGCAAATGAAGGTGCAACAGCTGCAGTGGAAGGAAGGAGGGAGTGGAGGGCCCCGGCAGACACAAAGGCTTGATGAGAAAGAACAGCCAAAGGGCACAGGGTGAAGCAGGAGCTGCTTTACAGAGAGCTTTTCAATGGAGCCCCAGTGCGTGGAAGGGCTGGATTGGATCGTGGCCAGAGTAGACACGAGGAGGGCCTCCCATATTTTATGTCTGGCATTTCTGTGCTACCCAATAGCCAAACCTTCCTGGGTGCTTCACAAAACAGATCAAAACCATAAAATATATGAGCATAATGCAATTTAGATGTAAACAGGTAAACCCCATCCCCAAAAGGCAAAGAATGAAACCCCAAAGCAGCTCAGAACATTGCATTTATCTGTTTTAGGTTCCTTTTCTTCTCAAAATTCAAGGTGGAATGCATGGTACCAGCATTCTCCCTCCATTTTATATCTCAACAACCCTGCGAGGTAGACTAGATAACCATGGTGGGCCCAAGGTCACCCAGAGAACTTCCTGACCCAGTAGGGAATTGAAATGGTCACAGAAAGAGAGAGGAAGGTAACTAGAGAAGGGCTTCAAACAGAAGTAGACAGAGGTAGTCTAAGGCGGATGAGACTCGTAGGCCAAAACATCTGGAAGAGCCATGGGTTGCCCAACTCTGGCTTAAAACCACCCTTTCTGGCCGGGATCCTACAACAGGAGGTATTCCTGGCTGCTTTTCACTCAGACTTTCCCAACCCAAGTTCCCTCCAGATGTGCTGGGCTCCCATTTCCATTATCCCCAGCCTTCTGAGGATGACAGGTGCTGTAGCCCAGTAGATCTGAAGAAACCAGGTTTTGGAGAGAGGGTGGTTTAAATCTTTTAAAAAATACACTGCAGAGCCAAAAAGAATTGGAAGATGCTCATGCAAGAAGAGATGGTGGCTGTCCAAGGCCATTCAAGAAGGTCCATGACCAGGACGGCTGTTGGCTCGCATCCTTTTAGCCCAGGCTGGCCTCACCTTGAGGGTCCAAGACTGGCGACTGCTTGGACTGCAGCCTCCCCAGGAGCAAGCTGCTGATGCCTCTCGTGGTGTCCACCAGGCTGCTGAGGAGGAACTGCCACTGGGGCAGCTGCTGAGGCTTCGATGCGGAGGCTGCCACCTCTGGGATGTCGAGCAGGCATCGCCTCAGAGCAGCAAGGACGCCTGCGGGGACAGTGGGCTCCTTAGCCATTTTGGAACTGCCTCTCTCTGTCTCCTAGATGCCTCCTTGCAATGGGCTGGACCCCTGGGCATCTTCTCAGTTCGTAAGGAACTTGGTCTCAGAGTGCAGATCCTTCTGGAGTCAGGAGAGCACCATTCATGCTCATGAGGGGGGAACCCTGAGAACTAAGCATGTGCAGTGGCTCAAGTGGTGGGAGGTTATGGAGTGCTCTGGAAAAGGGCATGTGTGCCTGGCTGGCTGGCTGGCTGCCACCCTGAACAAAAACCTCACGGGGAGGGGAATGGAATGGAGTGCCTAGGAAAAGGGGGTGGCTGGCTGGCCGGCCATCGATGACCGTTCCTCTTTGCACAATGTTTCAGTGGGTTCTATTTGTTATCTTCCAGCTGGAGCTTTTATGCCGAGGGATCTGAGGCCCATCAGGTGCTGATGAACTTCAGCTCCCAGTAGCCCCAGCCAGAATGGTCAAGGGGGTGGATGATGGGAGATGTAAGCCAACAAATATCTGGAAGGCCACGGTCCAAGGGTCTCAGTCCGAGCCAGCCAGAGATGTAGCCTCAAAGATCTAACCTTTCCATCACCAACCAGCTAGGACCCCCTGCACTTCCCTCTTTCTCCAGAGGGGAAAGATCAAGACCCCTGAATACTGACCATGGATCGGTGCGGTGCGGGCGGCCTGCAGGAAGTCCTGGGACGCCCTGGTAAACTGTACGTGCAGCTCCTTGAGGAGATGCCTGAGGAGGCAGAGATACTGGCACGGGGTGTCCGTTTCTTCCTTTGCCTCTGGCAATAACCGTTCCAAGGTACAAAGGTCTGACCTAGAAGAGGCAAGCAAATGCTTAGTATTCCTATTCTCATCATCACTGGTACTGCTATAATGGCGCTGCATTTTCATCCGACCCCTTTCCCTTTCCTTTCTTGGCAGGAGCTCAAGGTGGCTTCCCCACCTCCATTGGAGCCTTACAACAGCACGTCTGTGAGGGGAGGCTGGGCTGGCAGTCTGTGACTGGCCCACAGTCCCCCTGTGGGCTTCCCGGCCAAGAGGGGACCAGAACCGGGATCTGCCGGTTCCCCAGTCCAAATGTTAACCACCCCACCATGCTGGCTGCCAAACTGTGGGGGCATTGCAAAGCATGGATGTCCCCTTTCCCCCAGAGCAGAAGAAACACAGGTGAGCACAAGGCATTCTGGGCAAGGGGGGGTGGAGCTCTGGGAAGCAGCCCCCCAGATGTTTTTAGGTAACAGAGTGATGCATGGGAGAGTGTGGCTGGACTGTAGCAATTTGTCATGATTAGGAAGGATCTGCACTTAATGAGCCAGTGTGGTGTAGTGGATAAGAGCGCGGGACCGGGACTCAGGAGATTGGGGTTCTAGTCCTCACTCAGCCGTGGAGCCAACAGGGTGACTTGGGCCAGTCACAGACTCTCAGCCCAGCCTACCTCACAGGGTGGTTGTTGTGGGGAGAAGATGTAGAGCCGCAGGAGGGGAATGATGTAAGCCGCTTTGAGTTTTTTAAAATGAAAAAAGTCAGGATATAAATTTAATAAATACATAAAACAAGTCTTCCCTGCACCAAATAATAATAATAATTATTATGTAATAATAATGTAATAATATATGTAATGTAATGTACATAATGTAACATTATTACATTATTATAATATATGTAATAATAATAATCCCCCATTTGTTTTACCTGCTCTCTTTTCATTTCAAAATGGGTGTAGAACAGCCAAATTCTGTTCTGGAGAAGCTCTTGGGGTCTGTGCTCTAGCAGTGGGCAGTGCCATAGACAAAAGGCATGGGACAAAACATCCCAAGTACCTTCTCATTTTTGCTTCAAGTAAACTGGCCAGTAACTGAGTTCAGAAAGGCATTCCCAGCTTTTTGAATGAGAGCAAAGTGGCACAAAAGCCAGGCAAAAACAAAACTATCATCAGCAGGAAAGGGGCATAGCCATTGGGGGAATTCCATGGGGCCAGGTTGGTACCCCAAGAGGGCTGAATATGGCCAGCAACACGACATTGAAAAATGCTACATTGGAACACGATGCATGATAAATTCTTTTCTCCGATTGTGTTTCCAAGTAATGCTAGCAAGGATTCCTGTTGCATTTGTGGCCTCCAACCATAGAAATATCTAGTGTGTTATTTTTAGTCTGCCCTTTGTATCTTTCATTGCAGTTTGTACTTAAATTGCACATTCAGGATTTGAAAGAAAGAAACAAATAAGCGAATGACAATAAGGGGCATGCAGATACCGTCCTTTTGCAGCCCAGCCCAAATGTGTTGGATTGCAGTTCCCATCAGCCAGGCAGCACCGACTGTGATTATTGGGAGTATTGTGCTCAGTTTTGGGCCCCTCATTACAGGAGGGATAGAGCCAGGTTGGAGTCAGTGCAGTGCAGGGCCACAAGGATGGTGGCCGGTTTGCAGGGGATGCCGTATGAGGCGAGACTGAGGGAACTGGGTCTCTCCAGCCTGGAGAAGAGGAGACTCAGGGGATCTGTTGGCGACATACAGGTGTGTGAGGGGATGTCACATGGAGATGGGGAGAGACCTGTTCTCCCCTGCAGAGCAAGGCAGGATGTGCTCCAATGGAGCAAAGCTCAGGAAGCCAAGGTTCCATTTGGATGCCAGGAAGCACTTCCTGACAGTCAGGACCCCAAGGGTGTGGAATAGGCTTCCACGAGAGGTCGTTGAGGCCCCATCGGTGCGGGTGTTCAAGGATAGGCTGGACGTCCACATGGTGGGCATGTTGTGAGCAGAGCCGGCTGAAGCCGGGGGTCAGACTAGATGGACCGGGAGACCCCTTCTGACTCGCTCTGTTTCTATGTTTCTATGTAGTCCAGCACATCTGTATGGCGGCAGCTTGGAGGTGCGTGTGCACTGGGAAGTAATGGAATCTTCCAATGCAGATTAATGCTGTGCACATCTCCAAATGTTTTGTTCCAGAAAGGCTCATGGAAGAATGATGCAAGATTCTACTTTTGGAGGATGGTTTTCATTAGCACTGCTCCTGCTTCGACATCCTGGACTCTGGGACTCCTCATGGCTTCTTGTGCCTGCACAAATAGAGCCACAGCAATGGATTCTGGGAAAGTCGGAGGGAAGTAGCGGATGAGTAACTCTGACGCCAGCTCGTGGATCTGCAGGAAAAAGGGAGAGATTTTTTTCATGTAATTTTTTTGCAGATTTTTCCACAGGTGAAGACCTAGAGTAGATGAAGCGATCTGTCAGTGGATTCCCTTATCCCCTTATCAAACACTTTGTCTAGTGGAGTCTTTGCAGCCTGTTTAGAAATAGGGGTTTGGGGCAAAAAGAGAAAAAAGGAGCAAGAGATCTCTCTGAGCTTTGTGTCTGTGGGCCGGAAGAAACAACACTTGGCCACTTGGTTATTTTGTGGGAACGTGGATCAGAACGGTCCCTTAAAGCAGCCCGCCCCAACCTTGTGCCTTCCAGACATGTCTGGACTGCAACACCCAGAATTCCCAGGCAATGGACCTGCTGAATGGGAATCCTGGGAGCTGTGATCCTGATGCCTCTGAAGGCTACCAGGCTGGGGAAGGCTGACTTAGAAGAAACACCACTTGGACACGTGTAAGGCTAGATGCCAGATGAGATGGACCTTTGACTGGGGCTAGAATGGTTCTTGATGTCACAGACCGTGCTAACACCCATAGGAAGGCTGGGGGAAGCTGGGTTCTGCTTCTGGGGGGCCTAGAACTTGCCTGCGGGATTCTGAAGAGAAGCATGGATGAAGCTCCTGAGTGGAGCTGGGGAGCAGGGCTGGGCTGCGTACCTCGTTTGTGCCGTCTTGCAAGCAACTCAACAGGGCCAGGGTGTTGCTTGTCGAGAAGAAGTCCCAGCAGCCTTTCCTTCGGGCCCAGCTCAGTAGTGCAGTGATGCTGCCTGCAGAGACAAGTGGCACAGGAGAGAGGGGTGGGGTGGGGTGGAGGGAACGAGGAGGGAGCCCCATCTGAACACGACAGGGAGGAGAGCCTGCGTTGAAGCGTGGGGTGCTCCGTCGTTTCCTTCGTTGTCAGGCTCCTCTTCGGGGTTCCAGCCAGACCTGCCCTTTCCCAGGATGCTCCATGCCTGGAGTCACAGCTAGGGAGTCTACCGAGGGAAAGCTACCCTTCCCCGTTGCTAGGCAACCGCAAGAGGACAGTCTTGCTGGACCATCTCGGCCCGGGGCCAGGGGAAGAGTGCGAAGCGACTTACAAGGGGGCTGCCCTTTCTTTCTCTCCGGCCTCCACGTTTCGGTGCAGGTCTCCAGGATGGCCTCCAAGAGGAGGAGGCCGCTCTTCCTCCTCTGGTAGTTGGACCCCGGCATCAAGGAGGAAATGCAAACGTGCAGGAGCCACTCGACGAAGTCTAGGTGAGGAAAAGAGGATCCCGGGTCGCACGCACTGCTCCTTCCCCGGGTGTCGCGCTTGCGCTGAATCCCTTTGACAGCAACTGCGACTCGTCACCAAGGGAAGCGTCCCTCCTGGAGATGAGTGTGTGGGTGCGTGTGGGGGGGCAAAGGGTGGTGAAGCGTTAATGCCCCCTCCCCACACTCCCCGTCTCTCCCAAGCCCTGGCTGCTCCTTAAATGTCAAAGATGAGGCACCCTGATTACACAAGTCGTGTTATATTCTTGTACTGCCCTTTCAGAGCCAAGTTGCTGCTCTTCCACTGGAATCCACCCAGGCGGCGGCAGTGGGGCTGGGCAGGACCACGGAAAGGGCTGGCCGGTGACCTCCACACCCTGCAAGACTATTTCTGTGGAAGAACCGGGACAGGTCTGGAAATGGCATTCCCTGCTCTGGTATGCCGTGGACATATTGAGCAAGCGTTCCCAGCCAGCAGAAGCCAAGGCAGCTTTCCCTTTGTCTGGAGCTGGACTGCCCTGGTGGCCAAAACCAGAGCCACACCACCACCACCGGTGTATTTGCAGGATCTGTCCCAGGCCCTGGTGGAGCCCCCAGCCTGCTGATGAGTGCCAGCTGGGAGCCCTGGGGCGGGGCAGGGTGGGGGGGGGGAAGCTTAGACACAAACAGGCTCTTCTCTCCAGAACTGAGCTCAGCAATGCAGGTTTCCTTGTCTGCTGCTGTGCCCGCATCTCACCTGACCTGTTTCCTGCCCCACCTCAGCAAGATGGCTCTTCTTGTCGGCAGTGGTTTGGTCCAGCGCCTGACATTGCTGCGGATATTTCTGCTGCACACGTCTCACTGGCTGTTGGATCATCTCCTGTGTCTCACCTGGGCCTTGCTGGGCTGTGCATCCTGCTTGCTTCACCTGCCTCAAGGTACCTGCGCCTCGGGTTGTCTCCCTGTGCTTGACCCTTGCTGTAAGTTCTGCTGACCTGGTTCCAGTGCCTCTTTCCTGCCTCTGCCGCCCACCCCCCCCACCCCCATCCTGGCTGGTCCTGGGCCCTGAAACCCTGAGCCAATGTCCTCCAGCCCTGTTGCCTTCAATGGCCACCATCCCAGCCAGTGCGGACATGCTGGCAGTGGCTGATGGGCATTGCGGGACAACACAGTGAGTGGAAGACTGTTGGGGGAGTTGAGTTACCTCCGATGGCTTTGAAAGAACCAGGCAACTATCTGGGAGATGCTTCTACCAGTAGTTGTCAGCTGCTGGCTTTACAGCCAGTTTTGTTGCTGGTTTTATGTTTTTTTACTGGATTTGTAACATTATGTCCTTATCGCATTTAATATTGCATTGGTTTCGTGTGTTTTGATGGCTGTCTGCAGTTTTGAGAGGGCTTCTGCCCTGAAAGATGGCCAGGAAATGATTTGAATGAATGAATGAATGATAATTAAAATAAATAGCTGGCTAAAGAAAAGCTTCAGGTTTGTGGGGAAAGAATAAGGGTCAGAGGCAGGGAATAGGGAATGGATTCTCGCTACAGGCTTCTGGATTTTCTGGAGGTTTCTGACTAGCTACTGTGAGAAACAGGGTAGGACTAGACAGATATTTGGTCTTCTCCAGCAGAGTTTGAAGTTCTGCTCTCCTCCAGAGAAAACGGATTGAATTGACTTTTGTTCTGTTTTGGCCTTCACACAACATTCCATAGCTTCCCCCTGGCAAACATGGCCTTCGGAATACCCAGGAATTTTCGACTGACCGAGCCTCAAAATGTATGAGGCAGTTGTTGACAACTTGCAGCCTTTTGGATGGTTTGGACTTCTACTTCCATCATCCCCCACCTCTTGGATTTTTCTTTAAAATTGCCTGACTTTACTATTATGACTGGCTTGTTGAATCTGAATATATTTTTATTCAAGTGGGAGGCTTTGACTGTCAGGTATGGATGTCTGTCTAAATTTTGGGATGTCTTAGCTGCTAGAGAACTATCTCAACAAGTTAGATGCCATGGTGCACATTTTCTGATGTCGGGGCTGCATGGAAAACGGCTATACAGACCAACAGCTAGCTCAAATCACTATTTGGTCAGGCAGGTTGGATTGATGGCGCTTCAAACAGCTGAAGGCCATCAAATTCTCCTATCCACCTCCTGTGCAAGCTGGTGTCCTGATGGTGTCCAGGTGTCCCTTGGAAAAGGGCCAACTCACCCACGGCCTGTTCCAGAGGCACCTCTGGGTCCTTCCCAGCCAAGCTGGCCCTATTCAGCGCTTGCCTCCGCAGCAGTGCAAGAGAGCTTTCCCGTGCCCTGACCAAAGCCTTTTTGACTGCAGCTTGGAGGAGCTGCCGGAAAGAAGAGGAGTCGCAGTTCAAGTTCAGTGGCAGGAATGCCTTCAGCAGTTGGATCTCCATTGTGGACAAGGCCTGGTTGGTCCTGGGACTGCAGCACAGGAGGCCTAGAGCTGCCAGACGGACGTTCTCTTCTTCGGAGGAGAGGCAAAACCCAAGTCGCTCAAGGGCTTCTCCATCTCCAGGCAAGGATCCCATGAGGGATTTCTGGACTTTCAGCAAAGTGACCCAAGCCCGGAGTTGCGAAGCATCCCTGCCACTGTAGCTTCCAGCCAGCAGAGCGTAAGAACCAGGGAACAGCCTCAGCGTCCACCCCAGGATGTAGTTGGAGGCATTGCTCTGAAGGAAAGAGACCGGAGAGGTCAAGGCGCTGGAGACAGTCGGCAGCCAGCAATGGCCCCACTTCCGAGCCAACTCCTCCTCTGCAACTTCTCTTTGGTCCCCAGTCCACACTTTGCGCTGTAACTGCAGGATGGTTTTGTACAACTCCGAGGCTGCTGGACACAGGTGGTTGGTTGAGAGACAGTTCAAGAGGTGCTGTGGAAGATCTCTGTAAGTCTCCAGAACCTTAGAAAACATAAGCAGATAAAGAACAGGAGGCCAAGGAGACTGGAAGAAATGGGATGCAAGGGTCTTTGCACAACTTATTTGGGGTGGAGGGAAAATGGGGGTGAATGTGTTAAGCACTTAGGGCTAGGATCCCTCTCCATAACTTTCACCTTTCATTTATTATATTGGATTTTCATTTTGTGCAGGTGATTTCTTGTTGTCCTTAGTCACTCCGGGTGTGTGGCTGCAATACAGTGGAACGCTAAATAAAGACATAATAATTAAAAAACCACTGTACAAGAGAGGGGGCTAGGATCCATCTTCCAGCACCTTAGCAAAACTGCAATTCCCAGGGTTCCACTGCGGAGGAAACCGAGATCGCCCAGCCTGCTTAGAAACCACATGGACGGCCAGTGTTGGCACTGATTTTGTTCCCAGCCATTTGCCAAAGCACTGTGGGCTTAAATCCCTCTGCAGCCCCTCCCCCACTTACTTTTCCAGGATCCAGGTAGGGCAGAACGGCAATGAGCACAAAATATCGGGCTCGAAGTTGCCAAGGCGTAAACATGATTTTCTGCAGGAACCATCCATAAAGGGATCTCTCTGTGTCATCAAAGTGATCACATTCTAGAGTGTAGATCTCCAAGAGGAGCCGGAGGGACTGGTGGATGAAGTCTGAGACCCCCTCCACCTAAGGGCAAAACAGACCTTGCTTCAAGTGTGTGTCTGCTTACCCGATTTCTCACCATTCCCACTTTTCCTCAGGAGTAGGCATGGGGCCCCAATCCGGACCTCACCCCTCTCTCCCCATGCTAGCGTTCCAATCCAGAACTAGGACGCTGCTCCTCCCGCAGAGCAGAAATCAAAAACACCCACCGCAACAAAGCAAAACATCACTGCAGCCCAAAACAGCAGCTAGACACGTGTCCAAAATTCAGGGTTTTGTCCCTAAGCTTTTTGCCACCTGTCTCATCTTCCCTCGCTCCCCAAGACCAGAAGTGGAGGCCTGTATCTGGAACACAACTGTGGCTGAAACAAGGGCACACAAGAGAGTGTTCTGGTGGCTGCCCTTAAACAGTGGAACTCCCTGCCACAGGAGCGCCATCTCCTTCCACTCTCTGGCCCAGTTTGCATGGACTGATTAACTCACAAGCAATTATGTAAGCCACTGTCATTTGGAAAGGCCTTCACGGGTTGGCCACTTTTTCTTTTCCAGCCCCAGAAAACTGCACAAAAGTTTTTGTAATGTTGTAATCGTGTTTATTCTGTTACGTCAGCCTATTGCAGCTGTCTAAATACAATCTTACCGGGCTCTCTGCACTGTTCCAGAGGAACTGGGTCAGTCTTTGAAGCAGACTAGAGTTGTCCGCTAGCACACGGCTCTGCTTCGCTTTCCAGATCTCATCCAGACCATCTCGGACACGTTGGAGCCACAGCGAGAAAGCTGCAAAGGCGGGCACAGGTGAATCTAAGAGTTCGTATTGATTTATTATATCACTAACCCATTTCTCTTCTATTGTGGAACTCAAGGGGGCTACCTTAAGTTCCCAGGTGGTCTCCCCTCCAAGCTCAGGCCATCCCTAGACTTGCTGAGCTTCAACAGGCCCATGTGCCTTCCGACCACACTGCCCAGCCCAGAAGGTCCTGAAAGTGCTCTCCAAGATGCTTGTATTTTCTCCTGAGTGCCCAGCGGCTTCCCTCAAGGCCAACTCTGCACCACCACACAAAAGCGCAGCTTCCCCTACCTTGGAAGCAGTAGTAATGACACTCCACCGGCTCTTCCAGCAGGTCTAAGACAGCTGGGAGGAGGACATCAAGCAACAGACAAGCCTACAGAGTGAACAGGACTAGGTCAGGGAGCAGGGAATGGCAGTGGGGATGGGAAGCAACAGAGTTTGAAGGTTTCACAGGCACATTTTTCTCCAAGCACACCTCTCAAAAAAGAAAGCCAAAGACGAGGCCAGCCTCAGAACGGTACTGGAAAACTGAGGAAAGCAGCCCATTGGTCCATGCATTCGAGGACAGATTTTGGCCCAGTGCTGCTTCAGCCTCCTTCCTGCAACTCAGTACACGTCTGCATCGGGGCAGGTGCAAATAGCGGGCTGGCACATTTGACGGTTTTGCAAAAAAGAAACCGAAGGGGGAAAAGTTCTGCGACAAAGCCCTGGCACTGGGACGCCTCACCTGTGAGAAACGGCTGCGAACTTCTCTTCCCAGGAGAAATGGTTCTTTGTGCTCAGTTCCCCCTGGAACGGGATGGTTTTTGGCTTTCTGCGACTTACCTGGGGAGGGGCTCCAGCCAGCTGGCAGCTCAGGATCTGCTTCTTGCAGCAGGCCAATAAGCCGCGGGTCAGCACCAGCCGGCCCAGTCCATCTGGGCTCCAGGCAGCGGGGGGCACGCTGAGCACCCCAAATCGGCCTTCACCTGGGCATGAAAAGTCAACCTGCTGTCAGTCGGCACAGATTTGCTTGCATCCTGACCGCCATCGCTTTATGTTTGGGGTCTATCGAATGGGGGGGTGGGGACTTCCAGTTAAGCAGCAGTGAGGCGCATTCATGCCAGTGCCCTGCAGGGACAGACGGTCCAGTCTCCGCGTCGAGGTGGAAGGGAGCTCCTTGCAAAGGGAGGTGGCCCACGCCGGAATAGCAGCCCCCCCCCTTGCCCTGCAACACCTTCTGGACTCCAAAAGAAGCAAAATCCCAGGCTGGATGGGCCAGATTCGAAGGCCAGAATATCGTCTGGCTGGCCTGATGAGAGCTGTTCCTATCGGCTCTGCCCTGCCTTCGATCAGCGAGGACCCGGCCCGCCATGAAATTCACTCCCGAGCCCTCTCTCTTCTGGCCACAGCCACCATGTCTTTAGGGTCTCAGACGGGGTGGGGAACTGCTTTTAGCTCGAGGCGTGCTTATGGGCAGGGGCGGATTGCTTGCTTTCCTGAAGCCACTCCAGGTGCCTTTTTGGAGCCGGGAGCGGGTGAAAAGCAGTGCATTAATGCATGCAACGCTTCACTGGTAGCCACGCCAAGACGAGCTGGTGGGATCGGGGACATAAATAGCTGTGTACAAACCTTTAGGGCTGCCTGGAGTAGCGCCTTTCCTCTCTGCAAGGGAACATCCACGCAGACCCAGCGAGCGGAAGAGACCCAGAGCTGCCATGGCTCCTTCGCGAGGCTCACGCCCCGTGTTCACCAGCATGCTCACGGCGGTCCCAGCCAGCAGACGGGTGTCCTTGCCAGCTGCCTTGAGATCGACAGAGGAAAGGTAAGCATTCCGAACACCGGGTGACATCACACCTAAACCGTCCTTAGCGCAGACCCACTGAAATGCAGGCAATCCAAATTAGCTGCAGCTCCTTGCGTTCATTTCAGTGGGTCTCCTCTAAGTCGGACTTGCACAGCGTTGTACCCAGACCCTGCCACTGCCTGCCAAAAACAGGGAAACCATGACAAGTAGGAGCTGCAACAAAACTTTGCAGCATAAAGGGCTACTGGACAGAACTGCAGTTGCTTCAGTGCCTTCTACCCACCACCTGGCTGCTTAGTGTGGTCCTGCTCAGAAATCCCGGAGAGATTTTGGAAACCCTGGAGAGATGCCCCCTGCTTTATCCAACTCATTTAAAGTGCTTGGTGGAAGAGGGGGTCGGTTCTTCTTTTTAAGGTAAGCAGGTCGGACAGGTCGTCGCAGAGTAGCTAAAAGGTCACCTTTGCAGTCATGGCTTGCACCAGCGATCTCAGGATCTTCTGCAGGACCTCCTTGTGCTCCGTTTCATCCCACACGAGCGGGGAAACCCCCTCGGGCATCCCCTTGAAAAGCTGCAGGCACGTCTGGACAAACAGCAGAGAGGGGTTAGCATATCGCACGGCCCAGTGTCTCCTGCTCAATAGTGTGGTCCCTGGCTCTGTGCAGCCCGTCCCTTTGTTAAAAAGGGCTGTTTTCCCCAGATAACCGTGCATCTAAGAATGTATTAAACTTGCAAGAAACATGATAAGATTCCCATGCTGAGATCCATGGGGTTGTTATTCCATTCCCTTTGTCTGATTAGCATCTACCCTGATCTACCTTTGCTCAATTAATCTGCTGCAAATAATTTGGATTTAAGTAAAGCCTCTAGAGGTGTGCTCTGATCTCAGAAGCAGCTGGTGTGATTTTGTTCCACAGCAGCTTATAGGGGAAAGTGGCGGAAGCGGCGGCAGGGGGTGGGGGAGGGAATCCCACTCGAAGATCCATGCTGTTTTCCAGCATTGGAGCGGGAACTCTGGAAAATCCCGTTCCTCTCTGGGCTTTGTTTGGGAGCCTCAAGTTTTCCCTGCCTCTTAGCAAACCTGCAGGTTTGGGCTGCAGGTTCATGCACTCTAAACTTGCCAGCAAGCCCCATTGGGTTCGCCAGAATGGTGCTGTTTTTACCTATGAAATGCTATTTTCCCTTTCTGGTAAGAATGGTGCTCAAGGCTGCTAAGATTAGAAGCAAATCTAGAGAAAGCTGTGATTAACAACTCATTAAAAACTTGTCAGATGAAGCGTATTGGTAAAGATGTAAGAGCACTTTCCAGTTTAAAACCTGTTTAGCACTGTGCTTTCTTAGAGGGCAAACGATGGACAGAATAGAAATGGCTCTGCCTGTTGGTAGAAAGACAGAGAAGGAGCTAAGCGGGCCTTCCTCGGAAGGGAGTTCCAGAGCTCGGGAGTGGCCCCCAAGAAGGCCCTCTCCTGTGCATTTCTACGCAGAAAGATGTTCCATTGAGTTCAGTACGATTTACTCCCAGGTTAAACATCTATAGATTTGCCTTCGAAAGTGTAGAGCAGGCGAAGAAGGGAGGCATGATGGGGCCCCTGCCTGGGGGCCACCCCCCAGCAGGGCCTCATTGAGAAAAGCCCCCTGAGCCCGCCCCTTCATGCCCCTGCTGCAATCAGCGCGACCCGGGCTTTTCCCTTGGCCCAGGCAAGGCTGGGGGTGCCACGTTCTGTTCGGTCCCTGGCTCTCTGCTGGTGCAGCAAACAAGGGGAGGAGCAGGAACGGTGGGAGAGAAGGTCCACCTGGAAGACCGGGAGGGCCACTGACGGTGCTTGTGTAACAGCCGCCCCCGCAAAAGCCCTGCAGTGGAAGCTGCCTGCGGAGGAAGCCGCCTTTCTTACCTTAACCGTGATGTAAAGCCACTGCTCGTTCCGGGGTGTCTGATCCTGCAGTATGAAGTCGAACGTGGTGGCGACGCACCGCAGCAGGTGGGGCAGGTGGGATCTCCAGTAGCATCGTCCCAGCACGCTCTTCTCAATGAAAATGCAGGCTGGGGAGCAAGAGGACAAAGGGCTGTTGCCGCTGCGATTTGACAGCCAGGAAGAACCCCGTGGAATGTTTGCGGGCCGACGTGGTGGAGTGCGCTCCTGGGTGGGCTGTACCACCTCTCAGGGTCGTCGCTGGATTGCTGCCTGCTGGTGGAGAAGGCCGAGCTCTGAGGACAGAGCTCCTGGGCGGCTGCTCTCCATTGGTACAAACTGGGGCCGTGGACACAAGCAGGAAGGGCTTGAAGTAGGAAAGGGAGGGATCGCTCTGGGACTGACCTGTCTGGAGAGCGCCGGCAGACATTGGCTGAAAGGAGACGGAGAAGCGAGTTGGAGAGGACCAAGCTCAAAAGTTATACCCAAAGCCAGCCACACCCTTTCCTGGGAGACTCCATTCCCTCCAGGTTTCTGCCCCGCCCTGGGAACACTTGGCATGCTAGTCCCTGTTGGGCTATTTGGGGTCTTCTTACTTCCCTACTTTTTCACTCTGAAATAGTTCTTGTCCTCCTACAAACCTTAGCATCTCCCCAAGCAGCTTGTGCTATGACTCTCTCTCTCTCTCATACACAAATACAAACTTGGTACCCTCTAGATGGGCCGGATTACAATTCCCAGTGGCCACGCTGGCTGGCAATGATCAGAACCATAGTCCACTGGCTTGGAGAAGATTCCACTACCATCCAGTCTTCAATGCCGTAGGCCTGTACCTCTGAGAAAGGACACCGTTCCACTGGAAAATATTTCCACTGCTGCAATCGACCAAAGCTCTCTCACCTTTTTGTCCTCGGGGGTGAGACGGCCCATTAGCTTGTCCACCTGCTCTGAGACCATTGTTCTGTTCCCTTCTGACAGTCTTACAACAATCTAAGGACAGGTGAGAATCAACCATAAGGAACGTGGTTTGAAAACAATGCTTGCCATCCAATCCCTCCCGAGCGTTTTAGTTTCTTGTACACTGGTTCTTTCCCTTAGATTTGGAGATGGTGAGCAGGAGGCCTTCTGGCTTGTAATTCCTGTCGTCCCTCACCAGTGGCTATGCTGACCAGCACGGATAGGAAATTCCGGGATAGATACAAGTTTATTCTGGTGTTCAGCTTTCAGGACCCCCCGGCAGCCAGTTAATGGCCAGAAATGCTGGGAGTTGAAGATGTAGAGACGTGCTTTCCGCCCATCCTTGTCTTAGATCTACTGTCTGTCTGTCTCTCCCTCTCTCCCTCCCTTGTCACCTGTTTGGTTTGCCAAGATCCAACCCAAACAGACTTCTGGTCACTTTGTGGACCAGATTGTCAAAAGAAGCCGAGTTGGGACCATTGTCTGAGAGCGACATGCAAACTCTCTCTAAACGACAGGAGTGACTTCGTAAACAGATCTGAAGAGCCCTGCTGGATCGGACTGAAGACACACCTGACCTGGCCTCTTCTTTCCTTCAGCAGCCAACCCACAAGCCAGGCACATGGCCAACTGCCCTCACGATGCCCCTGATTTGCCTAGCTTCTCCTCCACGAATTCCTCCCAAGCCAAGTCAGTGGCCATCACCACACCTCTGGCAGCAAATTCTCTCTTCGCAGGGAGGCCCACCTTTTCGAGTCGAGAGAAAGAGCCGGAGCTGCTGAGGGTCTCCATTTGGCAGGTAAGCACGCAGTGCACCAGAGGAAGGGTGTTCTCTGGCTCCAGCTCCCAGAATCCTTTGCTCATTCCTGCCAAGAGCTGAAAAGCCTCCTCCAGGTTTTTGTCTCTGCATCTCTTCACGGAACCTCTGGCAAAGATGGGAGCCCCGCATGGTCATCAGATTATGTTTCCCGAGTTCACCCCAAACTGTATTAAAGTTCTATTGCTAGTAAGCATTTGTCCAGCACATCAACTGCTCTGCCTGTCACAACGAGGAAGAAATTCATGCTGAAATCAACCATGTTTGTTATTCTAAGCGAGCAAAACGCAGGATCTTTTTCTTCCCTTCACAGTCCGAGACAAACACAAGTGTGATCACATCTCTGCTGCCTTTGGATACTTTGCAGCACAGCAAAACAATTAGATCCTAGTTAACTGACAGTTAGCCAGATCCCAGGCACATCTGCTTAGCAGGAAATCGGAAATCCTATGGAGTTCAACAGAGGATCATTCTATCTATCTATACATTTCTATGCCGCCCCCATCGCAACAAAGCCTCGGGGTGGCTCACAAAAAAATACAAAAAAAAAATTTAAAAATCATTCTACAGCTGGCTGCCTGTGAGTCCCACTGAATCTAGCGAAATTGCTTCTGAGAATTGTGCCTTGCTCACATTGTAAAGCCAGCCAACTTCTTTCTGGGGAGAATTGATTCATCTCCTCCTCCTCCTCCTCATCATCATCCCTTCATAATGATAAGGATGTTAATCATACTAATTTGTGGAGAGCACTGACAGCCCTGCATACAGATGCATGAAGGAGTTGCAATGAGAAAGAAACTTTATTTCTTCTCACTGGAGAAGGCCTGCTGCACAACAACAACCACCACCAAGAACAGCAACAACGTTAAAATGAACAGGATTGAGCAGGCTGCACACTGCAGAAGTTCGGCTGGTGAAACTTTCCATCCCGCACTGAAAAGCCGTGACGGGAGAATCTGCACCCGTAGAATTTCTGCCTGTTACAGATAATCAGCACAGGCAGGCCCAGGCCAAATGGCAACATCCTGCTCTGGCAGGGCACAGGGTAGGGGGCATCCCCCAAGCCTTGCCCCGGGGCAGCGGTACTTTTCCGCCTCCCCCCCTTGCAAAAGGCACGTGGCTCGGCCAGAGCTTACCCTGCAAACTGCTTGAGTTTTTCCAGGAAGGGCAGTAAACTCCGGCAGGTTTCTCCCAGCCCCGCTGCCTGCCCCAGGGCCTTGTAGAAGGACAGGCATCGCTCGAGTTCTGCTTCTGCCCCGCGCATCCCCGGCCAGATCGGGGGCTCCCGGCAGCAGCCCCGGGCGGACTGCAAGCGCGCCGCCATAGAGTGCGAGCATCGGCGCAAACCGTCCCGGCCACAGCTAGACTCGGGCGCGGAGGAACGCCAGCGCCATCTAGTGCACGCCCCGAGGGATGCATTGCTGCGGCTTGCGGGAATGCATGTCGATACGGGAAGTCCGGCGGGGGATCGAGCCGGTGCTGAAAGGCCGCCCGCGCATCATTCTGAACAATGGCGTGGGACGGGCACCGTTTGCTTGGCAGGCAGGCAGGCAGGCAGGCAGGCATGCAGATCCTGGGTTCGGACAGCGCATGGAAACACAGAAACGGAGCGAGTCAGAAGGGGGCTCCCGGGCCATCTAGCCTGACCCCTGGCTCCAGCTGGCTCCGCTCACGATATTTTATTTATTTAAAACATTTCTATGCCGCCCCATCGCAATAAGCCTCGGTGCAGCTCACAACATTAAAAAAAAAAAAAACCCATACATTAAAACCCCAATACAATAAAACCCCAGTGCCATAAAACCTCAATAAAACCTCAGTGCAATCTCGGCTAAAAAAAAAAAAAAAAAAAACCTAGTTAAATAAATAACTTAACAATTAAAATAAGTTTTAAATAAAAAGGTCTTAGCCTGGCGCCGAAAAACAAATAACGACAGTGCCAGGCGGACCTCTCTGGGGAGCGCATTCCATAAATGGGGCGCCACCGTTGAGAAAGCCCTCCTCCGGGTACTCACCCTCCTGATGTCATTCACAGATGGTTCCCGGAGAGGGGCATCTGCTGCTGACCTCAAGGGGCGGGAGGGCATATATGGGAGCAAGCGTTCCGTTAAGTATCCAGGTCCCAAGCCGTTTAGGGCTTTATAGGTGATAACCAACACCTTGAATTGGGCCCGGACTTCAATCGGGAGCCAGTGGAGCTGACGAAGAACTGGGGTTATATGAGAACAACACCCAGTCCCCGTCAGCAACCTGGCAGCTCTATTCTGCACCAACTGAAGTATCCGGACCGTCTTCAAGGGTAGCCCCACGTAGAGCGCGTTACAGAAATCTAATCGGGAAGTTACCAGCGCGTGTGTCACTGTCACCAGGCAGTCATGCTCTAGGAAGGGACGCAGCTGATGGATCAGCCGAAGCTGAAGGAAGGCGCTCCTCACCACCGCTGTCACCTGGGCTTCCAGAGACAGCTCCGGGTGGAGGAGCACTCCTAAGCTGCGAACCCTTTCCCTCAGAGGGAGTGCAACCCCATTTAGGACAAGTCCCCCATCCCAAGGTCCGAGCCATCCACCAACAGGACCTCCGTCTTGTCTGGATTGAACTTCAGTTTATTGGTCACTGGTCTATAATTGGCGGCCACCTCTGGATCCAGGGATGCCTTCTTTAGGACTGGCCGGGTATGCCCACCATGTGCATGTCTGGCCTATCCTTGAACAACCTCACCAATGGGGCCTCAACCACCTCCCGTGGAAGCCCATTCCACACCCTCGGGGTCCTACAATACAATAACCTGCACTTGAGATCTCAGTGTGGGTTGCCATTAAACCAGGGCTTCTTGCCAAAAGAGGGATTATCTTGTTGTGGGAACCCAGCCGAGATAGCGAACCGTGGTGAAAAGCCCAGAGTTCACAGCTCAACAATAAATGGCTGGGTTTGGACAACCAAGTTACCCACTTTTCAACAGCAGCTCTTGCTTCCATGACAACCCATACTCACCACTCTCTGACAAATTTTACTAGGTCGTATGGCAATGACAAGCATGATTCGAGTGTGGAAAAACAAGAACATCAGCTTGGCAACCAAGTGCAGATTGGTCCATGTCATCGTTTTCCTTATAAGTTGGACAATGAAAAAGTTAGACAAGAGGAAAATGGACTCATTCAAACTGTAGTTTTGGTGGAAGCTCCTGTGCATTCCGTGGACAGTGGGAGTCACGAAAGAGACGGTTCTAGGGCGCATTAAACCAGCCGTGTCCCTGGTCAGCAAGAGAGCAAAACTGAGACTTGCGCATTTTGGCCACGTCATGCGGTTATTTTATTTATTTATTTATTTATTTATTTATTTAGTAAACTTCTATGCCGCCCCATTCGCTGAAGCCTTGGGGCGGCTTACAACAATAAATAAATACATATGATCATATAAAAACAATATAATTGGAAACGCCCTGGCCAAAGATATGAAATCAATAAATAAGCTAACAAAATGCCGTTTAAATAAAAGGGTCTTGGCCTGGCGCCGAAAAACGAATAATGACGGCGCCAGGCGGACCTCTCTGGGGAGCGCATTCCATAGATTGGGCGCCACCACAGAGAAAGCCCTCCTTCGGGTACTTACCCTCCTAATATCCTTCACGGAGGGTTCCCAGAGAAGGGCCTCTCCCGCTGATCTCAAGGAGCAAGAGGGTATGTATGGACATAAGCGCTCCTTTAGGAAACCAGGACCCAAGCTGTTAAGGGCTTTATAGGTGATAACCAACACCTTAAGCTCACCAGGAAAAGAGACAATGCTTGGAATGCTCAGTGGCAAGAGAAAACCAGGTCGCCAAAGAGCAAGGTGGTTGGACTCCATCAAAGAGGATGCAGGCGAGAGCATCATTCAGCTGAAAGAGGTGGCGTGGGATCAGAAAGTGTGGCGAGATTTTGCCTGCGATCGCTTACAGTTGGACACAACTGAACAGCTGAACAACAATGCTGTCTGAACCCGCTTGCAGTGCACCAAAGAAATATCCGCAGAACGTGTCTACTCAGATGCAAGTCCCATGGCTGTCAGGTGTTGCAGCGCCCCCTAGCGACGAGTAGCACAGCTCACCTTGCCGTGTCTGCAGGAGAAGAGCTTGGACGTACCCGCAAGGCTGGAGCTGGTGAAGGTTCTGGAAAGGAAGGTTCTTTCCCAGTTGTCTGTGCTGGAATTCCAGAGGTTCTGCTGGACAACAAGGCATGCCCGGGGAACATTCTTTTTCACTTTACACGTTATATCTGTCCTTTCTTTCTCGTAGCTTGCCTTTTGGTTTCCTTGTTATGCAAGTTGCTCAGGGCAGCTCTCATGGTTCTCCTGTTCTCCGATTTGTCCGCACAACAGCCCTGTGACATAGACTAGGCTGAGTCAGTAGCCAGTTTTGCCTGGCTGTGGTGGAGGAGATAAGCCACAGTGACGTATTTCCCCCGCCACATGTGCTGGGGGATTTGTGTTGTGACCTTCATCAGCCTAGTTTGCCATATTATGTGAACCCAGCAAAGGTGGCTTGTTGTCTGGGTTAGGAAGCCACCCCAGTATGCTAAAATACTTCATGGGTTCTGGCTGGCTTCTTGACCAGAGCAACGAGCCAGCCTTGCATGACGAAGCTCAGTGGGAAGGATAATTATGCAAGTCCTCTCATTAGTGTGGGAGTGAATGCCTAAACTCACACCCGAGGGGGCTGTGGAGGGCACCTTTATTAGTGAGGACTAAATGCTTTCCTCTAGAATCTTTAATTTGTTTGGTGAAATATAGGCTGCACTTGTAGCAATCTGGATCCAGTTCCAAAGGCAACAGTAGAAATGAGAGCTTCTCTGAGCGTGTGAGAAGTGCCTTCCCCTTGAACATGGCATATATCTGGAATTAGGAGAGCGGCCTCCTCAGCAGGTGGATTTATGGCTTCTGGCCGTGTTACTAAAATAGGGCCTTCATGTTGAGAGATACTGTGTCTATGCATATCGGATCCGAGCCACAAAGCACAGAAGGTGTCCATAGGATTATGGTTTGCTTGTGTATTCTCAGAGGCACTCTTGGAAATGGACTACTGGACCAGCCAGGTGGATTCTTGCTCTGATGGAGCAAGGAGAACCTGGCCTCCATGGATGGACAGAAGTGATGTTTAGAAGTACTCTTGTTCCACCTGAACCCTTTAGCTGGATGTGGGTCCTAAAACCTGGAACTCCAATTCTACCCCACCAAGTTATGGGAAATGGAAACACTAATGACCTTTGAGAACCAAAGGTTCTTGAGTAGCTGGATAAAGAACATCCTAGCAGCCCCATCCATTGGCCGGAGAAGGAACAGCTGCTGGGAGCTTGTTTCACCTCACCCTGCCAGAAAGAAGACCTAGAAGAACTTGAAGCTAAGAACTAGTCCCTGAGTTTGCTCTTTTCCTCCTCCCTTCCAATCCCCTTTCCTTTTTTGTTGTGCCTTTTAGATCACAACCCTGCCTTATTATTAAACCTTTTATTCGGTGATCTTCACGTCTGGAGATGGTGTAAATAAATAAAAGCCACAGCAAAGTGCCCAGATAGGTTAGTAATGTGCTGGTTCTGTTCTGGAGCAACTGCCATTTCTGGATGGACTCATAAAGTCTCAGTGGCCTGACCTGTAAAATGGAACACTCTGTATGAGGCACTGTGGGTGAAACTGAGAACAAAGTTTTAGGCTGGATTCTGCAGTTCAAAAGGGCCATGGGAACTGATAGGTTGAGTGAACAGTTTTCAGGTGATGGTTTGGTTCTTTTTAAATTAATTCTTCCCAACCCAACTGTCTTTGCGTTCTTTATCTCTCCCCACCCTCCGTACAGATCTCCCTTTTGCTGGCAAGTAAAGGCAAGTGGCGGGGGGGGGGGGGCTTTTTCCTCCTGCTTCAGCACAGGAAAGATTTTCCAAACCTAGAAATTTACTTTTGACAAATGAACAGCTAAAGCAGATTAGCCTCTTTTTTTGGTGGTTAATCCTTATAATGGTTTTAGAATCTCTTTACCCAATGAGAAAATGATAAAGGCTTCTTTCTATTCTCTTCATCCATATCTCTCACATTGTCTACGGCTTGTCTACATTTTTTCTGCCACTTCTCTTGTTTTATTTTCCTCCTTTTCTTTTCTTTTCCCATATAGAATTGCCCAGAGATCTTATCTTGGTAAACACAACATCGATAAATCCCCTCTTTTTATTTGTCCTGTTCAGGAACCGGGTTCGAAGCAGTGCCTGGCCGATGGGGGATTTGATTACCAGCCGTTATCAAAAGTCCTCTTTGTGAAATCTGGGTCTTCAATCCTATAATTCTTTGATAAAAGAAGCATTACCAGTCTATTTTCCCCAAAGTGAAAGGTACGGGGAGGATGAAAGAAAGCAATCAGCCCTTGGGCTCATAGGCTAAGTGCATGGACCCCTGTTAGAGAGGAGGGGTGGCGGGGAGCAGGGGTGGGGGGCCCTGGAGGGGAGGAAAGCTTTTGTTGTAGACCCGCATTGTGTATGTGGCAGTGGAAGAATTAATCTGCTTCAGCCTTCTGATTGCGGCTGCTAACCCCCACCGCTCCTCCCCTGCCGTCCAGCTCCAGCCTGAAAAAGTGCCAGAGTTGGGCGAATGGAGGGCTGCAACTTTATTTAATGAAGGACAAGCCCGACTGGCAGGCCAGCAAGCCATGGAGCCAGGGTGGAAGGAGGCCAGGCGCACCCGGCAACGGCCTTCTCGTCCGCATCGCACGATCCTTGCCCGGCTCGTGGCCCCCGTCCTCGGGTCTTCTGGGGTGCTGCAGGGCAGGGGATGAGGGGAGCGTGGCTTATTCACAGCCAGAGGATGCAACCCCCACATTGCCCTCTGGCTCAAGGGATGGGCCTCCAGCAAAGGGTGAGGACTCCCCAGCTGCAAAAGCAGGCAAGGGCCCTCTAGCTGTGCACCCAACTCCAGCAGGAGCAGGGCCCACTACCCTACCACTCTTATCAGCCTGGAGAAGCTGTCAGCTCCCTGCTGAGACAATGTCCTCCTAGAATCATAGTCGGAGAACAATCCAGCCATCAGGACCTGCTCGGAGCTATTGGGCCCTGTTCCCATCTTGCTCTACCATCCTGTTTTGAGCTCTCTCAGCTTGAAGGGATCACAGGACTGGGTGGCAAGCTGCATGTCTCCTGCTTGGGGCCAACCAGCGGGCTTTTGGTTGAGAGAAGTCTTCTGGTTCCAAGTCTTTAGCTGCTTTATGCTGTTTTATCGTGTGAGCTGCCTAGGGAGGACATTCTGGCAGTTAGAGGTGGCGGATAAGTCCACCGCCCTCCGAAGCCCCATGGATATCAGTGCGTGCTGTGAGCAGGCCTCCAAGAACGTTCTTCCACTGTTTCTACGGAATCCGCTTGCTGCTGGTAGTTGGTCTCCAGGTGTAGGTGGGTGATCCCTGCTCCATTTTTCATGCACCTGCGTCCAAGGACTTGGAACAACACTACGCATTCTGCTCCCCACAGTTCCCCGACTGGGTCAGAACCCTCCTGTTACTGCCCCACTCCTTTGGCGGAAGGGCAAAAAGTTCTCATAATGACCACCCAGCCTCAGCTTTCAGACGGAGGGATGGTTTGCCCTTCTGAGACAATCTGTTCAAAGGACAAACCCTCATATCTATATAGTCCTCCAAATGCGTCATCAAAACAGCTCCTCTTATCATTGGACCACATTGGAACAAACTTCCCCATCTTTTCTGTGACAGCCCGTCAGATCTTTGGACTCCATGTTTTTTGTTCCAGATTACCCCTACCCAGATCCTTCAAACTTCCCTTGCAGGACTTGGTCCACACACCTTCGACGTCTTGGTAATCTTCCACTCAAACTGCAGATAGAGGATCGCTTTTCTGTGCCTAAACTCATTTGATACAGCATTGTGAGTGTACTAGCGCTGATACAATTCTCTCCAGTGGACTAAGACTAACATAGTTTAAGGTATTTATTTTATTTATTTATTAAAACATTTCTATGCCGCCCCATTCGCCGAAGTCTCGGGGCGGCTCACAACATAAAGTTAAAATACAAAAAATAACAATATAAGAAAATAACAATATGAAATAAGTAAGTAACAATATAAAACAAGTCACCCTGGCCAGATAAAATAAGCAAATACTATTAACAATTAAAATGACGTTTAAATAAAAAGCGTACATCTTGTTCTAGGGAGATCGGAGCTTTCCTCCTCTAGCATAGGCATCTTCAGAAAATGTTCTACGTGGCGCTGCACGCTGGTGTTATTTCTTTATTTATTGGTGAGAAGTGATGTGAGTTGGGGTGAAAAACTCCAACTCCAAGCATAAACTAAGGGAAGGGAGCTAGAAGGGCCTGACCAAGAAAGGGTCTGGAGGTTGTGGTGGGCAGCTTGACCAAGACGTTGACCCTGTATGCAACTCCATATGTGGCATAATTAGGAAAGAAAACAGAATTGCAATATCATACTGCCTTGATCAAAGTCTTTCTGCAAGGTGTGATGCATTTGGAATAGTGCAAACAGTTCTTGTCACTGCGGCTAAAAGATACTGTAAAATTGCAAAAGGTGCGAAGAAGGGCAGCAAAAATGAGCAAGGAGTTGGAGTATTTCCCCTAGGAGGAAATGTCGCAGCCACTGAGTTGTTTAGTTTAGAGGAAGGTGAGTAATGGGAGACAGGATGGAGCTGTTCTCTGGGTGGAGAAAGCAGAGAGGGAGACATTGTTCTTCCCTTCCCATAATATGAGAATCCAGGGTCATCTCATGAAGCTTAATTAGATGGTGTTTCAGGACAGATAAAAGGAAGCACTTCTTTTCATGCTGCATAAGTAAACTTGCTTCCATCTGGGCAAAATCAAGGCGAACCAGGAGGGTGGATTCGTGGTGGAGGGAATTTGCCCATGCGGCCAATGCTGAGCTGGCACACTTCCCTGCTTGCTTTTTTATTTACCCTCTTGTTGACTCCACGGGAAGGGAAAGTCAAGGCTGCAGCTTCAGTGCTGCTGTGGGTTTTCTCCCTTGCTGGGTCCATGTCAGAAGAGGTGCAGCAATTGGCCGGAGAAGGGGGCGAATCCGGTGGATCTTATTTCTTAAATACCACCTTTTCCTGCACTGCTACCAGGACACTGCTATGGCCCATGTGCCAGTTCTTGGACCTGCTGCTTCAGCCCTGGGATGTTGAGCCTCTAATTCTACTTCAGGGAAGGGCTCCTTGGAGAGGTCAAAATACTCCCAGTACCAGCATCTCTTAGTTGAAGACCTCCATGACAATACCTAACCTTCAGAGAGAGACCCCCAAATGTTGGTGGTTGGGGAAGAGAAGGGATTGTGACCACCTGGGACCATATTGGGAATTCTAAGCATCCTCTTAGTTCTTCTCTAGTCCACTGGAAGGCCATGGACAGGCTATAGGATTGCAGTTTTGATGCACAGGCCAACTCAGCAGACCCATTGAGTTCAATGGGACCAATGCCTGGGAAAGTAAGCATGGGACTGCGGTTTTAGTTTAGTATTCATACTGAATATGTATGACTATACTTTCAATCATTCCAAAGCCTCCTTTTCATACAACCCCTCTTTGTGATGTGCCTTCTTTCCCTTTTAGCTGGCATTAATTTAGGGTGAAAATTGTCCCGATGAAATGTTACTTAGCGAGGTCTATTTGATATTTCATTTCATGTCATTTTGAAGAGGTCTCCCTAATTCCAGGATGCTACAATCCATTGGACCCCAATAGGTATCTAATTCTGATAATCTCACATCTGGCCAGCACTGTCTTTCGTGTATCGTTATGCTTAAATTTAATTAAGTACCTCAATCGGTGGTTGGGGAGGCTTACTAGAAGAGGGCTGGTATTAAAACTTCGGAACTTTCCTTGTCCTCTGAATAGCAAATAAATTGGCTTTCAGGAAACGTCCTCAGTTTGCAGAGGACGTTGCCTCTCTGGGTTATTTTCTGTTTTCTATTATCAAGCTAAACTCCCCCATCGCTCTTCCCCCCACCGCCCCCTGTACCCTCATCCCGATATTGTGCAATATGACAGTTCTCTTTTGATGGGAAGACTTTCATTTGGTCAAAGAAAAGGATAATTTGCTTCTCTTTAAAAAAGGAAAAAAAGCAAAAAGAGAAAGAGAGAGGAGTTAATCCTTCTGGGCCATTTCTGGGCCTGAGAAATGGCTTTTCTCCCTCGGTCTTGAACTAGGGGGCTTCAGATACAATGGGGATCATAACCACTTCAAATCTACACTCGAGATAGAGAAATCAGATTTCTTTCCAGAGTCATTTCTGAAGGATTAGCTAAATCTTAGATCCACACTAACCCTTCACAAAGCTGTCAAGATTAGTTGGAATTTATCCTATTCCGGCAGAGGGGTTTTATGGTTTTCTTTCCAAGGAGGATTATAGAGAGAGATATATACGTATAAATTTAGGATACCCTTGCAGGTAAAGCAGCTGAGCTTCGGTGGGCGGAGAGTGTATGTGTCTTCGTGTTCGTCTGTGAGTATATAAACCAAAAAGGCACGGGGAGCGTGGAACGAGAAGGGTTGGCCACCCCAAGTCTTTGGGCTGTGAGTTCTGCTGGGTGCCACTGCTCTGGCGGGCTTGCTTCCTTTTCTTAAACAAGATTTCTAGTTCCGTCTCTGCAGGGCTGGGGCTCTCCCGAGAAGCAGCCGAGGCCAGGATGTCCGCCGGCCCTCCTGACGCGGATCTGGGGAAGAGAACCCTCCAGGCGCCCTGCTCCTTCACCATCGAAAGCATCCTCTCCAGCTCGGCCGAGAGAAGGCCGCCGGTCCTGCTGCCCTTGTGCTTCCGAGGGGTCTTGGACTGCGAGCCCAAAGGGCTTTGCGCGCTGGGCAGCATCGTCACCGGCTCTCTGCGGGAAGAGGAGGAGGCGGGAGAGCTCGAGATGGACGCGGGGCAGTGGGGCTCCTGCTGCTGCTCCCACGGCTCGGCTCACTTGTGGCAGGAGGCCGCGAGCTGGCTTGGTGAGTCCCATCCGGTTGACCTTCCGGGGGGTCTGATGGGACTCCCGATGGAGGGAGGGTCTCGGTTTTGTGGCTGGCTGCGTTGCTATTGTGGCCTGTGGGCCACAGAGCCAGCCTCCCTCCAACCCTGATGCTCCTGGACTATGACTCCCATCGACGCTGAGCACTGGCCACGCTGGCTGAGGGGGATGGGACCTCTAGGTCAGCTCGGCGACATCCAGAGAGGGCTGCACTGGGCATGGCTGACCGACACGTAGCCTGGTGCTTTTCCCGGCAAGCGTGGGGCATTTCTTGCAGGCCGCTCTCCTCCGTGCAGCTCAGGGAAGAGCATACCGGGCCCCCAGGAAGCCCAGCTTCCATGCCCTGATGCGACCCAGCCATCCTCGACTTCGACTGGGTTGCAGCACCGGGCGGCACGCGGCTGGCGTGCTGGGTTTCTTTCACTTCGAGGGCTGGATTACATCTCGGGGAAGCTCTTGTGAGCAACGATGCAGTCATGTAGTCAACATGCTCATTGGAGCATCGGCTACTGGGTGGTATAAAAATGAAACCACGGAATACATAACGGCAAAGGGGTGGGGCAGTGGATGGAGGCTGGGCTGGGCTGCGGTTGGGTATCCACTCCGTTTTTCAGCCTGAATGTCTACGGAGCTATTCTTGGTGCAGAACCGGAGCGTGCCCTCACCCTGCTAGGCCCAACATCCTGGGGAGGTGAGTTGTGTTGCAGGCTCAGATGAAATGCCTTCCCCTTCTCCGTAACATTCTCATCTGCTTCTCTGATGAAACTGACAGCTTTGGAGGGTGGAGGAAACCTTGGCACTTTTAGAGAGCAGAGAAGGTGAAACTGACCAGCTTTTTCCACTTAGGAATGAGAGATTAAAGTGTCCGTGGGGCGGTGGGGGGGGCAGGATGAAGAAGAGGGAGAGCTCTCCCCAGTTGTGTTGCATGCACTGAAAAAAGGGGTGTAGAGAATCAAAAGGGCTCATCAGAGAGAACACACCTGCTCACCGATGCCATAAAAGCTGCAGGAAGGTTAAAATGCCCGTGTCAATCCGCCTTGGGTGCGTGCTGATAAATTAATTTAAAGCCCAGCAACAAGCTCATCATCTTAACCCATTTATGCCTTCCACACAAATCTGCAGTAGCAGAGAGATTCGGAAGTGCTTCAGGCGGTACATGTGCAGTGCTCTCTCTCCATATGGGTGGTTTCATTTATCTGTCGACATTTATTTATTTATAGCGGATGGGTAACAGCTAACGTAAGCATGCCTTTGAAGCCCTTGTTGCAGCCTCTTAATAGCAAACTTAGCTCTCCCAGGGTGAAAACTTAAGCCAGCGAAATGATGCAAGCTGCCCACAAGGAGGCGGGTTCAGCGGGGCTAGGAAAACAATGCCGGGGTGAGGCTCCATGTAACCCTTACCCTCACATTTCTTCCCTTGGCAAGCTTGGAGCTACAAAAAAACCTGACGACAAAGATGCTCCAACAACTCAACAAGGCCGAAGTGTTCTCAGTGGGCATAGGAGGCTGATCCAACTTTTGGGGAAATAAAACAGACCCCTTTCGAGGGAATGGGTGGGAAAAGAACCTGGCTGGAAGCACTTCACACTGCAATATTTTGTTGTAGCTCCCACTTGGTATTATTTGGTATTTGACTCTTCCTTCACAAAGCTCGAGATGCTGAAACTAGCTAGACAGCTCCTGCACTAATCCAAAGGGACTGCACCTCTGTTCTATCCCTTTTCCCCCTTAACCTTCAATGGTTAATTTTATATACTTATTTATTTGTGTCGGTGTTAAGGAGGGGAAAAATCTTTTTTGGTGTGAGGGTTATAAGCAAAAGAAGTTGGTGATGACAGCTGGTCCCCACCCTTGGTCAATCAAAAGTTTTTTAGTTTACATTTTATAGTATATGCTATGTTATCCTTTATGGTTTGAGCCACCCAGAAAGCATCATCTAAGGGGCGTGATAGAAATAAATGCACAAAGTTAAATAGTCTCTGTAAGGAAGATTCATGATGGCTGAATGAGAGCCCCTACGCCTTCAGCTGACCCTGCATTGGCGTCCGAGTTACTACAAGTCACAAAATCCCAAAGACGGCCAAAAGAGCTGTCGAAAGACCTGGCCAAAGGCAGATAATCCACACAGAAGCTTCACAGGTGAGGAACGGTAAGGCAAAGAGATGAGCATTACACAGAGCCGATGAGAAAGCTTCAAACACAAACCAAAACACTTAAACGACTAAGCATCAGAAACCCTTACTGGTTTTCTGCAGATCAGTCAGAGAATTTTCAGTAGATCCCAAATGACCTTCTGCCCCCAAAGGGAGCAGCCCCGCCAAAAATACTCAGCGCTCCAGGCACAAAAATCAGAGCTGGAAGGTACCTTAAAGGCCATCTAGTCCAGCTCCCAGCATATGTGGAGCCTTGATGCATTGGCACCCATGATAGGTAGCTACCGACCCTTAATAAACTCCATCTTCATTTTCATCTTCTTCATTTCTGTACTGCCTGGTAGCTGAAGCTTTCCCTAATAAAAGGATGTGTGTCAGAGATACCTGCTGGACTTGAAGTCTTGAGCATTCAACACCAGCCAGCCCAGGGACCAAGTTCCCGGTTTGGGGCAGCCTTCCAATGGAGAATAGGGCCAGAAATACAACTCCCTCTGGCATTTCAGCTTTTTAGAATGGCGAGAAGGCTTCACAGAGGCTGAGAAGCCCCTGAAGAATGGGAATCTAGCGGAAAGCAGGTGGGAAGTGGGGATGGCCAGGGCTGGCTGGGGAACTGGGACCCCTGGTGGGCTGGAGTTACCTCCCAGCCTTGACGTTCTGCCTCCTTGCTTTAAGGCATTACATGTCACTAACAGCCTGACACAGCTGCTGGGACTTATTTGTGCTGCTGTTTGACTCATTACTCAGTGGAATAATCCTGAATTATTCTGCGAGAGCCAGTGTGGTGTGGTGGTTAGAGGGCTGGACCAGGGACCTGAGGGATGCGGGTTCTAGTCGCCGCTCAGCCCTGAAGCTCACTGGGTGCTGTTGGGCCAATCACTCACCCTCAGCCCATCCTACCTCACAGGGCTGCTGTTGGGAGGATATAATGGAGCTATGTAAGCCACCTTGGCTCACAAGGGGAAAAGAGTCAGAATATAAAAGCAGAAAATAACAGTAACAACTTCACCCGAATGTGGTTAAGTACAAAACACAAGAGTATCTGCAGATTTGGGGGAAGCTTCCCAGATGTAAGGAGAAAAAGATCCTTCGTGTTGACCCTCAAGGCGCATGCCATGTCCTCACTTTTGGCGGACGGAGTGGGACCATCTTGTTTTGCTTGTGTATCGAAGGCACAGCCAGTGAACTCCAAGCCTTCTTTTTAATAACAGACGCCCGCGTTCCCTGGCCCATGAGACTCTTCCATCCTGTCGGCAGGCCGTACAGGAACACGCGCGGAAGCCCGAGCGAGCTGCAGACCTTCCACCAGGCCCAGCGCCGCACCCGCCGGCACCGCACGATCTTCACCGAGGACCAGCTGCAGGCCTTGGAAGCCCTCTTCCACCAGAACCAGTATCCCGATGTCATTACCAGAGAACACCTGGCCAGCCGCATCCACCTGAAGGAAGAGAGAGTCGAGGTAACGATCTGGCTAGGTTGTGGTTGGTTTGTTTAGGATATTTGTATCCCGTCCTATACCAATTGTCTCTGGATGGCTTACAACATAATAAATAAGAAATACAACAATAACAAGATAAAATATGATGGAGCTTTTGTGGCTGCAGAGATAGGACTTTGCAAGGGACTGTAAATTTGCTACTCAAGCATCAGTTTAAGGAATGACTGATACACATTTTAAGACAGAACTAAATTGGACAAATTAATAATTTGGAAGAGAAATGGTTATCCTCCGTTTTTAATAATGACTCAAATACCAACTGTCCATTGTTTTGCTCTGTAGAAGTGCTGTTTTGTAAATATAACGTAATATTTATTCCAAATAAGCTTGGATGTTTTCCTGCCTTGAGTAACATGGTTTGCAGGGTAACAGTTGTTTTCCTGATTCTGTGTTGGACTGCAGACAAAATGTGCCTTTACAAAAATGCTTTCTAAATGCATAGGTTTGGTTTAAAAACCGTCGTGCCAAGTGGCGGCACCAGAAGAGAGCTTCGGCACTCCTCCTCCAAGGTCCGAAAAAATCTTCCGAGGGGAACTGCTCATGACACTGGCTGGAAAAAACAAAAATGAAAAGGCACACATCCTTCGGTTGCTGCTCAGAAAAGTGCGCTAAGAGTTAAGAGAGAAAGAATGGCAATGATTGTCCAAAGTTGGTCTAAACGTGTATTTGGGGGTAGGTGGGTGGGTGGGGAACTATAAGCTCTATGCTGAGACAAGCATTAAAATCCCTCTCATTCAACATCCAATTTAAGGAGGAAAAGATGGAAGAGCTGCAGAGTGTCTTTTGCTTGGTAGCACTAGAAATCCTTGTACTGGAAGGACCCCTACAGTTTGGGACAAATAATACTTTGCAAAATTCAAACCAAACACCTTCTGCTCTTCTTCCTGGCTGCTGTTTGCATTTGCTGTTTGCATTTTGGGGGAAAACTGTATGGGAGGGGGAAGGTTTGACAAGCAGCTGGAAGGGGGTCTTATTTGGATGAAACTGTTTTCTCTTCAAAATAAAAACATCTAATTTAAGCACCTCTTAAAAGTATTTAACCTACTGTGTTCCTTGGGGCTTAGCAGGCAAAATCTCATGCATGTTTAGGCAGGAAAAAGCCCTGCGATGTGTGTGGGTTTCCTCCGTCTTAATGAACAGACAATTACACCCTGATGCTCTGAACTCAGACTGTGAGAGCATGGAAAGAATCATGCTCTGGCCTTTCCGAGGTCAGGAACTTTTTAGCAAATGTTTCTTGGCTCTCAGGACATATTCAGGCATGATCTCTACCAGTACAAAACTGAAAACATTTGGTTTGATTTTCTTGCATAACGAGAGAAGCAAAAATGATGGAGAATGAACAGACCTAACGCTGCAACTTTGTACACACTTCCGGGAGCCAACGTCAAGGATGTCAAGGTTGGGACATGTGTCAAGGGCCTACAACTCAGCAGAGCCTCACTAACTAGCATGCCCTGGACTGACTTCTCTTCCTTCTGCCCTCAAGTTGGTTCTTGCTCTGGTGCAGAGCTGCACTTTGAGGCTGCAGTCCTGTATACACGTCCCTGGAAGAGAGCTCCCTTGAACCGTGCTTCCTGGAAAAGAGCAACCACTTTGGGGCATGGTTAGATATTGCCATGCTGTCTTAGTATGTTTTATACTGTAACGTTTAAGTTTTATTTTGGGAACTGCCCAGAAAGCTTTAGCAAAACGGGCAGGGAAGGATTGTAAATATTAAATAAATTCCAAGACCACAGTCTGGCTTATGTTCAAACTAGCCCTGATTTCTGGTTCCAGTCCTTCACCTTTGGGTTTGGTCTGTTTGATTTACTTTGTGGAATGCTGTAGGTTGAAATTTTGTGGGAAGGAAGGTTGTCAGGAACTGAAGAGACTCCCTTGTGTTGGATCAAGACCTTTATCATTTCAGCCATACTCTGCTGATTCTCATATAAGAAGGCCGATGGGTGGGACATTCAGGACAGATAAAAGGGCTTCTTCATACAGCATATAGTTAATTTATGGAATTCACTGTCGCAGGAAGTAACTTGGATGGCTTTAAAATGGGATCGGACAATCACATGGAGGACACTATCAATGGCTCCTGGTCTTGATGGCTGTGTGCTTCCTCCACTATCAGAAGCAGTATGCTTACATACACCAGTTGCTGGGGAACATGGGCTGGAGGGTGCTGTGGCACTCATGACCGGGTTGAGAGATCTTGTGGACAGCTGGTCGGCCACTGTATGAACAAATGCTGGACTAGATGGGGGCCTGGCCTGATCCAGCACGGCTCTTAGGTGAAGTAGTTGATGGGACCCTTTATTTGAGGAGCTGTTTTGTTCAATTCCACTTCAAACAGAACAAATAACTTGCATCTAGTGCAGGGGTGGGCAGAAGGTAGATCGCTAGGTGTTTTGGACATCAGCTCCTAGAAGTCTGTGCCAGCATGGCCAATGGTCAGGAATCCTGGGAACTGAAGTCCAAGACATCAGGCAATCTACGTTTTGCCCACCCAGTTTGGTAGTATTAACCCCATTGTATAGGAAGGCACACTGAGTCAATGGTTTCGGACAACACTGCAATAGATTGTCCATATAACTTGCACCACAGAGGGGTGGATGGGTCGTACCGAGGATGAAGGGGTTCACAACAATCTTGCAGTGCAGCCTTGTTGGCTTTCAATGAGTTGTTCTCACCGGCACTCACATTCACAGAGCCACGTTAATGTTGATGTGGCCTTTTTAGCCATTACAGCTTTAATGCTGAGCTTTGGGAACTGTCCGTGGTGCTGAACGCACCCTCAGCACAAGTTCATGAGCATGGAACACGCTCGCCAGCTCCTGCAAAGCTCAGAGTGAACACTGGAATGGATACGGGGCCCCCTCGTCTCTCATTGTCACGTGGCAACTGCACAACTCTCAGGGAGGCTCGAAACATGTCCAGAATTTACGGGGCGCTCGTTCCGCCTTGACCTTGACCTAACTCTATGGCGCGGCTTGTGCGACGTAATGCTCGGTCGGAGGAGGGGCTGCGGCCAAGACTGCAACTCCCGTCAGGCCCTGCGCGCTTCCTTCGCGCGGGGCGCGGGAAGGGGCGGGGCCTGGGGATCAACTTCCGGGCCTCGTCGCTTTTATTTCCGGAAGCGCTCGCGCGCCCGCGCGTCTTGCGGGGGTCTGTCGCCCCGGTGCCAGGGCCGCTGGGACCCTCTGTCTAGCGGGGATGGAGCAGGCCGGGCCCGCGGTGGGCTCCGCCGCCTCGGCCAGGGCGCTGGTGCCCGTCCAGGCCACCGCCGTGGCGGTGGTGGAGGAGGCCGCCCGGGAGGCCCCCAAGAGCCGCAAGAGGATCCTGGACGAGGACAGCTACATCCAGGCGAGTGGGCGAGGCGGTGTCTGGCTGGGCTGGCTTCTGTCAGGCCGAGATGCCGCACGGTGGCTGCTTCGTTCCGTCTGTCTGTCTGTCAATTTATATCCTTCCCTTTTCCTTCGTAAAGCTCTCAAAGCGGCTTCCATCATTCTCTCCCTGCTCTCAGTGTTTCCCCACAACAACAGCAACCCTCTGAGGTAGGAAGGACTGAGGGTCTACCTGGAGCAAAGCTCCTTGGCTGAGTGAGGACCGCAATCCAGATCGCCTGAGCCCCAGTCCCGTGCTCTTAACCACACACCGCACTGGCTCTCAGGCCTGGGAAGACCCGGGTTCACACTTTCACTCAGTTCTTGTGGGGTGACCAAGTCATGAGCTCGTAAGAGGAGCCCTGCTGGATCCTGCCCAAGGTCTATCCAGGCCAGCATTTTTTGTTGTACTTAGTTGCCAGCGCACAGAAAACTCACAAGCTGAGTGTAGTAGCACCCTCCCACCCATGTTCCCCAGCAGGTGTGCCCATGTCCATACAGCCTTTGGGGATGGAAGTAGTGTAGGGCCAACAGGACTTTCCTTCTCTGCGAATTTGCCCCCTTTGCTTTTAGCGTGGTCCAAATCGGTGGTCAATGCTAGATTTACATGAGAGAAGAACCTTGTAAGCTGTGCTGGTTTCCTTGTGAGATGAAGGGCTGATTATAACTGCAGCATAGTAGTAATAGCCTCCTGGAAGTGTCTTGCATGGTTTAAATGCACTGAAGAGCTTTCCTTGATCTGGAAGAGGAGCTTTCCTTGATCTGTCCTGAGTTTGCTACCCATCAGCTTCGTGGGAAGACTGCACCAGCTTCTGCTACTATTGGAAAGGGCGAAAAGAGTCTCCCTATCCACTTTTCCCCCACCATGTGTAATTCTGTACACTAATGTCCCATCTCTGTTTACTTATTCTATGCCAACCTGCAACATTCCAGCTCTGACTTTTCCAAGAGGAGTTGTTCTGGCCCCTTGATCATTTTAATTGCCCTTTTTCGACTCTGCAATATCCTCCTTTAGCTGTGGTGACTAGACTGGTTGAGCTATCCTCTCCTTCTCACACAGTTGCTGTAAGGTTAGGCTATTTGTTATATTTATGGCTTGCCTTTTTTCCTCTTGGAAAGCAGTTTATATAATTGTCTTCCAGGTTTTATTCTAATGGTATCCCTGTGAGGTGCAGGCTGAGAGGCAGTGATAAGCTCAAAATCGCCCAGTAAGGCCTTGTGAGGACCAGAACCTGAGTGCTACCTCCTTTGCATACAAAACATCCCAGGGTCAATTAGAATGATATAGTGGTTGAAGGGAAAGGCCTTTTTCAGTCTAAGAGCTTAGAGAATTGCTGCCAGCTAGAGTAAGCTGTGCTGGGCTAGGTGAATAAATAGGGAAGTTTCTGGTGTTCTTATAAAATGCGTCATTTTAATTAAAAGTGTGTATTTCAAAGGTTGAGTCAAGGGCATTCAGCATAAAAGTGTCTTTGAGCTACCAAAGAAGGTGTTTGAGTACTTTGCAAAATGGATGGGGAACCTTTCCACTCCAAGGGTTGAATTGCATTGTGGAAAAGCTTTTAGTGGGCTCTGAGCCCGTGGTGTTCAGGACTGAAGGAAACAGAAATGTGGACAAAAACATAGTTACAGCATACCTCAGTGTATTGTACCTTGATGTGTTTCTTGAGAATCTCCTGCTAAGCCATCCTGAATGGGTGGGAACTACATAACAGCTAGGAAAGCACTGAATTATTGATGGTCAGGAGGAAGGGGGTGGATCATGGAAAGGGATCATGGCCTGCTTGGCTGTAGCCCCCCACCCCCCCATGTAATAATGCATCACTGATGTGCCATGTGCAGTGCACAACTCAAGTGATTGACAGGTCTCCGTTCACACATGGTGATGGTGAAGTCCTTTCCCCAGAATCTACAAAATTGTATCTTATTGCTTTAAACCTAGCACCTCCCCCACACCCCAAGGGTATCAGAAATAATTATAGTAAATTTCTATCTTGCAGAGCTTGGAGAAAATAATCCAAAGGGATTTTTTCCCTGACGTTGAGAAGTTGCGTGCTCAGAAGGACTATCTGGAGGCTGAAGAGAGCGGTGACTTGGAGAAAATGAGGCAAATAGCTATCAAATTTGGCTCTTCCTTGGGCAAATCTTCCAAAGACACCCCTGCACCATGTAAGAATAGGTGCTTGCGCCATTTGGTTTATTGACCTTTATTGCAGAGTTCTGAATATTTACTTTGTGTGTGTGTGTGTAACTTGGAATAGAATCCTTTCTAGAGAGTATGCGCTTCTAATGGTGGCCTTGATACATGCAGCTTTCCGAACATGCAGTTCTGCTTGCGCAGGGAGCACACTTACTTTGTAGCTTGTTTGCTTGCAGAATCTTTGGGGGTTTTGTTACTGCCACTGCAGCGATGTTGGTGGTAGAATATGATGCAGCCCCAGGAGCTTCTGGAGGAGGAGGTCAGTACAGCCTGCCTGACCCCCCCCCCCCACAGTTGTTCCTCAGGTCCGATGTCCATATTGCAATGTGCTTTTTGCCCTGGGAATAGCCTACCTGATTCACCCACTTTGATCCCCACAATCACCCCAAGGTGGTAAAATAGCGTGAGAGAAAACAGCCTCCTCAAGGTTGCTTGGTGGGGAACTGCACCTGGGCACAAGTCCAGCAAGGGTGGCTCTCTGAGCTTGGCCGATCTTCTTTTTTGCCCTTTTGGATAGATGTTACTCCAGCAACTTTTGAAACGCCCGAGGTCCATCCTGGAGACCCCTCTGTGATGAATAAGTCCAAGCTTACAGTGAAAGCCCGAGAAGAAGGTGAGAATTGCGGATGTTTTCACTTCATAATGTTGCCGTTTGTGTTAAGTGTGGAATTTTACAGGAGGAACTATAGGTGAGAGACAGAATGCTCTCTGCGTGCAAAGGCGCCCAGATTCAGAGGCTGGTGTCTCTGCTGAAAGGCTCTTGGGCAGCAGGGCAGGGAAGGATTGCCAACAGAGGCCGTCCTCCATTTTCATTGTAGCGAATGAATAACGATACCTATGCGCAGAGGAGGCTGAATGTTAAGAGGACCAAATCAGGAGTAACTTGAGCCTGTATTGCACTTATGCATATAATTTTGCTATATCATGGCATGTTCAATAGATATCTCTCGACATCTGGCTGTCTTTGCACTTAAATTAAAAAAAAATCCTGTAACTAAATCACTGCTCAAAGCAGCACATACCCCCTGCCTTTTCCCTTGTAGTGAGGAAGAAGAGACATCAAGAAACTTATAGGAATACGGAGAAGGGAAGTCAGTCCTGGAAATGTTTTCTTATTTTAGGCTTGGTGACTGGAATGGAAAAGACACGTAGGGAAAGTAAATTCAGTGGCAACATAAGGAGACGTGTCAGCCCTTAAATTTGAGCATTTTCTTAAAGGAGCATAAATTTGACTATATCTGTGTGTGTTACGGTTTTCTGTTAAGTCACTGTGCAGGATTCTGACATTACCCCAAAGTTGTAGGTTGGCATTATGAGCACAAGAAGCCTCTGGCATGTGTGGTGCCCCCCACCCCCACACACGGGGTCATTCCTTCCCTCTCTTCTTTCCAGGTTGGGGGCAGGCCAATACTTGTGTTCTCTGAACTTGTGTACACTTGTCTTGCAAACTAGGTTTGGGCAGTGAAGGTCTGTTTGTAATGTCCAGGTCTGGAAATCATGGTTTCCATGCCACTTTGGAAGAAGGTACAAAGAGGGAGGGGCCACATGTAAGGCCTGAGGCTCTTTGAAGCCTCACTGGGTCATCCCATGGCTTGGTGCTACATCTGGATTGGCCCATTGTTACCCACCGCAAGGCTTCCGGATGGGGGATGACAGTACTGAGTGCTGATGAAACTTTTCATATTTAAACTTCTAGTCATTTTTGCTTCGAGGCCATGACTTGTTTTTGTTTTGTTTTTTTTGGAACGGGCTTCCTAGAATTGTTCTATATCCAAAGCCACTCAAGTGTCTCAAGGCCCAGTGAAGGCCAGACCTGGATTGATGTCTCCACAGTAACAAAAACTCAAGCGTCAGAGCATCTGATGCCATTCTTGGTGCCCTGTTGGGGAATCTGGCCTTTTGAAGAACCAAGGCTGGACATTGTGTGCTGTCTTTCGGTGTGCCTCTTAATTACCCCCCTGTTTCCATCAGGAGAAACGGAGGAAGATGAGAGCAAAGATGCTTTGCCCAGCCTGGACAACTTCTTGGCAAAACACACTAGTGAGGATAATGCTTCGTTTGAGCAGATCATGGAAGTCGCTGAAGAGAAGGAGAAAGCAAGGCATTCGTGGCTGTACGAAGCTGAGGAGGCATATTCCCAGGTGGGTGGAAGAGATTGTGTTTCTGATCTCCTGAAACGGCTCCGTGCTGCAGGCTTCTCTTCTGTTGGCCAAAGAAAAGTTGCTTTATTAACCTCCCTCCTTTAGGAAAGAGCTTTCAGATGGCATTCTCTCTGGAAGGCTAGCTTGTTAACTCTACCTTGAAGCATTGTACCCTGAAGCATATGGGGTGAAACAGGTCAGGGTCTGGTTGTGGGTTATACCTGAATAGGAAACTGTCTGAGACCTCTAGAGTGGGGTGAGCAGGGGGTAAAGTTCCAGATGTTTGGGCTTTCAGCTCCCAGAAGCCCTTGCCAGCATGGTCAGTGGCCAGAAATGCTGAGAGATGGAGTGCAAAACGACTGGACCTTCCACCTTAGATCTACATAAGGGGCAAACCAGTGACATCTCCTTGATTTCTGTTGAAGGAGGTAGGATATAAATAGAATCCAGGAACAACTGAGGATGTATCTTTGCCATACCAAAGTGTTATTTTATACCCTCTCTGCATTCTGAACTTTGCTTGCATGTGCCCAGAATTGAAGATGGTTCTCAAATCTGTTTCAGAGACATCGGGAGCAGCTGGCACTTCCGTCAGCGGAAGAGCAGCAGGCGTTGACCAGTGGCAAAGCTGGGGTGGAGACATGGGAGTACAAGGCCAGGAATTCCCTGATGTACTACCCGCCAGGTGAGACACGCGCTCTCAGCAGGTGGAGGCTCCCCGATGAACTGGAGTGTGCTGAGCCCTTGCCATGTGCGCATTAATCTTGCAGGGCCATCTTAAGTACCATCTTTGTGTGCATAATCGGTATTTACTGGATAACATTGTCCCTGTTCACAGCTAACAACTGTCCATGGGCAGATCATGGTCCACAGAATGGCAAATCCACCCCCCGCCCCCCAAGCTGTACAGGGCAGCTTTGGGGTCGTTTCCCCAGCAACAAGCCATGCTGCCTGGCTTGGGAGGGCACAAGAAGCTGAGCTTGGCCTGGTGATTAGGCAAACAGTGCTACAGCTTAAACAAGCTGCGGCTAAAACATTCTCCTGTGTTGAGTGGCTTAAAGCAAACATACTCTGAATAACAACATGCCCCTCTGGCTGCTTTAAGCTGCCAGGATCATTTGAGCCTCGTCTATGCAACCAGGCACTTTCTTGCTCTGTCCTAAGCTTCCTGCCCCCTGCTTTTATTGGGCTTCCCTGAGTGCTAATATTTTAAAGGAGGAAGTGGGGAGGAGAATTCTCTGCTTGATCCACAAGGTGATGTCAGGTCAGATGGGCAATGAAAGTCTGATTGCTCAAATGCAGGTGGGCTAACACTTTCTGTGTTTTTTTGCCATAACTATGTAAAAAGAAGAAGAAGAATTAGACACAGCAGCTGCCTCTTCTCTGATCACTTTCCCCCTTTCCAGGTGTTCCTGAGGAGGAGGAGGATGTCTTTAAAAAGCCACGGGAAGTTGTCCACAGAAACACGCGCTTCCTGAAGGACCCGTTCAGCCAAGCCGTGAGCAAGTCCCAGCTCCAGCAGGCAGCAGCCCTCAATGCTCAGGTAGGCCCTGAGGCGCCTGGGGTCTCATGCAGCCTTCTCCACAGCCAGTTCCAGGGACACATGGGGGTCAAAATGGCCTCCTTCATGTCCAGTGTTTAAACTTAAACACACCTTCACTCTCACTTTTACAATTGCATCAAAACAAATCAGACCAAACCAAGCAGAAAAAAGTAATTCAATCTTACAGGTGGAAAGCAGGCATTCTTAAAACACCCCTGTCTTTTAGGAGCATTTAAACAAGAAAGAGAAGCTGAGCTGGGTCAGTTCTGCCTCTGGTTTTGAGGGTTTTCAGTGGGGTTGGTTTTTTAAAAATTGAAAGCCTGAAAACAGTTTCAAAAATTACCCTTAAACGCTGAGTTTTTAAACTGTTAAGTGATTGTTGCTAAGCAATATTCCCTCTCTATTCGATCTAGTACAAGCAGGGGAAAGTAGGCCCTGATGGGAAGGAGCTGATCCCCCAGGAGTCTCCGAAGGTGAATGGATATGGATTTGTGGCCACCCCTTCCCCTGCTCCTGGTAAGAAGGAAGAACAAAGAGAAATGCGGGTGTCTCCTGTTGTGAGAAAGGTTGGGTTGTGGCTTGGTAAAGCACCACGGCCTGAATGGCAAGCCCTGGGGCCGTGCACAAGATCAAGAAATGGGTAGTGGGCAGTTGTGCAGGAGGAGGGGGTAATATTGCAGTGGGGTGATGGTGGGTGGAGCAAAAGATTGTTTATGGGGTAATTATTTACCTAGTCAGTCCTGATACACGATGGTAATAATATGGATGAACTTGAGGGGAAGCTTCAGGTTAGGTCCAGCTTGAATGGTGGTTTGTTTAAGGTGCTTGGCGGTAAGGTTGCTGATTGCCCCGAGCAACTGGACTCTGCAGAGGCGCTGGCATCGCTGAGATGGCACCCCCTTTGGTGGCTCCTTGCACTGCCGGTTTCAGGAGGTTACATCAGGGTGCGCATGCAAAAATAAGGGGAGCATCCTGATGGAACGGCCTCTGGGCACTGGAACAGGCGGCCTTAGTGGGTGGGGGATTCTCTTTTGCTGCCGAGGGAAAGAAGTAGAGAGTAGAGACTTACAGCCATTTGGCAGAGATGCTGCAGCTGCGTTGCCCATTCGGCCTTGAGCAGGGTTTGGACTAGATGACCTCTAAGTTCAAACTTTATGAATTGGCTAAAAGCAGGAGGGGTTCCTATCCAAGCCCTGCGCAGGCTTTCTTACTCCATTTCTCTCTTGCCTTGGTTCCTCCTGTAGGGAACCCCAAGCTGCTTACACAGTCCTCCTCCTCACACTGTATTTTCACAACAGCTCCCGGAGGCCAGCTAGCCTGGGAGGTGGTGGCTGGCCTGATTGCCTCGCAGCCCCCCAGGGAGTCTCATGGCTGAGTGAGGACTCGAACCCGGGTTTCCCGAGTCCTGGTTCAGCCCTCGAACCGCCGTGGTGCACAAGCTCTTTCCAGCGCCAGGGCTTATCAGTGAGCCTGCGCTCTGCTCATTTCACGGGAACTGATCGGCAGCGCTCCTTTTGCAGGTGTGAATGACTCTCCTCTCATGACATGGGGCGAGATAGAGAGCACCCCTTTGCGGTTAGAAGGCTCAGACACGCCGTACGTGGACAGGACTCCTGGACCCGCCTTCAAGGTAATTGGAAGAACCAAGTCACTGAACTGGGGCGCAGAGTGGCCAATGAGGGGCTGAAGGAGCTGATTGCGCAGGGGGATTTGTAAACTTCCTCCCCTTTGGGTAGGAAGACCATGTTTGGGCCACGGAGTCACCTGTTTGCTGCTCTAGCTTCTGAAATACTTGCTTTTCTTGCTCAGCTCAGGCTGGATCAAAGCCCAGAACTGACTGGGCCACTGTACGTAAGCAACGGAACCTCACGCAGGTAGCCAGAGGGGAGGGAGTGGCTCTCGCTGCACAGCAAGCGCTTGACTCAGGCTCTTGGTCCTGTGATAAGTGCGTGTGCGGGGTTTACACGGTGTAGCAGATCGCGCGTCGTTGTGCTCGATGCTGAGCTTCTGGAGTTCCTTCGCTGCTGAAATCCCAGCAGTCGCTGCCCCACAACCTCGAAGCCGCCTCGCTGTTCTCATGCTCTCGCTGTGCTCACTGCAGCAGGCAGGCAACGGGTAGAGCAGAATAGTGTCCCAGACTCTCAAGGGCACATGGCAGGAAAGCCGCTGTTGGAGCTTTCCAGTAACGCCCGTCCTGTGCCTAGAGGAGCGTGTCTCCCCTTCGCCTTGATATGCTTCCTTCCAGCAATCCCAGTTTTCCTCCAGCAGCTCTTGGGCGCAGGCTCAATGTCAGGGTTGTATTTCACGGTTATGTTCTGCAGTCCTCATTTTTGTGATTTGCAGGGAGATGTATGACTCTTGGGTGGTATAGAAGTGAAATGAATGGGATGTTTTAATTTCTTGCCCTTCGAGTCGGCTGAGTTCTTACGTGTTTAAACAAGACAAAGTGTTTGTGCCATCTTCTTATTTCCATTTCTCCTGGTTATTAAGTTTTCATTCCACCTTTGCTCCAAGAAAAGGGCCTTTATTTTCACAATGACCCTGGAGATAGATCATCCTTGAGAGAGATGGTGACTAGTTCAGGTGAGATTGAGAATCCAAGCCTCCCTCTTCCATGTCCCAGCATTCTATCCCAGGTACCCTCTGGATTTTACAGTTCCCATCATCCCTGGATGTCTGTTGTGCTGGCTAGAATTGATGGAAGTTGAAATCCACCAGAATCTAGAGGGAATTATGTTAGGGAAGGTTGCTGTCTACACCATCCCAATTTTTTGCTGCCTGGTTTCGGGCAGCACTGTTGAAAGGTTCAGAATACATGTTTGAATACACGTGTCCATTTTAGCGCTCCAAAGCGCTAACTAGCTCATTCTTTGCTGGGAGTCCTTTTGGCTGCTGTCGAATGTGACAGTGCTGGAGCGGCAGATTCATTGTCCTTCCCTGTTCTAGAGCTCTAGAGTCGGTCTGGAAATGTTAAATGGCTTTCATAGTGCTCATGCTTACTGCCTTGAGACACCATGAAAGGTGGGGTATAAAAGCTATGAATAATAATAGTTTCCATGTGTTTAACTGTAGGCCACCTCAATAGAACCAACATAGAATAAAATTTAAAGAAACAAGTGAAGCAGACATGTATTCCTTAGAAAGCAGCTTTGTAGTTTCCTTGTGGCCGTAGTGAACAGGGTTCTTCATGGGAATAATAGAAGTTTAATCCTCATGCAGGAGTTCCATTGGGATTTCTTGAGGTGGGTTTCTCGGGCGCTGGGAGATGATATATGAAAGTCATGTCCCCCGTTGTTCACTATAACCCAACGGAGCACAAGGAGCAAGGGCGGAAACGCAGCCAGAGATAAATGCAGAGCCATTCTGACTGTGTGCAGCTGGATCTCTTGCCTTGAGAGAGCCCAGTGAAAGCCCTGCACATCTGAGGGCGAGTCAGTATTTGAAAATCACGTGCCCCAAGATGATTCCTTGTGGTCCTGCCAAACTAGTGTGAGAGCCAGGGTCTTAATCAAAGGCCCAGTTCCTCAGGACTTCATAGATTGGCCTGTGAGCCAGTCACTGACTCTCAGCCTATCCTGCCTTGCAGGGCTGCTATGAGGATAAAATGGAAAGGAAGATTATATAAGCTGCCTTGGGGTTTTTGCCAGAGGAAAAGAAAGGGCAGGATATAAAGGGATAAACAAACAAACAAAGGATGCATGTTTTCCATCAACCTCAGCCCGCATCCTCCCTCCCAAAACACAGAAGGGGGAGCTCTGAAGCATGGTAGGGAAGGGTCTTCCACGCACGTGACGGTAACCAAATTGGCTGCTGTTCTCGCAGATCCTGGAGCCCGGGCGGAGGGAGCGGCTAGGGCTCAAGATGGCCAACGAGGCGGCTGCCAAAAACCGAGCGAAGAAGCAGGAAGCTTTAAGAAGAGTCACAGAGAACCTTGCCAGGTAAGCCATTTCAAGCTCGGGTGCCAGGCGAGGAAGAGGTCTAGAATTTTGGTAGCAGGTTTTAGCAACAGCACCTCATGTGGTTTTAGGTGTGCTGCTTCCTCCTCCTTTCTGGCTAAGCTCTGGAGGAAAATGAATGTCCTGCACTCGGGGGGGGGGGCAGCTAGTGGACACTAAAAGGAAAGGGTGCAATTAGGGGTACCTATTCTATTCAGTGAAGAGTATTTCATTTCTTTTTGTACAGAACAGGCACCTGAAGCTGCCATACATGGGTCCTGTTTAGACACAGTGCTGGGCTATTCAGGGAGCTACAAGGGGCACAGCCCCCAGTGTAGCTGAGGGGACGCTTGGAGCCCTTCCCTTTGGATCACAGCCTGCCTTTCATCTGAACCCAGCAAGCTCTGCTTCTTTATGGCCCAGTAGAAAAAAACACAAAAACACAACATCGCAAACTGTGACGGATGACGCCGTCAGAGTATCCACTGCCAAAAGGCGTACGAAATTAATCTTTCATGATAAAACACATTTCCAGCAGTGTGTTTCATGAAAAGCATTTAGAAATAGGCATTTTATCAGCCCATGCCCAAAAAAACACATTTCAATATGAATGCTCATGGATTATTTTAAAATGTGAAAACGGAATGGAACAGGGCTAGACCGTTTAACCCTGCGTGTAGTGCCTCTTAACGAACTCTTCCACACCTCAAATGTCCAACCACTCTAGCACCTGAAATCCTGTTAAACATTTAAGAAATGCTTCTTTTCTTTCAGCCTTACCCCCAAAGGATTAAGCCCAGCGATGACTCCCGCCATGCAGCGCTTAGTAAACAGGACTGCCAGCAAATTCACTGACAAAGCTCTCCGAGCCAGTTACACCCCATCCCCCGCGCACCTGGGAACACCTGGCTACAAGACTCCGGCTGGCGGGTCCCAGACGCCCACAGGCACCCCGGCGCCCAGCACGCTCTCCCACACACCGGTGACGCAGGACCCCGCGTCCATCACAGACAATCTGCTGCAGTTGCCCAAAAGACGCAAAGCCTCTGACTTCTTCTGAGCGGCATGCGCTTCTCTCTTCTCCCACAGGGCCCTGCGTAGCTGAATATGCAGGCAGTGCTGTATTGGCAAGGAGCAGCGAGAAGGGCTGGCTGGATTTCAGAGTGCTTTCTGCCGTGCAGTCTTGCCTTATGCCAGCACTTCACACGCAGCGGGGTGAATGGGAATGGGCTCCGCTTTTGCTGAGCAAGAAACCTCTCGCTGTTTTTCTCTGTACCAGACACACCTGGTACACAAAGAAGGGATAGCCAGGCCAGCAAATACAGCACAGACCTTCTGAAATCCTTTTGGATCGATGGTTTTTACAAAGTGGGGACAGCCCTGGTTGTGTTCGGGGGGCGTCTGATTTAATCTGTACATGTTTTTATTTATTCACTACAACACATCTTTGAATAAAGGGCTGGCACAAGTTTGAATACGTGGGTGGGCCTGCGCTCCGATCGTAACTGAAGGCAGATCCTGGGGAGTGCGTGAGAGAGAGTTTTCAGATTATGCTTTCGATCCACAAAATGGCTGTTCGGGGGCATGATGAGCATCTGTGGATAGTGGGGGAATTCGCATGCTTGGCCAGGGAGGGTATATCCAAAGGGGCATACAACATAATGGGAAACCATATCATACGCATTAGACTGAAGCTATGCCATGCTAAAGCCTTCAGGTACAAAGTCTCACGCCTGGGGCCCAAGTCCAGCCTTCTGGAGTTCCGCTGATGGCCACAGCCCTTCTCTGGACCCCCCCCCCTTTTCCCCAGTTGTATGGTTTAGTTCCTGTATGGTTCGTTCGTATGGTTTCATTTGTTTGTATGGTTTCCATCCCCAAACAAATAGCCAGGCATGCTCAGTCCCCAGAATGCAGTTGGGGGCAAGGGACTGAAAAGGGTGGAGATGAAGCAGAGTGTCTTGGGGTGGTGTACGTGATCAGCCAGTCGTACTTCGTAGTCCAATCTCTTGTTCCAAGGCCTGCTTGTAATTTTTGATCAGGATGTACAATGTGTAGTCGATAAGAGTGGGGCTGGGGCGGGAGAATGCTGTGCCTGCCCCCCCCCCCACGGCCCCCTGGCCTGTTGTGAAGGGTGCAGCAAGGGGGGAACTGCAAAAAGCAAGCCTGCTCGTGGCTGAGGAACACTGTGCCGCTCTCCACCCGTGTGAGCGAGGAGAGTATCAACTTTTTGCTGCGTGAGGTGATGTTCCCCTTGGGACATTCAGCTCTCAGGCCCTGCTCATTCATTGTGAATGGAGTGCTATTGATTCCAGGCTTGGAGAAAAAGGCAGAAGTCATAGATCATCGCAGGCAAGGCCAGACATGGCTATGGGCAGTGTGCTAATGAGGCCCCCTGACTTTCTGAAGCAGGAGTTAGCAACTCGGGGTAGCATAGCTCAGATCACTATTTGATGCCTGAGTAAGTTGCGATTCTTGCCAGTTATGCTGTGGAGCAGAAGGAGAAGGCATTTATGAACCCGTCGGTTGTGTGTTTGCCTTGGTGAGCAGGGCAGGATGGCTTTCAAAGGAAAGGGCCCTAAACATTTGAGTTGCTCTCCTTGATTCACCACACGATAAATATTGGGCAGCCATTGGTGGACCTGCATTTCCAGAAAATGCTGACCCATCCAGCATGCTGGTTGAGGATGATGGGCCCTAGGCTGGAGAAACTGTGGTGTGTGAAGTTACTCTTACCAGAGAAAGTATCTGAGAAGCTGCCCTAAGGGAATGTAAAGCAGAATAGAAACCTTTTGTACCAGTCATTTCCACATGATTGTGCATTCCGACTGAGTGTGTTTTGGACATGAATTTGCTCCTGAAGACCTTGGTGGGGGAAAAATTATGCCTTCAACAGGCATTATATTGCAAAACCAACTTTCTCAGCTATCACTGCAGATCACAGAACCAAAATTGCCTCTGTGCTTGGGGTTAAAATGAACCATTGAGCAATTGAGAACGTTTCAGTCGAATCTTTTCTAGGAAGCAAAATGGCAAATTCTGCTGTGTGAATTGATCTGTTTTGAAAGGGATATCTTCCGAAAATGAGATGCAACGGAAGCACTTGGCATTCTTGTATGCAGCAGCTTTACCCAACCTGGCCAGGGATGGTGATCACTGTAGTCAACACATCTAAGGGTGTGTCAGGTTGGGGGTGATTCTTGTATTCTGCTCAGCAGGCTGGGATCCATTGGCCTGTGGCCATTGGTCATGATAGCTGGGGATGATGGAAAGTGGAATTCAAAAACAACTGGGGCACTACAGTCTTCCCAAACCTTGTAGTGTGAAACATCCTTCAGGAAAATGGTGTGTCAATTAGATGCTGAGCGAGTAGGTAGAAACTGACTCGGCAAGCCCCAAACTTCCCGTATTGAACCCCACTGAGCTGTTCAGCAGATGCTCATGTTCGGTTTAGGGACAGACCCATCAGGGCCTTTGCTGGTTGAGAGGTTTGCTATGCAAGTGACATTAAGGAAGCCATTGCCTTTGAAAAGCTTGGGTTGCCCATTGATACCTCAACATTTTGGTGAGGTGGTAGGAGGCTGGTCACTTGGAGGCCCACAGTTCTCTGGTTAGCACCCACTGAAGTTCACAAACTTTACCTGAAAGGGCTTTTCGGGAGGGACGTTGCAATTTTTTGCAGTTACCTGTCCCTTTCTCATGTGACTTTGCTCCTCCTCCCTTCGAGATGTTAGCCTCTTTTCAAAGGCTGCTCTGCTGGAAACCCAAGTTGGGTGGGCAGAAAGTAGATGCCTAGCTCTTTCAGACTTCAATTCCCAGTATCCCTGACCTCAAGCTGGCAGGAGCTTCTGGAGGTTAACCTCCAAAACATCTGGTGACCTACTTTCTCTCCACTGTTGGTTTAAACAGTTTATGCTTTATGCTTCGCAGGGCTCCTCATAGGCAACTGGTGATTACGGCAAAAAACACCAATTGAGAAAATATTTAATAGAATCGCTTTTCCAAAGTGCTTATAAAGCCCTTTTCCATTTTAGTCTTGCTCCTTTTCCAATAGTGGGCTCCATCCCTCTCTCACCAAGACCTCTGCACCCACTGCCCAGACCTTTGTCCATTGGGTTGCTCAGCTGACCTGTTGCCTCCTTGCTCGCACTGATGGATGTCCTGCAGTCGAGCTGGTGTTAGAGCTCAGATTCAAACTGGGCGATGACCTTATCAATGTCATCATGCTTTTCTGGTTCCGCATGCTCCTCTACTTCTTCTACTGCTTCCAGCCGGGCTGCTGCTATTGACTTGGACTCAACTTTTGGGTTTAGTTCTGCCTCTGTCCTTGGCTCTGGCTTCTGCTCAGCTGCAGTCCGGGAGGACTCTCCGTTTTTCACAATGGACGTTACCGAAATAGCCCTGGACTTAGGAGGCTGCATCCAGATGTGACTCAAAACCTCTTCGATGCGCAGCCGCCGGGCAACATCGGGTTGGAGCATGCGATAAATCAGATCTTTACATTCCAGGGTCAGGTTTTTTGACTTGGGGAAATGCACTCTGTGTTCCTTCTGCAGCCGTAGCATTTTCCGAATGTTCGAGTCGTCGTAAGGCATGGAGCCACAGACCATTATGTACAGGATGACTCCTAGACTCCACATGTCGTAAATCTTGGGCTCATAGGGGATGCCTTGGAGGACTTCAGGGGCTGCATAAGCGGCTGACCCACAGAAGGTTTTGCTGTGGATGACTTTGCCTTCGTCGTCGCGGGACAAGCGTTTGGAGAAGCCGAAGTCTGAGAGCTTGATGTGGTAATCTTTGTCCAGAAGGAGGTTTTCACATTTCAAGTCCCGGTGGACAATATCAGCATCATGGCAATATTTGATGGCAGAACATAACTGGCGGAACATCTTGCGAGCGATGTCTTCCGGCATCGCTCCTTTGGTCTTGATGAACTCCAAAAGGTCCCCTTGGACCCCAAGCTCCATCACAATGTACACTTTGCCATCAGATGTTTCAAAAATCTCGTAGGTTTTGATGATGGACCGGTGATTCACTTTGGCTAAGATTTCTATTTCTCTCGGAAGAAACCTCTCCAGAAAGTCAGAAGGTGCTTTCTTCCGGTCAATGATTTTTACTGCCACATCAAATTTCAGGCGTTCAGAAAAGGCAGATTTCACCTTTGCATAAGACCCTTCTCCTAAATTCCCTCCCATGACGTAGCCTCTTTTTTTAAGGACGGCTGCATCATCCATGACGCTATAGGCAGCTGCTAGGATAAGTTCGGCCACATGGTTGACGTATGTGTTCAGCCACGTGGCGTGCGTTCCATGGCTGGTTGTCATCTGGGGATTGCCTTGTGCTCGGAAGCTGAGCACTGTGGAACTCTGAGCATTGTTTAATGGGTGATGTCTCCGTGTGATGTCACAAAACAGAGCTGCGAGGAATAGTTAGTGAATTAATCTGTCACGTTCAGAGCTCGGACAACACAACCAGAAGCCAGAGACAACCTCATCCTAGATTAACTTCACTGAAAAATATTTTCTACTAGAATATTACTATTTTTAAGAACCCAATGCCTGCTCTTGTTCTGAAGCACCACAAGAGAGGAAAGGAAGGGTTTCCTAAATGGTTTATGGGAAAGGGCATTTGATTCTTGCAGGTAGAAGTTACGTACGTACGTACTTATTTATTTGCGACTTCCTAACAGCAGCAAACAACCCTAAAATTATTTGAATAAGGGGTCCCCCCTCCACATTGCTCAAATGTTGAATTACTTTTCTTAAAGCTTGTTTGGATTACTGATGAAGGTTGACAATCCAGAAGGAATTTGATGGACTACATGCAAATTAAGTACAGAAAATTTCTTCCACCCTTGAGTTGGCATTTCCATTGCAGAATGCATCGGTTTTACATGAGTAACAGTTTCTGTGGATGAGGTAAGTTCTGACTTGGGCTGGCTCCAAACTCCAAATGGTCCTGTGATGCATTGGAATTCCAAGGGGCCCATATGACAACATTCACAGAATTCTATCTCTCATAAAATATGATGCATAGCAGAATAAACAAGGTGTCAAATCCCAGTTTTTCAAGGTCAAGGGAACCAACAGAAGTTAGAATCTCCATCAATATTAGACATCAATACAGGCTGTGATTGTTTACTTCTACCTTAGATAGAAATAAACTCTGGAATACAGATCCACATACACTAAAACAGTTTTTTCGGTCTGGATCTACCCTATATAAATGTGTACATATAAAATATACCTGCCACATGTATTGTCAACAAATTTATTTCCTGACTTATGCCAGTAATGACAGCACTTGTGTTAAGGGTTTGCTAAACTCATGATAAAAATTCCATTTTATCCTTCGACTGTAATCATCCTCAACATCTGAAAACCAATCTTCCCTCTAGCCAATTCATACACTGAAGGAGAAACAGCACTTTTGACCAAATGTAGAATACAGATGCGGATCCTTTTGCTATGAAATTGATCTTAATGCATTTTCCAAAATGTGTCATCTCTTTATTGAAGTCTAGAGCCAAGAGCATTAATCTACAGTTTGTTTGATTTTCACATTGAGGCAAGGACCTTACCTAGCCAATCCTTGCACAGATTGTTCTAGTCTCTGGAACTTAATTATCTTTCCCAGAAAATTAAGAACAGCAGAGATAAGCACGGACACCTGGTCCAGGCTGTAGCCGCTAGCCACTCGTGGGATTTTGCAGGGCTTCCAGTTTTGGCAACAGATTAATTTATACAGTTTTGGAACATAGAACGCCCTTTACTCTTACTCTGTACTCCCAACTTATCAGCATGGGCACAGCATGAGCTGCTCGCACTCCTTGCAAATCAGAGTGTTCAACCCTGTGGATTGCAAACTGTTTCCTTTAAAATCACTTGCACCACAGATCAGCTTATGGATGCTGTAAGTTGTCCTTGTCCCGTAGTATGTCTAGGACAATCTTCTGGACCATTCAGATTAAGAATTAGAGAACACAAACATTACCGTTTGCACCCAGAATTTGAAAGCCTCCCTGACCATTCATTCATTCATTCATTCATTCATTCATTCATTCATTCTTGTTTGCTTTTGGATGTGTCTACTGCATCCCTCTGAAAAATATTTATTTCCCTGAGACGGGGATGAGGGACGCCTTCTGGATGGCACGTGTTAGAATCCAGGTCTCCTTCCCCAGCCTGGTGGCCTTCAGAGGCATTTGGAGAGCAACTCCCAAAATTCCCATCCAGCAGGGCCATTGACTGGGAATTCTGAGTGTTGCAGAGTCTGGAAGGCACAAGGATGGGGAGGGCTGGTTTAAACAACAAATTAGAACTGTTCTGTTTAAAATAAATAACATGTCTTAATTGCAACTGTTACATCCTTGCAGCTGTGCTATTTCTGAGGCTCTTACATATCGGCTACATCCTTTCTTCCTGTTCAGTTGATTTATAGGATTTAGGGTGCCATCGTATGGTCTCCACTCCTAATGCACATGAGTTTCCAGACTAGGAGGGTTTGTGTGTTTCTCGAGTGTGGAAAACAGCACAGCAGCCAGTGTTGGTTGCTGCTCCCACTCTTCATGCCCTGGCTTTTAAAATCTAGATGGCCATTTTTGGCTGTCCAGAAGAAGCATGAAGGACGGGAAGTGCAGGGGATGCCGATAGGAATTTGGGTGAGCCCTGAGCCCCAGGACACCTCCCCTTCCTGCTGTCACACCCCTTTTTCTTCCCACCAAGGGGCAACCCTGTCAAGCAGGACAGGCCGAGAGTCGAGGACAGGCCGAAAGTCACCCAATGAACTCCATGGCCGAGCGGGGACTCGAACCCGGATCTCCTGAGACCCAGTCCAGGCTTCTTAACCGCTACATCACATTGGCCCTCCAGTGTCCATAGTGGAGTATTTCCTTTAAAATCCTGACTCTGTAATTATCATACTAACTTCAAGGCAGGCGATCTTAATTTTGTTATATAAAGTTTCTGATGGCGTTATGGTGGCTTCTTTCTGGAAGCAGGGGCTTGCTCCTTCTTAGGGGCTTGGGCTTTGTTTCGTGGGTTAGGAGCAAGATTTGAAACATGGTTAGTAATAATAAAGATATTTGTATGAATTATATGTGTATGTATACAAATATTTGTAATGAAGAAAAGGGACTGCAACCAGAAGGGGCTTTTAATCATTTGCTGTGTTACAAGCGACTGTTTGGTCCCCTCCAGACCTGGTACTGTTTTTGATCAATGGCTTCATTGAAGACTTCCGTATTTTCAAGCTCTCGGGTAACAGCTAATGAGGAAACTGATATTTGTTATGCTTGCGTTGGACTTCCTAGGCAAGGTGTCCAATCCCCTTCCTAGAGCCTTGTGGAGCATTAAGAGAAATGAGTTTAGCTGCTCTGAGTGGCAAAGAAGGAACCTTGAAAAAGGGGTCTGTCATTCCGGAAAGGTTCAGAAGCAACGTCGCAATTTGGTTAGTCTAGCAACCATTTATTGGTGTTGTGTAGAGGCACCCCCACATTCCAGTGAGGCTTCCGTAACCTCCTGAATTTAGAACATCGCCGGCACCCTGTGCACCGGCCGAGGAGTGCAAAGGTTGCCTCTGTGTGAAACACTTCGGTGGCTGCTTAAGGAAGCATTTTTTGATCCGTCGTCGTGCTGGGGCAGGCCCATGCATCTTTTCATGTGTCTTTAAAAAAAAAACACAGTCCGTGAGTAGCTAGTTGGGTATTCACATGATTACTGAAGTAAACGGCATTAAAATGCATGATTCTATGTGCTAGGTCCCACATAGAAGTGTTTGGCATTAAGGCCACCTAGGTAAATGTATTTTGTGCATATAGTTATGATGGTGCTCTGAAATACGCGGCTTTAAAGTGTCAAAGTGTCCATGCTCAGAAGTTCTGATTTTCTTTTCTGTTTTTAAACATCAGGATCGACAAACAGCTCTCTCTTTCCTGATCCTTTTTCTCTCTCACAGCCGCCTTCAACCTGGTGCAAAACGGGGGCAGTTAGTTGTGTGATCACCAGCAGAGCCCACACAGGAGATTTCAGTCCGGGCTTTGAAGTTACCTAACCACGCTCCTTCACCTGTTTTTCCCCCACCTATTTCATTCCTTCCTATGAAGAGAGTAGGTGAGCCTTCTTAATGTACCTAATGAAAGATAAGTGGTCTCAGGCAAAGGAAAAATCATTTTCCAAAGTGCCTTGAGTGACCATCAAAGTCTTTTCTGTAGGCACCCGAAACCCATTTCTATTCTCATGAGTTTTTGTTTCACGCACCTTCCTCCCTTCTTGTTTTCTTTCTTGGATCTCCACGGGTGGTGGAGCATTCTCAGAGATCTGCTGTCAGATCCTGGGTGGTTGCTTCTTGGAGGTGTTTCTTGTGCTGGAACTGTTGCAGGTGGCACAGCCAGCTCATTCTGCTTCTCCACCCTTGGCCCTTCCACGTCAGGGGCATGCTAGTCTGTCTCTTCATTTCAGGAAGAGCAAGAGGGATTCAAATCCACTTTCTCTGGCTGCACCCCCTTTCAATCAATCAGTTGCTGGTTGCATGGCTTTTTATGTCCTTCCTCCCTCCTGCCCCCTTGTAAAAGGTTGAACCACCTCTCCAAAGATTGTGTATCTGGCAGCATGAGCTTTCTTTGCCACCTTTTGGGCCCATCTAAGTCGCCCTTGGGCAATGGAATAGCTCTCTGGAGAACTCTGAGAGATCAAGAGGAACTTGGGTTGAAAATGTTGGATACCTCTGCAAATGTTTGATAAGGTGGAGCAGTTTGGGGGAAGGACGTTTCACCCTGCATGTGGAATAGGGATGCCAGCCAGCGTGTGAGCCATGCAGATGAGGCAGCGGGTGCCCATCACCCCGTTTCTCCAAGGGTTGTCTTGTAGTTTCTGTCCTGTGCGAAGACGTGCGGTTTTATTTATTTCAGGGCAGCTCCGGATTTGAGGAGGGGCCCATGAAGAAGAGCCCCTTGGAGCGATTTCTCCTCCTCACCCTTGCCGCCTGATCATTCTCCTGCCCTGGCCCAGGCAATGGAGGAGGAGGAGGAGGAGCTGGAGATGCCCTGCCCCTTGCTCCCTGGCTCTCTGCTCATCGAACAAGCAAGCGGTACCCATGCTGAGAAAGAGGAAGAGGAGCAGTTGCAGCTGGGGACCATGGTGCTGAGAGGGCAGACTCATCAAGAGAAAGGACCCACCAAGGGCATCTTGCCCAGGAGCCTAGAAAATGCAGAGCTGGCACTGGCTGACACTCTGTTGGGCACTCCCAGGGCATTGTGGGAGGTTTAAAATAGCAGCCTGTTGCTAGTGTGATCCTCCAGGGCAGCCGACTCTCAGAGGCCCAATCGATTTGTTGGCCTATAGGAATTTAGGGACCCCATCTGCATGCTTTGATCAGAAAATCCTTTTTAAAAAAACCCCCACACACATTTATACTTTTAGATCATAGTTTTAGTTGATCTGGATCTTCTTAAACCTTAATTTCACTGGTATTGCCGTCTTGTTTGGAAGCACCAGCTCATTCATACCCAGGTGTACCTTTTCTGGCAGAAGCTGGCATCGCAAAGAGGCAGTCAACTCAAAAGGGTGCTACCTTTTTGCAGTGTGTCTTTGTCACCGAAAGTGGAATGACAGTATAACAGAGAGGCCTCTCGTGTGTTAGATGTTGCAGAGTAGATCTCGTGGTATAGCACAATGCCAACCCAAAAGGTGGAGCAGGCCAAGCCTCTGATCATGGCAGGATCAACCTACAATTATCTTTCATCTGGAGAAGACGAGCAAGGCAGGCACAAGAAATCCATTTTCTCTCCTTCCAATTGTGTGCATCCGACCAATACTGGGAATTGCAGGGGGATGTTATCAGCTCTTGTGGCTTCCGAGACAGAAATCTGAAAGGACATGATGATGGGCAAGCCGTCCCTCCCTGCTCACCCTGCTTGACTTCAACCTCTCCAAAGGCTTTGAGAACATTTGACTTTAAAGAAGTTATTGGAACTGGTGCTACATAAAGTCACGATTCTTCTGTTGTAGGATTATGGTCTCTTTCAGAGAGCAGTCCTTTGCATCTGGTCAGAGAGCTTGTCCATGTCGGCATGTCTTTCTTCTTGAAGAACTTGCTCATTGTGAGAGGGCTCTGGACCGGATTCTTTCCCATACACCATCCTTATCTGATTGGCGGGGCGGTGGTGGGAGCATTCACCTGGCTTCATCAGCATGGTGTCCGAAACGGATTTGGGATTCTGCATCCAAGTGTGCATGAGAACTTCGTCAATGCACAGCCTCCGGGAGACGTCAGGCTGGAGCATCTGATAAATGAGATCTTTGCATTCGACTGTGAGCACTTTCGATCGGGGGAAATGCACCCGGTGCTCTTTCTGCAGCTTGAGCATTTTTTTGATGTTCGAATCATCATAGGGCATGGAGCCACAGACCATGATGAACAGGACCACGCCCAGACTCCATATGTCGTAAACCTTGGGCTGGTAGGGGATGCCTTGCAGGACTTCAGGAGCTGCATAGGCAGCAGAGCCGCAGAACGTCTTACTGAGGACCACCCTGCCGTCTTCGTCACGAGTCAACCGCTTGGAAAAGCCAAAGTCGGTCAACTTGATGTTGAACTCTTTGTCAAGGAGCAGGTTCTCACATTTCAGATCTCGGTGGACAATGTCCAGCTCGTGGCAGTACTTGATGGCACTGGCTAGTTGGTGGAACATCTTACAAGCCACTTCCTCAGGGATGGCCCCTCTCCTCTTGATGAATTCCAGGAGGTCTCCTTGGACACCGAGTTCAGTCACAATGTAGACTTTCCCGTCAGAGGTCTCAAAGATTTCGTAGGTTTTGATGATGGCGTGGTGCTTCACTCGTGCCAGCATCTCAATCTCTCTGGGAAGGAACCTCTCCAGGAAGTCACGGGGCGCTTTCCTCTTATCGATAATCTTGACGGCCACGTTGCATTTCAGTCGGTCCGAGTAGGCTGATTTGACCTTGGCGTAGGACCCTTCTCCGAGATTGATTCCCATAATGTAGCCTCTCTTCTTCAGGACCTCAGCATCGTCCATGGTACCTCCGGCAGCCTCTAAGTGCTGAGTTCACGTTGGCTGAGCATCGTGCGTCCTCGCTCCTGCCGCCCCATTTGTGCGCCTTCCAGGGTGTTCCTCTGAAATGGCCCGGCTTCTCCGAGGCTGGATGCCACGGAACTCCCTGCATTCCTTTGTGATGTCACAGAGCGGAACCGTTGTGGGTGTGAGTAAACATGCGCTAGGTGGGCGTAGGTGAAAACCAACGCTGATAGACGGCGGGGGCAGAGATGTAGCGTTCCTATGTGTCATCTGAAAATGGGGTAGTGCCTTGCCTTCGGGAGCTTTGGAGAGGGTCGTGTGATTCTCCCCTACGAAGAAAACAGGTTGGTATCAATAAGAGGAAAGCATTTCATCTTTTCTCCACGTCTTCCAGTCCCCAGTACTGTAGCCTCCAGTGTCCCAGGCCACCAATTTGGAGGGCTTTAAAAAGGGGGCGGAGCCAATGAAATGGAAAATCAGGCCATCAAGGGCTACTAGTCCTCATGGTGATATGCTTCATTCTGCATTAGAAACGGTATGTTTACACAAGCCAATTGCTGGGAAACACAACAGGGAGGGTCCTCATTGTACCCAGGTCCTTCCTGGGGATGGCTGGTTGGCCACTGTGTGAACGGGATGCCCGATGAGGTGTATCCGGGTCTGATTCTGCATGGCTGGCATGAAATCCAGGCTGACCTAGGCTTGGGAGGACCAGGCTGTCCCTTCCCTCTGCTGACCGCTGCAGCACTCCTTGTACACAAGCAGGGGAAGGTGAAGCTGAAGAGTCAGCCTGAAGTATGTAGAGGTGTACCTTAGACTGGCCATGATCTTTGCTGGAAGGTGTTTCTAGAAAGACGGGATGGGGGTGAGGGGGTGGGAACCGCACGCTGGTCTCGCTCGGTCTGATCCAGAACAGTTTCTCTTGTCACCTTAGCGGGAGAGCAGGACCAAGAGGCTTTCTGCTTTCATTACAGGTGCATCAATCTGGCAGCACACTATAATTTTAGAAGGCATTGCGGTACAGTAAGATGCACGAGAGCACAAATGACGATGCGTTCCCTGTTCCATTTCTTCCCGGTCTTAAGGTACCCTTGAGTGAAGGAGAAGACGCCCAGCTGAATGTGTGCAGCATGCAGATAGCCTGCTCTGTGTCTCTGGGGGCTCGTATCGTGTCGCGTCTGGGTGGAACATCAAAGCTTTGATAAACAAGGAGTTTTTGTGGCGATTCTTATTAATGGAAGCAACTCTTTCAAGCTCCAAAAGTTGCCAAGAGCCCTTGGGAGATGCTGCCTTTGAGAAATCCACAGATGAAGAGGAAGGTTATATTCCTCTCCAGTGGATGGTGCTAAATCTTTCCCACCAAAGCGGATCTTTCTTCTCCATTAAGCTTCAGGAAGGTCTTTCAGGAGAACCTTGGGCCAAATTTAGAGTTCTGCTTGGCCCAGCTCTGTGTTTTTCTGATACAAAAATCCCTAGACTGGCAAAACAATCCCCAACTGTAACAAAATCTTAAGGAGAACTGGTGGTGGAGCAGTATTGTATAGTGGTTAGAGCATGGACCTTAGACTTGGGGAGACTGTGGCTCAGATTATTCTTCCTTATATCCGTTCCAGCAGGTTGCACATAAGAGGAAGAGATGCAAAGGAAAACCTTCCCATCAGTCTGGCTGAAAAGCTAGCCAACTTTTCCTTCCATCCCATCCTTTGTTCCTTGCTTACAGGCTATCTACCTGCCCAGCAGGTAAATGGTAGCCATGAGGAAAAAGAAAAGAGGTTTAGGAGCTGCCCAGCTGGTGGCAATGGTGGTGAGGAGAAAAACTCGCTGATGGAAGAGGCTCAGTTTATTATCCTCTATTCCGTGTACATCCACTCTTCTTTCTTGGAAGGAACCCAATGTGACTTACATCATTCCCTTCCTCTGTACTTTATCTTTGCAACAACCCTGTGAGGTAGGCCAGGCTGGGAGACAGGGTCCGGCTCCAATCATCCAGTGCTTTGCTAGGCACAGTTCTGTGTTTGCATAAGAACTGCAACCCCGATCTCTGGAGTCCCAGTCCACACTGGCGCTCTCACTGGACAGGTCTTATTCAAAGGGCCCTCAAGGCATGGATTCACCAGCACCGGTCTTGCCCGAGGGGTGTTTTCCCACCTGTGCCAGACGTCTAGTCTTGCAGCTGTGCAGCGCTCAGCATGCGTGAGAGGCACGACTCCGCGAGCTCCTACAGGGCTCCCCCTTCTGCCCTGCGTGGGCGAGCCCGTGCCTCTGGATCCTCGGAGGACTCTGCAGCTGCCCCCTTGCCTTCTGGCGCCACTGTGCTTCCTGAGCCTCCACCCACACGCCTCCCGTGCCAACTTACCCTCCAAGTGAACTCCCCTGCAGCCTTCAACCAGTTTGAGTCATGGCAACATTTCGTCATGACTCTGCAAGTGCATCTCTCGAACTCCCCTTGGGGCTGCGCAAGAGATGAACTGGGCAGGCGAGGCGTGGAATTCGAAGAGGCTTGGAGGGGCTGCTTCTGATCGCAGGCGCTGGGCAGGTGGGTGGAGGGTCTCTCTGGTGGAAGAGGAAAATCCAAGTGGGCCTCATGAAGAAAAGGAACGGGAAGGAAAGCAGCCCTTCGCACTGCAGGAACAACTTGCGTTGCCGCATCTCAAAAGAGATACTTTAGAGGGGGAAGCGTGGCAGGAATGGGCAACCCAGATGACTGGGAGACCTGGGCAGCACAGATCCTCCGAGGCGTGATTGCAGGATTGTGGCTTTGCAAGGGGCAGAACGGGCCAGGAGGGGGAGGCATGGCAGAAATAGGCAAAATTATGCATGCTCTGGGCATGTCCTTGTGTTGTTTGCCCCCAATCAGTGAAAGGGTTGCTACTTGCATCTGCTGGGTTTTCTCTTTCTCACCATTTCGTTTTCTTTTTACACTGAATAGGCTCTTCGGGTGGTGTCGGACTGTAACTCTCTGGGGCTGGTGGGACTTGGAGTCCAATGGCAGATGTCACCCTCCACCCGCTTTCATAATGACTTGCTTAGAATACACACCGTTTAAAACATGGCAATGACCTCGAGTGCTTTGGCAAAAAGGCAACACAGAAGCATCATAAATAAATATATCCAACAGTAAATAAATACAGATCTCATCAGGAGAGCTGTGCCGTGTAGCTCAAGGAAAAGAAATTCACTTTTACTGCACTCTGCAAAGCAATAGGTACTCCTGGTACATTTCATGTGTGCTCTTTACCACCCAGTTATTCTCACAGTCTGTGTGACTTCAGGCGCTTTCCCTGCACCCAAACATGGTTCAGCACGTCTTCAATCCGTAACCGATGAGAAACATCAGGCTGAAGCATGCGGAAAATTAGATCTTTGCACTCGATGCTCAAATACTCTGGGAAGAGCACTCGGTGTTCCTTCTGCAGCCGGAGCATCCGCTTGACGTTGGAGTCATCGTACGGCATGTACCCGGAGACCATGACGTACAGGATAACACCCAAGCTCCACATATCATAAACTTTGGGGTGGTAAGGTATCCCCTGGATGACCTCTGGAGCAGCATAAGCTGCAGAACCACAGAAGGTCTGGCTGGGAATGATTTTGCCGTTCCCATCCCGGAAGCACCGCTTGGAAAACCCAAAATCGGACAATTTGACGTTCATGTCCTTGTCCAGCAGGACGTTGTCACATTTGAGGTCCCGATGCACCACGTCTAAGTCATGGCAGTATTTCACAGCACAGCACAGCTGGCGAAACATCCTGCGAGCCACTTCCTCCGGAAGCCCGCGGTTGCTCTTGATAAATTCCAGCAGGTCTCCCTGCACCGCGAGCTCCATCACGATGTACACTTTCCCAGAGGTCTCGAAGATTTCGTAGATCTTGATGATTGAGCAGTGGTTCACAGTGGACAAAATCTCCAGCTCCCGGGGCAGAAATTTTTCTAAGAACTCCGTCGGAACTTTCCTCCTGTCTGTGATTTTTACAGCCACGTTGAATTTTAGGCGTTCCGAGTAGGCCGATTTCACTTTAGCAAAGGAGCTCTCCCCAAGAATACCTCCCAAAATATAACCTTTTTTCTTAAGAACAGCAGCGTCATCCATAACGCCAAGGATGGGCATGCCAATGTCCCATTGGAATGTTATTCAGTGGCTCATTCCTTTGTCGGCTGTGATGGTCCTTTCAGAGGTGTTTAGTCTGGCTGCTGGTGTCTCACTAGCGGGATTATTATTGTTGTTGTTGTTATTGCTGATGTCATTGGTGATGTCATAAGGCAGCACTGTAAGGGGCTTGGATATGTGATTCAGGGATCTGAAGGAAGAGCAGGGTTGGGCCCAAGGCATCTTGCTGAGTCAAAGGTAAGGTGGCTCCTCTCTTATTGCATGTGCAGAAGCTAGAGAGCTTGTTGGCCCTTATTTCCATCCTGATGACAGGGAAAAATCTTCCACTGCACCTGAGTGATGGTTTGACGGGACGTTTCAAAGTCCTGGTCCAGCATCCATTATGACCATACGCAAGTCCAAGAGTCTAAGCACGCAGGCAGCTGAGTTGATCTTCAGACTTCCCCGACCTTGTGCCTTCCAGACCTGTTTCAGCTGTAGCACCCAGAAGCCCCACTCAATGGCCCTTGCCGGATGGGAGTTCTGGGAGTTGGGGTCCACTGCTTCTGAAGGCCACCAGGTTGGGGAAGGCTGACCTGTATTAACTGAGCTGTTCTGCTCATTTTTAGCTGTCCAGAGCAGGGTTTTGGGAAAGCTCATGGAGCTTGGTTGCCCATTCAGGACCCAAACCATTCCAAAGTGTGGGCAAAAACAGTTCCAGAAAATAGAAACCCAAACACGTGGTTGAGATTCAGACTGCCAGTCCTTCATGCCGCGGTGCTGTGGGAAAGACCCCTTGCGTGTTTGCCAGCAGGAAAATGTCTCTCTTTCTACATCTTACACAGGCTGAGAATATAGAGCAAATTTGGGAGACATACAAAGTTAGTTTGCAAGCATAAAAAGGAGACATTCTTATAAAACAGGAAAGCAAGCTTGACATTCAGTTACTCAATGTCTTATAATTTACTGAAAATTTATTTTTGTTGATCTCTCTGCGTGACTAAGCACAAAACATAGAAACAGAGTGAGTCAGAAGGGACCTAGATGGCAGAAGGGCCATCTAGTCTGACCCCCGGCTCCAGCTGCCTCTGCTCACAACATGCCCTTACTAGACCCCTGCACTTTTTGCCCCTTTGCCCTTTATTTTTTTTTAGCAAGCCATTCTTCAGCCATCCCATCCTGCTGGCTCTTTATTTAGGCCTCATTCAGTCTATCCACTTAATCAACATTGACTTGTATTATGTTTTGCAAAGTTTGTTCCCACAAAAATATTTTTTTCATCACAGCACGGAAGAAAGCAAAACAGGCTTGATGGCGATGATGATGATGAATAGAACAGCTGCAGGAGCAAGGACCTTGCACGCCCCAGTTGCAGAATATGTCGCATAATGATTCATCCAGATGAAGGGATTCAGGAAGTTTTCGTGTGGCTTTGAAATCATCCCTGTCAGGAGACCAATTCTTGGTGAAGGACATACTTGATTACTCTCAGGAGAGACCAGCAAATTGTTTATGTGTGTATTTAGAAAGGGGGTGATTTATATTTTGTTTCCTCACGGCTGTTGCTTTTTTATCGAGGCTGCAGAAGCTTTGCTTGGCCAGCTGGCTGAGGAAGTAACCAACTTGACCCCGACCATCTAACTGCCAAACGAGGGGTGTATTATTAAGAGGCGGTGAATCTTAGGTCAGCCTCTCTCCTGTTCCTTATAAGTCGTAATCATCCATCACAGAGAAGGATGCAGAAATGATAAGATACACACAGGAGCGTGGCAAACTAGAAGGGATGGGAACATAGAAATGCATGCTGTTGATTAACCAGGCAATCTCCGTGCGTTCTTTGACCCTGGGCTCTGGATTGGGGATCCTGGCAGAGACCTCTTTCTCCGGCCCCAAAAGGCATATCCCCAAGCAGTCTGAGTCTCCAAGGGTGCCAGTCTAAGATTTTCTTTTGCGCCTCATTGCATGGGTCGGGGGCAATTTTCCTGCAGGAGGGAAATTGAGAGAAGCACGGAAAAGCACAAGGGAAGAATGATGTGGGAATGGAAACGGGAGAATGCACATTAATTCTGATGGAGTGGGAGTGATTTTTGCCATGGTGCAAATTAAGGAATGGCTTTTAAGTTGCTTGAGTGAGAAATGATTTGGCCTTGCGCTAAGTGAAATTTAAATAAGGCCTATTTGTTCCTTTCTCATTTTGCATGGAACTATAAATTAGCATATTCAAACTGTAGGTAGATTGTGTCTTGGGCCCCAAATCTTTTAAAAATGCCTAGCAACATCTCTGCTCTGCACACGCTGATGTGACGATTCAGCCATAGTGCTCCTTATGAGGATAATGCGTCAACGATATATTTATGGATCTTATTTATATGTATTGATTTGCCGGAGCACAAATCATTCTGACTGTCTTTATCAACCTTTCTTGTTTGGATATCTGTCACTGAGAAATCATTGGGTTGGATCTGGGTTTGGCATGCTTAAAGTGGACACACCAAAATAGGTAGGTTTAAATTTGTGGTTACTAACTAAGGTCTTACTGAGGATGCTAATTTAGGTATGGCTAAGGAAAGGCAGGGTTAGGAGCTGGCTCCCCAAGGCTGCAGCTCCCCATCTTTCATCTGAAGCTGTGGGAGGCCAACAGCCCCATATTCCTCCTGTCTATGGGTTCCTGTTCAACTTCAGGGTCCCTGGTTTTTTTAATTTTTATTTTTATCTAAAACATTTATGTCCCATCCTTTCCAACGAGCGGCTCAGGGTGGCTTACAATGATTTAAAATATAATATTACAATAAGACAATAATTAAAATGGTAGATATTAAATCAACACAAAACACTTCATAAACTAAGAAAAAGAAAAGCAAGGAAGAAAAAGAATAGAAGATGCCAACTGTGGAAAAAGATCTTAAAACATCTAAACCCCTTAATTATTAAAAGGATGGCTAAATAAAAAGGTCTTTACCTGGTGCCAAAAAGAGTATCAAGTTGGCGCCAGATGAGCCTCTCTGGGGAGCGCATCCCATAGTCAGGAGAAGGCCCTCCTCCGTGTAGAGACCCTCTGTACCTCCTCCAGGGAGGGTTCCTGGAGTGAGGCAATCTTAAGGGCCACGAGGGCATATAGGGAAGGAGACATTCCTTCAGGTATCCTGGTCTCACGCCGTTTAGGGTTTTATAGGTTAATACCAGCATCTTGAATTGGGCCTGGCCTTCAACTGTGGGAGCCAGTGTAGCTGATACGAGAATAACGGCCGTCCCCCGTCACCAACCTGGCACTCTGTTTTGTACCAATTGAAGTATCCGGAGCATTTTCAAGGGCAGCTCCACCTAGAGCGCGTTACAGTAATCCAGCTTTACAGTTTATAGTAACGCAACTGTTGCTCTTGGTTGCATCCGATTCCCCGGCTTACCCAGCTTTTTGCCCACACAGGTTTCCTCTCTTCCTAGCTTAATGAATCTTGCTGCACGCGGGTTTTTCCTGCAATCGGATGCTCTGTTCCCTCCTGCCTATATATCCCTTTTAACAAATAATGCTGTCTTTACAGACACACTCTTGTAAACACACACACTTCAGAGCATATGTAAAGCAGCACTCGCACATCTGTGACGAAACCTGGAATGAACTCGCTGTCTATTTTCATCCTGTCTTTGCCCTTTTGGAATATCAGTTATTGTGAAGCATTAATGGCGTTTGGGGTCCTTCTTTAGGGTCTCAGCTCTCTGATTGCGGACTGGATGCATCTTATCTCGACCATGCATGCAAATGCACCTGCACAAAAGGTATTATGGGATACCCACTCTCAGGTATCACTTTCACCTAATGAGCAAAGCAAGCATAAGCTTGGCTCTTAAACTGGCAAAGGGCAAGCTATTACGGAGGAAATGTACACCCTGTGCAAGACACGGGGTTGAGCCGTCAGCAATGCCTGAACATTGATCTTTGGCACAAGAGCAGAAGTGTTACAAGCATGTCTCGGAAATGTTAGAGCGGAAGCCACTGCTCACGATTTCAAGGCAGCTAAACATTTCAAAACATTTGCAAGAGGAGTATAAGAACCAGCAGTGGCAAATGCCTTGAGATTCAAATAAACCCCCCACTCCTTACAAAAAAAATCATGACAGGGCAAAATGCGGGGAAGCAGCAGAGAAAAGTATAACACACCTGAATTAGGCAAGCTGGGAAAAGAATGAAGCCGGGTGCCAAAAACTAAGACCCGGGGGGTGGCAGCTGGAAAACCCAAGCGAAGGCATTCCACAACGGTCCTTCCTTCAGCCTCTAGTCATGTTGGACTTCAACTCCCAATACCCTCTTCCAGCCACGCCTAACATATCTGCTCCAGGCATGGCTATTCGGCCTTTGTTTTGGGCTGCTGTTTCCACATTTGCTGGCCACTGGCAGGTGGCTAGGATGGCAGAAGCTGGAATTCATGCCAACTGTCCAGGCAGGCTGGCACAACAGCCTTCGAACTAGAGCTTTATTAACTTTGTGCGAGCCATTCAGACTTGCTTTACAGTACGAATGCAGCAACCGCAACAAAAAATCAAACGTAGTTCGAATACTAGCCGTTCAGGCCGTGTGATTGTTGGAAAGAAGCTGATTTCAAAAGCGAGAAAGTCTTTTCTCCTAAACTCATGCTATGCATCTATGCCTCTACGTTCCCTAGAAGACTCTTTTGCTGGAGAAATAGGCCCAATCCTGTAAGTGGCTAAGGAAATGGCAGTCCAGCAAGACAGTGTGTTGAGGCAGGCTGGGTAGGGGTGTTGGAGAAATCCTCAGTGGATTCAGACGTTTGGAGTTCTGTGAATCTGCCCTGTGGATTCTGCAGCAGTCTGACTTTTCCCGAGTCCAGTTTTTAAATGTTATTTTATTTTTTTATTAGAACATTTCTATGCCGCCCCTTGGAGTTTGTGCTATAATTCACATTAGTATTCACAAATGCACATGGACAACCAGGGCGGTGTAGTGGTTGGATTACTGGATGGAAAACCCGGGGGATCTGGGTTCTAGT